ACTTATGGAACTTCGGTCCACTTTCCCTCCTTTTTACAGAACATATCTAATTGAAGAATGGTATTATAATTAATGCTCCCTCCTTCTGGCCATCTTTCCTCATCTCCCAGAGGATACTGTGGCCAAGCCTGGGTGCAGTAAAACTTGAGTTGCTTTTGCTGAAGACTTTCTGGATCAAGATCTTTCCAATGTTTTAATAAGCAGGCAAGGGGGGATCCTTCCTGGATCCTTGAGGCTTGATTTCCCATCTAAAAAGGGAAACAAGGGAAAATTGGTCACCTTAACAGAGGTTTCTCCTTTTATCTAACTGTCCCCAGATAAGGAGAAACTCTAGTGGCAGAGGGCATCCTGCTCTCCCTTGCTCCTTCCACTGCCACTCGTGAGTAGAGTCGTGGTGGATTTACAAATAAATATCTCAGTTGCACCCACCCCCCTGAGATGATCTTTGACCAATCTCTCATCTATTTTGACTTGCTTGTTTGCCCTGTGACCCAGGTGCCTGGTTCTCCTCTACCAGCTGAGCGCTTGTAATTAAAAAACAACTCTATCAAAGTAACCAAGAGGGCTTGCATGGCCAGAAGGAGGACCCCTTCAGAGGCATGGAATGGACTCTTGATGAAGTAGACTTTTGTTCCCCTATATGTCCTGTGAGGCATATATGCTTTCTATGAAAGGAGAGAGAGCATCTGGAGGCTTTTGCTCCAGTAAGGGGCAAAAACAGACACCTGCGGTTTTTGCCTTTTAACTGTTTTCTTTTTTTCTTTCCCTAAGGTCAGGCTGCAGAACCTGTTTAACCAGTTAATCTGATGCTTGACAAAGACAGTTAAGCCTAAATTGGAGACTAGCACTTTCTGGTGCCTGTAGGGATTTTTCCCAAACTTCCTGAAGAAAGAAGCTCACTGCTATTTACAGCAAAGGCAGGGAGGGGGACACTCATCCTGAACTGCCTGGGAAAGGGGAAGGAGAGGCTGAGGGTTGGGGAAAAAGAGAGCTTCCAGGCTCAACGCATGAGGGATTATTGATCATCCTTGCTGTCCAGGTCGATCCTGCCCAAAGGCAGGACTGGAGCACTGGAAGCAAGAAGTGACCTCCACTCTCGGCCACGGAAACCATGAAGGAAGGGTAAGAGATCTGATTGTCTGTTTGCCACAGACATGGCTGGAGGGGTCCGAGACTTAGCCACCTTTGGGGCCTCAGGGCGGGTCAGGAAGTTGCATCTCCAGCCTTTGGGTGACACTGGGGAGTGCCCCGGCCAGAACACCTTTTGTGGCTTGAAGACAAACTTTCCTTTACACCGGCTGTTCTCGGACCTCCCCTTAAGCTGGTCAGATCTTGAAAGAGAGTGTAGGCGTTTAAGGAGAGGAAAAAAGAAAAAGCCTTGGTGCACTGAAGTCGAGTTCTGCCCACGTAGCATTGGCAGTGCAGTACAAACCCCTGCCTGGCATCCGAGTTTCCTCAGATTGCCTGCTGTGCAGCTGCAGTGGGCTTGGAGCTTTTCCTCAGTTTCCCAAGGAAGAAACCCTCCTTAACCGAACAGAGAGAGAGAGAAAATGTCGACCTGAGAGTTCCACCATAGCTAGGCTGTGGTGGGGTTTCTCTCCTGGAAAACAGACTACACCAGAGTGCCAGACACTCACAGTCACATTCCTAGGCAGTCTTTCCCAGTTTGGCACAACCTATACTGACCTCAGGTGATGGCTGGTCCCTTCGTGGTCGCCAAATATGATGCACGGATGGCATGTCGGGAATTTCAGGTGCTCAGGGTTCTTGAGCCTGCTCTGAGAATGAAAGCACAGGCAGACTCCAACAGCAGAGGTCGGAAAGATTTTATTTGTAGAGAATTTAGTTGGAGAAAAGAGAAGAGGAAGACTGCATATTGGGGAATGCAGGGGAACCCAGAAACCGGTGATTCAGAGGGTCAGGGTGGGGAGTGGATTTTATTGCTTGAGGGCGGAGATGCCTTTCAGATGCAAACAGATGTTTCCTAGGGCGGAGAAGTGTCTCCTTGACCTCCTGCGGTCTGTCCTTCAGTGTCCCCCATCGGACTTGGAGTTCCTAGGGGCAGGGTGGGCCTCATTCCTCTCTTGGTCCCCAGCATTTTTCAAGACATTCAGAAGGCCTCCGAGATGCCCATTTTGCTCATTAATTTGGAGATAAGGTCTTGGGAACTTTTGCCCAGGCTGGCCTCAAACTTTGATCTTCCCAGTTTCAATCTCCAAATAGCTAGGATTACAGATATGACCCATTGGGACGTGGCTGGCCTTTGATTGTTTGCAAGAGGGTCTCACTGTGTACCCCAGGTTCACCTGACACTTGCACACTGTCCTTCTCCTGCTCCTGAGTGCTGGGATTACAGAAAGGTGCCACCACACCTGGCTTGGCTTTTTTTTTAGATGGGGTCTCAATAACTTTCATTGCCTGGGCTGGTCTTGAACCAAGATCCTCTTATCTCTGTCTCCTGATTAGCTGGGATTACAGTGTGCACTACCACACCTGGTTGGAAAGTACTTTTTTTTTGGTGGCACTGGGGTTTGAACTCAAGGGTCTCATGCTTGTTAGGCAGTTGCTCTTACTGCTTGAGTCACTCCACCAGTCCTTTTTTGTGATGGGTTTTTTCGAGATAGAGTCTCCTAAACTATTTCCCTGGGGCTGGCTTTGAACCATGATCCTCCTGATCATGAGTAACTAGGATTCCAGGCGTGAGCCACCAGTGCCTGGCTGGAAAGTACTTTTAAAAGTGCTTGGCATAAAGGCAGGTATGGTGGTGAAAGTCTGAAATCCCAGCTGCTCTGGAGGTGGAGGCAGAGGATGAAAGTTTGAGGCAGTTTGGGCAACTTTAATGAGACCCTATCTCAAAAACAAAAGGGCCGGACAGGACTCAAGTGGTAGAGCACTTGCCGGGGAAGCATGGGGTTCAGTCCCCAGCTCTGAAAAATAATAAGAAAATACACAGAGAAACAAGGGACTTAACAGGTGCTTCTCAAACAGGAACATGTTAAAAATGCAGATTCTAATCCTGTTGGTCTGGGTGGCCCTGAAATGCCAACCAAGGTCCCAGAAGCCACATGGGGGGACATTTCTCTGAAGGCAAGAGGTGGCCTCTGGAGGCTTTAAGTATGGGGTGCTGAGTTAAAACTGGCCCCAGCAGCCTGGTGGTGTTGGGGGGAGATGGAGGCGAGGGATGGGAACACAGATTGGGGGAACTGTGCTGCAGGCTGCACTGTGTGGACACTGTAGTCAAAGGCCACCACCACGCATACAGTGGTGTGCTGGGGACAGCCTGTCCTGGTTGCAGAAGCTGAATGGCAGATTTGGGAGCTGTTTGTTAAAACTGTTGGTCACCTGCTGTTGGTCTTAGTAAGAGTATTGACAGCACAGAAATTGGCCATGCTGTGTGTGTATATGAGAGAGAGAGAGAGAGAGAGAGAGAGAGAGAGAGACTGTTGCTAGACACATTAGCACACTACTGCTTATAAACAAATTATTATTTATTGATTGCTGTTCGGGAGACTGAAAACATGGGGGTGTTAGCAAGGACTTATGGTAGGAGTTGTGCTGTGTCAGGTTACTTTGGGGCAAGTTCAAGGTCAAGTCCACTATGAGGTCTCTTTTTTTTTATCTGGGGGCCTCAGGAGCCAATGCTGTGGTTAGTTAAGAAGCACCCATCATCCAGGTGTGGTGGTGCACACCTGTAATCCCAGCACTCAGAAGGATGAGGCAGGAGGATCACAAGTCCCAGACCAGCCTGGGCTACATAGTGAGTTCAAGGCCAACCTTAGCTACACATCCAGGCCCTGCTTCAAAAAACCAAAACAAACAAAAAGCTGCAGCTTCCAGCTCTGAGTCAGGAGGGGTGTTTGACCATTTGGGGGTGTTGGAAAGGTTTTGTTTTTATCTCTTTTGAGATGTGGCTCACAGTGGTGTTCTCCTGTCACGACCAAGTGGCCTTGCCATGGGAATTGGCAAGAAAGTTCAAGACAAGCTATTTTTTTGGCAGCACTGGGATTTGAACTCAGAGCCTCACACTTACTAGGCAGGCACACTCTTACCACTTGAACCATTCTGCCAGCCCTTTTGTGTGATGGGTTTTTTTGAGATAGGGTTTTTCGAACTACTTTCCTGGGCTGGCTTTGAACTGGGAATCCTCTTTATCTCTGCCTCCTGAATAGCTAGGATTATAGACGTGAGCCACCAGTGCCCGACTAAGACAGGCAATTTTCTTTTCTTCTCCTCCTCCTCCTCCTCCTCTTCTTACTCGTCTTCTTTGGTGGTACTGGGGATTGAACTCAGGGCCTTGCAATTACTAGGTCCCCTCTACCACTTGAACCATGCCCTCAGTCTTTTTGCTTTTTTTAGTTTGCTTTTCAGATAGAGTTGTGTGCTAACTTTGCTTGGGCTGGCCTTGGATCTTGATCCTCCTGCCTTCACCTTCTGAGTAGCTGGAATTATAGACATGACCCACTACACCTGGCCTAAGCAATTTTAAGCAAATAACCCCCAAATTGTAACCCTCACTTCTGCTAACACTCTGTTGGTGAGAGCTTGGTCATGTGGTCACACTTAGCTACAAGGGAGGCTGGGCAGCTGTGTGTTGCATACAACTTTAAGACTGAAGGGGAAGGTGATATGGGTTATGTTGGACCTCCAGCATCCAGCCATAAGAGAGACACTGGAGCAACAAGACACTGGAAAGAAAACCTTGTAAGGGTGACACAGAAGAGGAAGCAAAAAGGAGCAAGCACCTTCTATTTCCTCTGCCTTGTGGGCTCCCTCTGGCGCCCCCCTACAGGCAGAGCCTAAAGGGACCACAACTATCAATGCAGTAATGTGGTCAGTAGGGTCCCAGCCCCAGGATTTCAGAGCAGAGCATGACAACAGCTCTGTACCTGGCCTGCCAGCTATTCTGGGGCAGTGTGCACAGTGCTGAATGACGTCTGTCTAAGTGGAAAGGTGGCTGAGGCCGGCTCTAGGCAGCTGACAGGGGGGTTCTTTATTCTCAGAAACCCTCCTTGTGGACCTGGAGACCCCGGAGGAGATACAAGTTCGAAGCCTAGGCAGGCCCGTCAAATCCTCGTAAGTGCCCCCCCCCCAGCCCCATGACCTCTGAGCTCAGCTCTCCCAGAGGTGACAGCATCACTCCCTGACCTTGGGGCTCCCCGCCCTCTGCTGTCTCCCCAGGAAGCAGTACCTGCGACATGTCATTGCAGAATATGAGTCCCTAGACCGAGAGCTCCCATGTATCCGGAAGTTCTCCTCCCCGCCGGCTGCCCAGCCCCTGTGCCTATGCATGGAGACTTCAGTGAGTGTTGCCCAACCCCAGGGTCCCTTGTTTTCTACAGAGTTTGGGTGGGGTGGTGGAAAGGACACAGCTCATGAGGTGGCCGGGGTTTAAATCCAAGCTCTGTGGTTTACCACAGTGTGCTTGGGACAGCTGGCTGAAATTGACTGTGAATCTGTCAAGGGAGCAGTCCTTATGTCCTCAGTGCGCACACCAGAAGGGAGACTGAGAGGCAGAGAGTGGGCAGTGACTGAGGACAAAGAGGGTCTTGCTAGTCCATCTGCTGGGATAGTCTGTGGTGTTTCAAATATAACAAAAAGTCACAAGAAAAAGCTCTTTTTAATTTGTACTACTGGTGGTTGAACTCAGCCTTGCTCTTGTCACGAAGACGCTCGGCCACTCGAGCCATGCCAGCAGCCCTTTTGCTCTGGTTATTTTTGAGATAGGGTCTCACATGATGCCCTGGCTGGTCTAACCAAGAGCTTCTTATTTGAGCTCCTCTGTGGGTGACTACAACCACACCCAGCCATTGGTTGAGATGGGGTCTCGTGAATTTTTTTCAGGGGCTGGTTCCAACCTCAGTCCTCCTATTCTCTGCCTCCAAATAGCTAGGATTACAGGCTTGAGATACCACACCCAGCTAAAGCTCATATTTTTGACAGATTTGGCAAACTGACCACTCAGTGTAAGAAACTTTTGATGCTTGCTGTCGTCAATCAGAGGTGGTATGTGTTAGGGTCCCAGTCACTCGATCCTTTAGTGAGAACTGACATTAATGAGCACCTAATGTGTCCCACGCACAGTCTCTGTGGTGCTCCTTGGCTGGTCTGTGTGACTTTACCCCAACACAGGGGTTGCTGTCTTCATTTTAGGGACTAGCCCCCACCCCATCACTTGTCTCCTCCTCTGACGAGGGGAGCCTCCAGCCTCTCCTTCACCCCAACTAAGGCTTGCTTTTCTGGAGATGACCACCCTCATGGCTTCACATTAGCCCCTCAGCAATTTGATATATGATGACAACTGTATATCACCTTCAATGCTGTAATGTCATGCTGAAAATGTGCTTCTGAATGATAGATAGATTGACATTGACGGTGGCTCACACCTGTAATCCTAGCTACTCAGGAGGCAGAGATCAGGACGAACGTGGTTCAAAGCCAGCCCCGGGAAATAGCTCATGAGACCCTATCTCGAAAACCCTTCACAAAAAGGGCTGATGGAGTGACTCAAGGTGTAGGTCCTGAGTTCAAATCCCAGTACTGCAAAAAAAAAAAAAAAGGCTTTTCACCTGAGACCTACCTGTCGTCTCCCCTTTGACAAGAGCGACAGGACCCTGGGATCAAGTGTGATCTTTGTCCCTCACATGCCACCTGGGACCCTGGCAGGTCTGCAGGTGGGGGTCTAGTGTGGTGACGTCTGAACCAAGATGGGACCAGAGCATCCGGGGCCGAGCCTCTCTCTCCGACTTCCCCAGGAGGATTTTACCCACCTGGAGGTTCTGGAGGCGCTGGAGGCCGAGTTACCCGGGGCCATGGAGAGCGGGCGCGTGAGCAGCATCCGCTTTGAGAACATAAATGTCATCTGTGGGACCGCGGGCCGCCGGAACCGGTGAGTGAGCGCCGGGTCGGGGGGGGGCCCCCCCGAGACAGGCCAGAGGGGTGGGGCGACAGTGAGCGGGACGAGGGGGCGGGGACAAGGGCGGGGTCAGAGTGAGGGGCGGGGATGAGGGGCGGACGACGGGTAGCGCGACGAGGGGGCGGGGCCTAGGGTGAGTGGGGTGCAATCGGAGGGTAGAAAGGGGCGTGGCCGAGAGCCACTAGAGAAGAACTGGTGTAGGGGACTGAGGGGTGGGGCAACGGTAAGTACGGTGAGGGGGGAGTCTAGGGCGAGCGCGGCGGAGGGGCGGAGTTGGTGGAGGTTGGAAAGGGGCGGGGCCGAGGGCCACTAGAGAAGAACTGGATTGGTGTAGTGGACTGAGGGGCGGGGCCTAGCGTGAGATACGACGGAAGTAGGGATTTGGAGTGAGTGGGGAAATGGACTTTGAGAGACCCAGGAGGTGACGAAGACAAGCAACACCAAGATGTGGGGTCTGCACTTACAAAGGCAGCTGTAAAGAGGCAGAATGGACCGAGCACATAGTAGAGGGCCACGACGCACCGTGTTTAGGGAGTAAAACCAGGCTGAGGGAGAGGGCGGAGCCTAGAAAAACCCAGGTGAGGGTCAGGACACGGGCTGAGCTCGGAGAGAGTGCAGTTGCAGTGCAATTTACAAACAGAGTGACCAGAGTCAGTAAATGAACAGCGAGCAGGCAGGGACCGCCAGCGAGTTCCAACTCGGTGTTCGCCTCGCCCTCTCGCAGGTGGCTCCTCACGGTCACAGACTTCCAGACGCGTTCGCGCCTGCTGCGCTCCGGCCTCAGCCCCCGCGGGCTCACGCACCAGCTCGTGCGACACGACGACCTGCTGCTGGGCGATTACCGCCTGCACCTGCGCCGCTCCCTAGTCCGACGGCGCATGCTCGAGGCCCTGGGGGCGGAGCCGACCGAGGAAGATTGACGTATGTGGCGGGCCTCGACTGCGCCTGCGCAGTGCCCCGCTGGCTCGGGGCCAGACACTCCCCTACCCACCCGGGAGGAAAGGGGGCGGTGCCTCCCCAGGAAGGAGACTGGGCTGGCTCGAGGGGGTGGATACTGTGAGTTTAATTATAAAGAATGACCTGGTACAAAAGCCATTTCTCTCTGCAAAATCTTGGTGGGGAGGTAGGGGGAGGGAGGTGATGAGAGGGTAGGGACGCACCCCCATGTTGTAATCCGGCCTCCTCAATCTGACTCTCGTTCCTAATGGGTGCCGGAGCCCCAATCCCTTGAGGGATGAACTGAGGTCAGCTGACGAGAAGACCCGGGCTCTCGGACTTCGAGCGCGTTTCTCAGCAAGAACCAGATGTCTTCATCCGCCCCACTTCTCATCCCCTTCCCACCCCCCTTGGAAGACAATTCTCGGGCTTTTATTTCAGGTTTTTTTTTTTTTGATTTTGTGTGTGTTCTAGGGTTTCTTTCTTTTTTTGTTTTGCTTTGTATTTTGTTATGTTTCTCTTTTTGCTTAGTCTTGACTCTCTCCACCCCGCGCTGCCCCCCCATCCAGTCCCTCCCCCCTCCCCACCCCGACCTCTCCTCCCCCCTCCCCACCCCCTACACCCTCCCCAACCCCGCGGCACCCATCCAAAATGAACAAGCCCTTGATAGACAGGCGCCGCGCAGGCCCCCTGCGGACTGGGGGCATCCGACCAGGGGGAGGGGGCGGGTAGGGGCCCAGTGCGACCTCTGCTCCTCTACTCGCCACCCCTCCCCCCTCCCACGACCCTCCCACAAGGTTCCCCGCAGATCCCTGACGTGGTGAGGGGAGGGAGCTGCTCCTCCCCTCATGGACGGAGCGCCCCCCCCTCAGGGGTAGGGGGCAGCAAAGGGGGAATGGGCGGAGGGGGAGGAGGGGGAGCTCCCTTCTTTGGCAGCTGAACATGGGTTGGGGGACCTGAGGGCGATGCCCTCCCCCCCTTTACCCACAGCAGGGGAGGGGACTTTCCAGGGGGAGGGTTGGTTTAAAATTCCCAAGCTCCAGGATTAAGGAGAGAGGGGAAGCGTGCGGGAGGGAGTAGCCATGCTGGAGAGGGATAGGAGGGCATAGAGAGAAGGAAGGGTTAGAAGGGGATCTTCACGCAAAATATATAGACAGATGGCTCAAGGACAGGGCCGAGTGAGAGGAGGGGGATGGGAGGGCTGGAGACCAGGGAGAAGAGGTGGCGAGGAAGGGCAGGTGTGCAACGAACAGGCACAGCCTTCTCTCCCAGGAAGACTGAGCAGGTGAGCAATGCAAGAAAGAGCACAAGAGGCATTCTTTGATGCAAACAGAAGGGCATCAGGAAAAGAAATGAAAGCGTTGCCAAGGGTGTGCAGAATGAGGTGAATGTGCAAAAGGAAAGAAGGCAGCGCTCTCCAAGGCAGGTGACGAAGGTCACCTAGGAGCAGCACAAATGAGCAGAATTAGCAGAAAGGTCACAGTGCGCCCGAGCATCATTTAGAAAAAAGAAGAAAAAGAAAAGGCTTCCAGAAAGCAGCAAAAGAGCGGGTGGGGGAGGGTTGCGCGTACAAGAGCAAGTGTGCAAAAGAATTTGCAAGAGTCAAGAATGGAGCTAGGCAAACGTGTGAAAAAGAAGGTGTCAGGGAGCGGGGCTACCCTGGCAAAGAGGAGCAGAATGAGTCCTGGGAGGTGAGTGTGCAAGAGGCATGACCAAGCTGACAGTGCAAGACAGTGAGCAGAAGGCAGGGGCTAGGAGTGCCACAGTGAGAGGGAGAGATGGGTAGAGAAAGAATTTGGGGGTCCAGGAATCAAAGGGAAAGTGCTTTCACGTGTGTCCAGAGAGTGCACAAAGAGCATGTGGGCAAGAGGAAAGGGAGAGGGAAGGTGTGTCCCATGTGTGTCTGCAGCATGGGTCCAAAGTGAGCAGGGGGAGGGCCCGGGGGAAAGTGTGGAAGCAGCAGGTGTGGATCATAAGAAAAGAAATGCCACGTGTGCAGGGACAACAGTGTGTTCGAGATCGGAGAGGGCTTTGCAAGCCAGAAGCGAAGGCGGAGTGTGCAAGACAGCTAGAGGACAAGTTTGTGCAAAATTGCAGCCCAGGGAAGGGAAGGGGGTGGGCAGAGGCCGGCAGCGTGCAGAGCGTGCAAGAGGCGGGGGAGGGGCAGCTGTGTGTGCTGGGGAGCGGGGAAGGGGGAGGGTGGAGGGGCCTGGAGAGGGTGGGAAGGCTGTTAGAGGGGCAGCAGGTGGTGAAATCTGAGGGCACCCCTTCTCCTGTGGCCTGGGGGACAGCCCCCCATCCAGTCAGGCTCAGGATTGACCCTCTATGGCTCTGTCTGTCCCCTCCCCCCAGGATCAACTCTCCCCTCCTTTCCAGTCCCCCTATGTCATTTCTTCCATCCCCCCATCGGCTGGACGCTCATCACACAGTCTTGTGTCAGCTGCCCCCTCCTGTGAAGTGCATGTGTCCGGCCTGCGTGTCGGTCCACCTGGTGACCTCAGGCCTGGGAGACAGGGCAGGGTGCAGTTTCAGCTGAGTCCCTGCCCCAACCCCCCGGGGAGAGAAATGATGGTCAGGGGTCAGAGTTCAAGAGATCAACAGGCCCAAGGTTCTATGGACGGTCTGGTCCGTCCGGGCCAGCCATCACCTCTCCAGGAAAAATTTGAGAGCCCGGTCGATGTTCATACGGTGGCCCACCCTGGTCACGCCCAAATCGACATAGTCCTCCTTGGTCAAGGCGGGAAGATGGGAGCCGTCGATCTCGTGGTCCAGGAACCGGGCTCGGTGCTCAGCCAAGCCCAGCCACTCCAGCCAATCCGCCACATCGAACTTGGTCCAGAACCCCAGAGGTTTAGCGCCAAAGGGCTTGTCCGGGGGCAGCGAAAGCAGGCGAGTCGGTGAGAGGGAGCGAGAGGCCCCCGCCAAGGCTCCTCCGAGCCCCCCGGACATCCCCGGGTGTGGTGGCACGAAGACAGGAGCGAAGGGGTCAGTCGAGCCGCCTGCCCCTCCGGTGGGGGAGCTTCGGATGTCAAAGAGGCCCGGGTAGAGGGGTCCAGAAGGCAGGATGGGCAGGGATGAGGGCCTGGGCGCAGGGCTGACCTTGTGGTCCGAGGCAGGCAGCAGCGAGGGGCTGGGGGCCCGGCGGAGCAGAGGCGGTCGCATCTCAAACTCCACGCCCTGGAGGTGGCGGGTGGATGTGGAGGAGGAGGCTGAAGGAGAGGTGGCTCCTGGGGCCGCAGCAGCTGAAGGGGGGACCCCAGTTCCCGTGGGGAGTGGGGGCAGAGGTGGTTTAGGCCAGTTCTGAAACAGGCTGCTGACAGGTTTGGTGAGGAGCGAGGAGGATTGGGACTCGTCGGAGAGCCTGAAATGTGACAAGGAGGCAGGGGTGGAGGAGAAGAGGGTAGGGTGGGGGCGGGGAGGGCAGGGGTGAGAAAGGCAGAGGGAGAGACGTAAGGGTGGGGCAGAGAAATGGGGAAGAGAGATGGGAAAGGATGGAGGGAGAGAGGGGGTCAGATGGATGTCAGGACAGAAGTGAAGGGAGAGAAAGACAAGAGGACAGGGAGAGGGTGACAGCCAAGAGAGATGAAAGAAAAAGAGACATTAAGTGATAATAATAATAATCATCACCACTTACTGCTGCTCACGTGTGCCAGGCATTGTTCTAAGTGCTTTACAGTATGGCATCTCAATTTAATCCCGACAGCCCTGACGCAGGTTACTGTTATGATCAGCACAGAAAGGTTAAGTAACTTGCCTAAGGACACACAGCCAGGAAGTGGCAGAGCCCGGTTAGATGGCACCGAAGTCTGAGCTCTTAACCACTATTCTATACTGCCTTTTGGGTTATGGCCAGTCATAGCAGAGTGGAAGACGGGGAGACAGTGAGAGAGAAACAAGAAGAGGGTGAGCATTCAGGGGAGAGAGATGGAAGGGGACGGGACAGAAAGAGAGAGAGAGGGAGAGATGAAGAGAGGAAGATGAAAGAGAGAAGAAACAAGGGGAGAAAAAGGTTCCCCTCATCCCTTTAGCTCATTCCAGTACATCCCTACCTCAGGGCCTTTGAACTGGCTGTTCCTTCTGCACACCTCACTCTTCCCCCACCTAGCTGGTGGTTGGCCCCCTTCTCTTCTCTTCTGCTCATCTTGTGTGTTATTGGAAAGATATTCTCTAAGGATTCCACTTTTTTGCCACAAGGATGGTTGCAATTATTTTGCCTGGCCTCCACCCACTGCCTCACTAGACTAGGAGCTGTATGGGGGAGCAGGAGACTGTGTTTTTCCTGTCTTGTCCATGGTGTGTCCAAGGGCACACTGCAGGGATTAAATTCAGAACCGATGCATTTGTTGGCTAAATTAAGCCTCCTCTCCTCTACCCAGAACACTTAAGAATAATGAGTGAATTGAATTAAGATTTCCAAGGTGTAATAAACCCACACTGGATGCTAACAAACTGAATAACGGTGAGTTCTGTGTGTCTGAACCGGGAAATGTAACTACTTTCCCTAAGATTAAAAGGTCTTGAGTGGGCTCAGACTTTATGGAAGTCCCACTTGGAAAATGTCTTCATAATCCTTATTTGGACTTATATAAGAGCCCATATTCAATTTTTCCCCAAATCCCACCCCCTTTTTTTCCTGGCAGTACTGGGGATTGAACTCAGGGCCTCATGCTTGCTGGGCAGACACTCTACTACTTGAACCACACCTCCAGCCCTGAGTAGTATGTCTTCAGCCACATGTTCAAGGGGCTCACAGATTTCAGGTGTTGTCAGGAGGAACTGACAGCCCACCAAGGACACAGACATGAATGACTTGCTCTGCAGCCTCCTTTGTTAATGTCTTGTCCATCTTGGGTTCTAAACCTGATGGAGCAGACCCCAGAGGCACTGAGAGGGGAAGTTTGAAGTGGGGAGGGTAAATTCTTGCAAATCAGCCTGGATTCTCTTTTCTTTCTGTCACCCTGGACCAGACAGTAAAGGGACACAGACATGGGGAAGGTGAGCTCTAGTGCTCCCCATGGTTGCACGGCTAACTTCCAGGCTCTGCTCACCTCTGCCGCTGTAAGGAGGAGGTCCTTTCCGGGACATAGCTGGCTCCCCCGTGGTGGCTGTCCCCGCTGCTGCCTCCCCGGGCCCAAGGCAGAGCCCCTCCAGCTGCCGCGGCGCCTCCAAATTGCTGGAGTTTGGAACTGAGTTCGCTAATGATGCTGGCTTTTACTGTGGCCAAGGCTGAGGCCTGAGGCTGGGCCAGGGGACCAGGCAGGGGTGGCGGTGGGGGGCCGGGACCCTCCTCCCAGGGCAACAGCTTCCGAGGCAGGGAGGACGCTGCTGGCAAGGGCACCGGTGGGATTTCTGACTCAACTGCCACCGGACCCCCAGCCACACCTGCAGTGGAGGGTCCTGAGCAGGCACTCAGGGCCAGCAGCCCATCGGTCCCAGCTCCAGACACGGAGACAGTGGGGCTGGTGGGGGTGACAGGGTCTCGAAGTCCCCCACTGGGGCCAGGACGAAGGCCTCCACTGGCCCCCAGGGCCCGGCCCCTGAGCTTAGAGGGAGTCATAAGCTGTGGGGGATACGGTGGGACAGGGGTCCCGGTCCCCCCGAAGGCCTGGCCATCCAGGTAGGCCACGTAGGTGTCCAGAAGCTCGGGCCCACTGGCCACGCCAGCCCCGGCCCCGCCCCCTGCGCTGCCCCCGCCCTCAGCGGAGAGGCTGCTGAGCGTGGACGCGCTACTGATGGTCTCCAGTGGGTGGTCACTGCTGCTCCTACTGTCCACTTCCTCAATGCCAGAATCCGTTCCGGGGGGAGGGTCTGGGCCGGGCTGCGGGGCAGGGGCAGCCGGTGCTGCTGGGGCCGGAGGGCCTGGCGGAGGGGGCTCCCCAGGAGCTGTGGGGGCTCCCTGCGTGAGCGTGGCCACCTCGCTATCATAAGATGTCAGGCTGGACGCGGTGGAGTCCAGGGTGGGAGGGGCGGGGGCCACAGCAGGGGGTGGCACAGGGGGCAAAGGGGTGGTCGGGGCGGGTGGGTCAGGCAGCGGATGGGGGGGCCCGGGCGTGAGGGGGGACTCTGGCTTTTCGAAGCTGTTGGAGAACTCCAAGGGAGGGGGCAGCGGCTCCACAAAGAGGAACTCGCCGTCGTCCACGTCCACCGAGGGGGCGGGCGGCGGCAGGACCAGCAGGGGGAGCCCGTTTTCCTCGCTGCTCCGCGGGGAGGTTGGGGAGGCGGGCACGGCGCGGCGCGGGCTGGGTGGCGGGACACTCGGCCCGTCCTCGGTGGAGGATCCCCTTCCCCCGGCCGCGGGGACACGGGGTTGGCAGTTCTCCAGGAAGCGCACGTGCAAGGGCAGCCTCTCGGGCTCCTCAGGGGCTCCGGAGCGCCAGGCCTTGCTCACGACGGGGTGCGGGGTTGGGGGCTCGGGTCCCAGCTGCAACAGGAGGGGCCCGACCCCGGGAGCCGCGGGGGGCAGGCGGTGCAGCAGGGATCGGCGGGCAGCAGGTGGACTGGCCGGGAGGGACTTCTCCTGGCTGCCCAGCCCTGCCCTGTAACCCAGTTCCCGGCGGGCGGGATCCGGGGGCGAGGCCCCCCAGAGGCGCAGCACTGGCTCGTGGTGCGCGTGGGGCGAGTGGTGGTGCGGGGTGGGCGGCGGGGCCTCATAGCGGGGCGATGGGGGCCTGGGAGGGGGTTGGGGGGCCCCACCACCCTCCGAGGACTCTTTGAGCGCGCGCTCCCGAGCAGCCAAGGCCAGCCCGAGCGGGGACGCGGGATCGAGGGCCTTGCCGGTCAGCGGGTGCACCAGGGGACGCGGAGGCAGGAAGCTGGTGAAGGCGCTGCTGCCCCCGTAGGCTCGGCTGCCTGCTCCGTAGCCCGCGTAGCCCGCGCCGGGACCCGCGGACTCCAGTCGGAGGTAGGGCTCGGCGGAGAACATGCCTTCGTCGATGGACTTGGAGTGGCGCAGCCGGGGACCAGGGGGCGCACCTGCGCCCAGCGCGCTGTCGCTGCCATCCTCATCCCCGGCGTCGGTGGAGAGGAACAGAGTGGACCGCCGGCGGGCTTCATTCTGCCAGCCCCCTTCCCTGCGAGCCGCCCCCACTAGGGCCGCCCCGAACTGGCTGGTGAAATCGAGGGTGGCGGGGCCGCTGGGCGACGCGGGGGTGGGCACAGGCGACGGAGACGGTGGCACTGGTGACGTGGCCGGGGCGGGGCTGGGCGAGGGGCCGCCGCCGCCACCGGCACCGCCACCGGCACCGGCACCGGCACCCTCGGGCTGGGTGGGGGGCTCCGCCTCGGTGCTGCTGCCCTGGCTGCTGCGGCCACTGCTACTGGTGGACGGGGCCTTGATGATGATGGTGGGGATGGAGATGGAGTTCTTTTCCGAGGGCGCGGCCGCGGCGGGCGGCGGCTGCGGGGAGGCCGGGGACGTGGGCGAGGGCGCGGGCGGGAGGCCACCTTTTTGGGGTTCGCCTTCCACTTTGGTCTGCTTGACCAGCGGGCCCTTGCGGCCTCGGCCCGAGCGGGCTGGCACGTACATGGCCGCGCTGGCCGCCCTTGGGGGCAGCTGGAAGTAGCGCAAGGCCGGGGCCTGGGATGAGCCACTGACACCGCCCCCGCCGCCATGGTGCGATGGGGAGGGGACCCCCGGGGTCGGGCTAGGCCCACCGCCCCGCCAGCCTCGCAGGCTGGGTTGGGGACCCAGAGCCAGTCGGGGTGGGGGATCGTCCGGAGAGCCTCCGGTCTCCATCTCCGGGGGGTGAGGGGGGTGGGCGTGGTGGTGGTGGGGCTGGGGGGGCGGGGCGTGGTGGTGATGGTGGTGGGGTGGATGGTGGTGGGCAGGGGGCAGGGGGCCACTGTGGTACAGGCTCTTCTCACGGCCCCCCACTCGGGTTTCGGGAGGGGAGGGTCCATCGAAGGATGCTGGAGAGGAGGCAGGGAGGGGCCCACCTGAGCCGGGGTTGAAGGGGGCTCCCCGGGGGGAAGGGGTGAGGCGGCCTGAGGAGGAGGGGGCCGGAGGTGTGCTATAGGGGGGCTCTGGTGGGGACGTGGTGGGTGGTGGGGGGATGTCCTCTGAACCGGGCACAGACAGGCTGCGGCTGAACTTCATGGCTGGAGGTGCTAGGTAGGGTCTATCATCCTCTGTAGCCCCTGGGGAGACATGTGGGATCCAGGAGTGGCGGCTGGGCTAAGGACTTTCCTGCTCCCCGTATCCCACAGATATTATTACCACTACTAATGACGGTATCTAATATGCGCTAGAAACTTCCCATGGGTTATTAAACGCTTTAGGTGATACAGGTGTGCACTGCACAAGCGAAACCAGCAGGGGGAGCAAGGGAGACGGTGAAAGTCACCTGAATTTCCTCCTCAGGCCATGAGGGGGCGCCTTTTTTCCCTCCTAATTTTGCCTGTGCATGCTAGTGCTGGCTTGGAGCTGGGAACGGGTCGCCATGGTTATGTGCATGATTGTACGCTTTTCTTGTATATGCAGGAAGGGGTGCAGCGAGTCATCAGACCTGTGATTTTACAGACGGCTGCTCAGGGGGCCACTAGTGTGAAAAATTCTGGATACTCAGTGTGGTACAGGTGGACCTAAACCATAGGAGACCCTGTTTTACCCTCTGCTTTCTCTGTTGCTCTCTCTTCTCTCCAGGAGTTTGAGCTTGCTAGGCAAGTGCTCAATCTTTTGAGCCATGCCTCAAGCCCTTTAGGTTATTTTTCAGATAGGGTTTTGTGTTTTTTTCCCAGGGCCAGCCTTCAGACCATGATTCTCCTACCTCTGCCTCCCTTGTAGCTAGGATTACAGGCACATGCCCCTATGCCTGGCTTGTTTTGTTAAAATGGGGTCTAACCTGAAACCCTGATCCTTGCCTCTCAAGTAGCTGGGTTTACAGGTATGAGCCACTATGCCCGGCTCTGACTGCTGTCTTTTAACTGGTATCTGGCTTCAACCACTACCTCTCTGTTGCCAGCTTCCACATTAAAAAAAGTCTGGAATCTCATTCTGGCCCATGAGCGCCAGGCTCTTATATCCAGGGATGCAACATGTCGCTATTTTCTAGATGCAGAACCCAAAGCCCAGACAAGTGGAGCCGCCTGCATCAGATTGCACAGCAAGGAAGGAAAGGAGTCAGGATTCACACATAAGCTTCCCAGCTCCAAAGCCCGACCTAACTTAACTATCTATGCTCACACATGAAGAAGACACTTCCAAGTGCTCAGATTCCTCCATAAACAATCACCCCCACACACTCCACATTCCTTACACCCCCTCCTTGGGGCAGGGGAGGACATACCAATAGATTTTTGACGAAGCATGAGCCCTGGTCCTGGAGGCAGGAAAGATGGACGTTCATAGCTTGGTTGAGAACGGTGGTGGGGATCAAAGCTCGACTTTGGGGCGGCAGTTGGAGGGAGAGAGAAAAGACAGCAGAAAAAGATCAGTCAGGGTGAAGAGGCTCCATTGTCACCTCTATTCCTTCTTGGGGGGCCTTGGCAGGATGGGCTCAAGAAGGTTGAAAGGATTTCTGGGGAGAGGAAAGCATCTTAAGTCTGAGTGGGGGAGAACGGGAAGAGCAGTAGACTGGGATTGTGTGGCTGAAGTGGTAGAGCGAGCGCCTGAGAGACAGAGGAAGGGAGGGAGAGAAGAGAAGGGAGGAAGGAAGGAAAGAATTCCATCATTCAGGAGGTGGATGGAAACAGGGGGATCTCGAGTTCAAGGCCAGCCCAGGCTACATAACCAATAGCAGCCTGCAGCTCGTAACAGACCATATACTTCAGTATAGATCCAGAAGTGCAAGGCGGAACTAATCCAGGCTGCAGCTCCCACTGCAGTGCTCTCACTGCAGTGTCCACTGCACCAGGCTGCAGGCAGATCCAGGGAGCCCCATCCCGGCTTCCTGGTTCCCTTCAGGCTCCCCCTTAGCAAATGGTTGGCCTAAGATCCCTACATTGGGCTCCCAGTCTACGATGCCTCTCTCCACTTGAAGGCTGTGTGTGCTCCAGCCCTTGCCTTGCTCACTCTGTCCCCACCACATCCCACCTCCCAGTGTCTCCAGGTCTATCCTGGCTACAGAACCTCCAGGTCCTGACCCTTCTCTCTTCAGTGACTTTCCTCTTCATTGCCACATGTGCAGTTCAACTTCTCCACCCAGATGTCCCACGCGGGCTTCCTTAGAGTGTCCCTCTCCATTAGAAACTACTGTCTGCTTGCTGTCTCTGCCTACCACTGACATAGAGGAAAGACAGACACCTCCCAGCCTCCCAGCACTGTAGCTACAGCGTTAGTGGTTTTTTTTTTTTTTTTTGGTGTTACTAGGGTTTGAACTCAGGACCTCGTGCTTGCTAGGCAAGTGCTCTATCACTTGAGCCATGCCCCCAGCGCTTCTTTAGTGTCTTAATGTTTCATTTTATTTGAGACAGTATCTCACTGTGTAGCCCAGCTGACCTCCAACTCATGATCCTCCTACCTCAGCCTCCTGAGTGCTAGGATTATAGGCATGCACCACCACACCTGGCTTTATGTCTTTTAGAAGCATAAGGGAAAAAAATGAATAGAAGACAGCCTGAATAATACGGTCACTCCTCAGTACCCATGGAAGATGGGTTCCAGGACTCCTACAGACACCAAAACGCATGGCACTCAGTCCCTTACATAAATGGGGCAGTATTTGCACATAACCTACACACATGTTCCCCCTCGACTTTAAATTAGCTCTAGATGACTTATAACACCTGAGACGGTGTAAATGCTGTGTAAGCAGGTGCTGTACTGTGTGGCTCAGAGAATGTCAGCTGGGCACCAGTGGTTCACACCTGTAATCCTAGCTATTCAGGAGGCAGAGATCAGGAGGATCAGGGTTCAAAGCCAGCCCCAGGCAAATAGTGCTCAACACCACATCGTATCTCGAAAATACCCAACACAAAACAGGGCTGGTGGAGTGGCTCAAGGGGTAGAGCATCTGCCTAGCAAGTGTGAGGTTCTGAGTTCAAATGTCAGTGCCTCCAAAAAATAAAAGCCCTAAATGTTCAGTATAGACACTTTCCCCCAAAATATACACATACTTTTTTTTTTGTTAGTACTGGGGTTTGAACTCAGGGCTTCACACTTGCTAGGCAGGCACTTTACCCCTTGAGCTACGCTACCAGCCCTTTTTTCTTTAGTTATTTTTTGGAACTTCTGGTCATCATAGCCTGCCACCCAGGCTTGCTGTCACACCGTAGCTGCTGACCACTCGTATCAATTTCAGTTAATTATAAGCACAAATTCACTGGGTGTGGTGGTACACACCTATAATCCCAGCACTTGGGGGGCAGAGGCAGGAGGATCTTGAGTTAAGAGACTAATCTGGGCTACTTAGCAAACCTTGTCAAGAAAGAAGCAAAGATGGGAAGGGAAGGGGAGAGGAAGAGAAGGGAAGAGAAATTCACCCATCCATTCTTGAACTGGCCACATTGGAAGAGTTCAGCAGTCACCTGTGGCAGGTGGCTGCTATGCTTGACAGCACAGTTGTGGGACATTTCCGTCATCACAGGAAGTCCTGTTAGACATCACTGGTCCAACACATCCTGACCTTCCAGGAGCCCAGTGGAAGCGTGTCACTTCTAGGAAGTCTCATTAGGGGTGACCAAAGAGTCAGCAAGGTGCCTTTCAACTCTTCCTAGTTCCTGTTACCTGGATTACTGATGCAATAGCTACAGCTCCAGCAGCCATCTTGGCCTAGAAGCTCACTTTGTGATTGGAAGCAAAAAGTAAGAAGGATCCTAGTCTTTGTGACTATTGACACTTTCCTGTCTTCCTAGGACTCTAGACTTCTTTAGCATGAAAGAGTTGTAAGCATTTCTCTTGTTCAACCCAACTCTGCTAGGTAAATTCTCTAAAGGAAGCGAAACTATTGACAGGCTCTCTTGTACACTCCAGTCTGGCATACAGTATGTGCTCAGGAAACATCAGTAGTGCAAAAGAGTCCTTGGAGATATTACAAGACATTAAGGGAACCCTGAGGACACAACCCTGGTCCCATCCCTCCGAATATGCCATCAAGCACAGAACAGCTAACCCCAAGTCCGGTGCCCTGAGTGCACCCTACTTTGACCAGCTCCCCCCTCTGCTCTTCTGAGTGTCCTCAGTCTGCCCAATGCTCCTCAACCTTGCTGCAGGTTTTTCTCCTCCTCCTTCTCCTTTTAGCCTCAGCCCTGTGCCCTGCTGGGCTTTCTGTCCTGTCCTCCCTGCATGGTAACAAGGAGAGAACCCTGTGAAAAATAAAGACATTGTGCAGAGGTGCAGAGAGAAGTGGGAGTGAAGGGAGGTGTTTTTGTATAAATCATTTTGTCCGCTGCTTCCTGCAGAGGCCCCCAGGAACCGCCAGCTTTTGAGCTAAGGGTTGATTAGAGCTATGTTCGTGATCATGAAAGAGCCGTGGATCAGAGAGGGGAGAGTCTTGACCTTGATCAGCTGGAGAACACAGAAAAAATTAAAGGGGTGAAGAAAAGGGGTAGCAAGAGTGACCGGAGGGAGACCAGTCAGAAAGGATGCAGGAATGGCTGAGGTGGAAGGCTGGGAAGGACACTATCCCCAGGCTGGGATGGCAGCTGGGAGGAGACCGGAAGGCCAAAGGGGCATGGTGGGGCAGGGTTGATGAGGAGGAGTCAGAGTAATGGGGCAGGAGGCAAGGAGAGCCAGGAGAGGGGACAGAGTGACACTGAGGCAGTTGGAGTGACAGAGAAGGTTCTGAGGGGAGAGATGTGAGCCATGGCTGCAGATGGTATGCGAAGAATAGTGATGGAGAATGTTTTATTTGAAAACTGACAAAATGCTTTGAGGTGAAGAGTACAGGTCAAAAACAAATGGTTGAGTGTGACACAGAAGGGTGAAGGTGGCAGAAGAGGGTGTCACATGGATGGAGGAGCCAAAATAATGAGGAGGCATTGGACTGGCTCCAGATGGGACAGGCTGACCTCCATCAACAAACTCAGGACATCGTCTCCTGCACAGAGGGACAGCCAATCAGATGGCAGCATCTGCTGTGTGATGTCACTAGGTGCCGGGCAGGATCCTTCTTAAAGGGCCAGCCTCTGGGGGCCCAGCTCTTCTGGAAGCCTCATGAGTAGGTCTGGTGCCCCAGTGGCAGGTGTGTGTGCTCCTGCTGGGGCACAGGCTGACAGAGGAAGTGCTGCAAGATTCCTGCTGGGGTGCCAGCAGGACAGAGTAGGGAAGGGGAGACAGACAAAGTAGACATGGGGAAGAGAGACAGACATGTGGAGACAGTGGGAACAGAAACAGGGAGTCCAGAGAGGGGGAGAGAAAGAAAGATTGGGAGATAAAAACAGGGGAAAGGAGACCAGGAATGAAAAGAACAGCCCGAAGCAGCCAGGAGGCAAGGCAGAGCAGACAATGCCACCAGGTGTGGATAAAAATAACCTGAGGGGTCCAGATTTGTGGTTTACACCTGTAATCCCAGCTACTCAGGAGGTGGAGATCTGGAGCATTGCAGTTTGAGGAAAAAGTTAGCAATACCCCTTGTCAGTAAATAAGCTGGGCAAGGTGGCTCATGCCTGTAATCCCAGCTGCTCAGGAGGCCATAGGAATGAGGATCTCTGTCTGTAGCGGGCAGCCCTGGGCAAAAGCTCAAGACCCTACCTAAAAACTAACTAAAAAAAAACAAAACAAAAAGAAAAAGGCCAGGGTCTTGGTTCAAGTGGTAGAGCATCAGCCTACCAAGTATAAGGCCCTGAGTTCAAATCCCAGTACCGCCAAAAAGTAATAAAATAACCCAAGAGAGAAACCAAATAGGAAGAAAGCCACACAGAGGGGACAGATGGATGGACAGCAGAGTCCTGGAAGGGGGCATGGCATGAGGCTCAAGTGGGTGTGTCTGAGCTCTGTGTCCCCAGCCTTGGTCCCAGCTGCTCTTCCTCCATTTCCATTTGAGGTTTTGTGGGGTTTTTGGTGGTACTGGGGTTTGAACTCAGGGCCTCACACTTGCTAGGCAGGCACTCTACACTTGAGCCACTCCACCAGCTCTGTTTTGTGTTGGGTTTTTTGAGATAGAGTCTCAGGAACTATTTGCCCAGGGCTGGCTTTGAACTGTGATCCTTCTGATCCCTGTCTTCTGAGTAGCTAGGATTATAGGCGTGTGGCACTTGACTCCAATTTCTGGGATCTTAAACAGCAGCATTTTATACTGTGGGTTGGCTTAGCACAGACCTGACCCAAGAAGCCTTGGGGTGACACTGAGCCCTGACACTGCTGCTGGTCCAGACGCAAAGGGGTGCACACAGAGTGAAGAGGGAAGAGAAGTATCAGAGATGGGGACGCAGAGGACACGACCCTGCAAGAGGCCACCAGAATGCAGGAACCTCACGAGGGGCTCTGTGTTGACTCCAAGGGTGGGAAAGACTGGGGTGGCAGGTGGGAGGTAGCAGACATGGGAGCACAGAGAGCTCTCCTAAGTGAGAGGATGCTTACAAGGGCTCAAGACGGATCCAGGAAGTGAGAGAAGAGAAGGAAGTTTCTACGAGGTCAGTGACCCTGGCCTCCTGGATTCCTGGTCAGGGAGGGGCAGGGAAGATTTCAGGTGAGCGCATGTGGGTTTCATGTCTCAGGGGTCAGGGCAGGTGGCAGCTGGTTTCATTGATGGTTGGTGGCGGTGCCTATCCGAGGGGGGTGTCTTTGGAGCCTCGGTGGTAAGTTCCTAAAGACTCAAGATCGTGTCTGTCCTGTAACCAAGTTCACGCAGCCGGGCCTAGCATGGTGGCTGCTGGCATTTCCAGGGGCTCTGGGCACGTGTGGAATGAATGAAGGAAAGGATTTTCTTGTCTCAGGCTCAGATGACCTTGGGTGTTCTTGAGTATACTGGAGTCTGTGTGGCAGGCAGGGCTCGCTAAGTTACAATGGGGTCACTCGTTATTTTCTGTCTTGTTGACAGTTTGTTGTGCTAGAGTTAACTTCACTGAACCCTCATCAGAACGGCGCAAAGTCAGCTGTGGCCCCAACTTACAGAAACGGAGAGTGAGGCGCAGAGACGCGAGATAACATGATCCAAAGTGACACACGAAGTTAGGAAAGTCAGCATTTGAATCCATGCCCATCGGTTATTATAGACTTTCTGGGGACCACGAATAAAGAGAAACAGTTGGGGGGAAGGTTTACAGATGCAGGGAGGAAAATTCAGACAGAAGAGGCCACAGACCCAGATGAAGAGGAAGCCTGGAGGAAATACTGAAGCAGTAATGGATGAATGACGAACATGGGGGTGTCCTGAAACCCAGTCCACTTAGGACAAAACAAAGCTGAAACCATTTCACCTTAGAATGGTGAAGGGCACCGGTTCGGAACCCGAGGTGAGACCTTTCCCCAAGGAATGTCTGCTGACAGTTTTGGACTAATGGGAAAGGTAGAATTGGCGTCTGGAAGAAAGAGATCAGAAACGCTGCTCAGCACCCTAAATTGCACAGGACAGGCCCTATAATCAAGAGCCATCTCCCCCCAACGCAGTCAACGCTGGTTATTTGCAGTAGATAAATTCTATAAAGTGAGTACACGTTTTGTCAGCCAACTGATACATAATCTTGCTTTATGTGTGTTTTTTTCTGAAAGACACCTTATTTCATCTAGTTTGTGAATTCATTAGCGTTAAACCCATGCACTATAGCTCATGTCTGAACAAATTTTATCTTCCCAACGACTATCACAGCCTTCCTGCATTTGGGGACAATAGACGGCACATCCACACTGTACTTGAGGGACATTTTAAACACTAAAATAACCAAGCAAAAGCACAAAAATGCCACTAATTTGGTCAACTACAGGATGCCAGTCTGGTATGAGCACTGAGAAAAGGTAGAGAGCACACCTGGTTCATCCTGGCTACAAAGATGAGTCGATCGACTGGAAATTTTTACCACTTAATGCATGCTCATGAAAAACCTCACAAATACTGATTTTGGGGTATAAATAAATACTGGCAGGTAGGAAAATTTAAAAATACAAAATCCTCAATTACTGAGGATGGGTTCTGTCAACAGTGCTGATGTTACAAAGCCTGGTGTACAGCAGGCATGGTGAATCATGCCTGTAATCCCGGCTACTCAGGAGGTAAAGGCAGAAGGACTGAGAATTTGAGGCTAGTCTGGGCAAAAAGTGAGTGAGACCCCATTTCAACAAAAAAGCAGGATGTGGTGATGTATGTCTGTACCCCAGCTATTCAGGAGGCTTTAAGTAGGAGGACTGTGGTCCACACTAGCCAGGGCAAAAAAAAAAAAACCCAAAACAAAAACAAAGAAACAAAAAAACCCCACGAGACTCTACTTGAAAAATAACTAAACCAGAAAGGGCTAGTGGAGTGGCTCAGATAGTAGAGCGCCTGCCTAGCAAGTGTGAAGCCCTGAGTTCAAATCCCAGTACTGCAAAAAAGAAAACAACAGGAGGACTAGATTTGAGCTGATGTTCTGAGATGACAGCCTCCGGGGCTGCAGAACTCAGAACTGTATGTGACACTTCAAAAATTCCAAGAGGACTGGGTGCAGGAAAACCATCCCTGAGACACAGGGACCATGGGGACAGGAAGGAGCGCTCTGTTGATCATCTGCTCTGCTGAGTGTTGAACTCATTTCACACCCTAAGCAGCACCAAGGTCAGCTTTTTACAGAGCAGGACACTGAACTTGTGGGAGGGGGACACAGATGATGGGACACCTGCAAAAACTTCAAGTTCCTTGAGAAACCAAGGATTAGGTACAAAGGGAGGGACTCTGCCAGGCCAGGAAAAGTGGCCAAGGGCCCTCTGTCTCTAGACTGAAAAGAAACTCCAGGAGTCCTGGGGATGGAATCCAGGGCTTCACACATCCTAGGCAAGCACTCTCGCACTTGCCCTTTGGGTTTGTATTCTGATTTTTTGGTGTTTTGTTTTGGCGGTCCTGGAGTTTGAACTTAGGGCCTCATGCTTGCTAGACAAGCGCTTTATCTAACACGTGAGCCACTCTTGACAGCCCTATATTTTGTTTTTCAGAGCGAGTCTCACTAACTTTGCCAGGGCTAGCTTTGATCTCAAGATCCTCCTGCCTCCTCCTCTGGAGTAGCTGGGATTACAGGTGTGCGCTATCATGCCCAGAATGTTCTCTGCTCTTGATTCTCTAGAGCCTGTAAGCTAATCCTTGGGATAGGCTGGGGATAGACTTCAGTGGGCCTATGCATTTGGACAGGAATAAACAATCTATTTTTCACATTTTCCAAAGAAAGCTCCACTGCTCCTCAATTGAGAGTGTAGACAATAAACTCGCTAGTCTCAGCAAGACTGGCGTCTGCATCCCTAAAAGAAATCACTGATATTTCCATATCCCATCACCGCGGTGCAGATTTCCCCAAACAGTGTTTATGCTCCTCGTGATTGTGAAATTAGAGTGGTTAAGATCCACTGCTAGCTCTCACAGCGGAGTGTGTTGACAAAAAGCACTGATATTATGATATCACAAATTGTGCTTTCAAAAAATATTTTGATAACTCTATTTTGGTGTAACTGGCTTCTTTTGTTAGCTCACACATGGTATTTTAAGTATTATTCTTTTTCTGGGTGGAGCTGGGGAGGGAATCAGAGCCTTGCACATGCTAAATAAGGCTCTATTACTTCACCCTCCCCCTGCAACTTTTTTTTTTTTTGGTGGGACTGGGGTTTGAACTCAGGACTTCACACTTGCAAAGCAGGCACTCTACCACTTGAGCCACACCTCCAGTCCCTTTTGCTCTGGTTATTTTAGAAATGCAGTTTTCTTGAACTATTTGCCCAGGCTGGCCTTGAACCTTGATCTTCCTGATCTCAGCCTCCCAAGTGGCTAGGATTACAGGTGGGAGCCACAGGCACCCAGCTTGTATGGTTCTTGCTGCTACTTTTGCCCAGGCTGGTCTGGAACCCTGCCTCCACCTCTTGAGTAGCTGGGATTACAGTCAGGCATCACCGTGCCTGGCTTATAAGCAATATTCTGAGAAAGACTACACCAGCCTGTCCTCTAAATGCTAAAGAACCCAGGTTTAGAGTGAATGGTTCTTTGGCCACCAGGTGGTGGGTGAGGACAGAGCCTGGGCAGGCAGGGCAGTGGGTGGTCTCTGGAGGTTACAATGACAAGCATGTCAGGGGATGTCTTGTCAAGAGGTATAGCCCAGCAGGGTCCCACGGGAAAAGCCAGGGCTGATGTGGGGTGGGAACCAGCAGAAGCGGGGAGGGTGAGAGAGTGAAGGCAATATGGGTGAACAGATCAAAGTACTTTATACATGTGTATGAAAATAGAATAATGAAGTCTGTTAAATTTCTTTTGAAGCGATAGAGAGGAAAAGGAAGAGTAATGGGGTGAATTTAATCCAAGTATGCTATATGTAGGTATGGAAAATTCAGTGAAACCTCATTGGAAAATTAATATACACTTTAAAAAAAAAACTGAGCTTGCACCACAGGTTTAGGGATCTGACTGGCTGAGTAGACATCTTGGATCCTTCACTGAGCCTCAGTTTCTCCATCTGCACACAGGCTAACAACCATGTATAGTGCACAGAACGATTCTAAAAAATGAATGAGGTAATCCATATAAAACACAGCACTCAAAAAATGATCATGCCTCATTACAGGTTAGTGTCTTTCTGTGTGGAAGGGCTTGAGGAAATAATTCTCTCTTTTTTTTTTTTTTGCAGTACTGAGGTTTAAACTCAGGGCCTACACCTTGAGCCACTCTACCAGCCCCTTTTTGTGATGGGCAGGGTCTCATGAACTATTTGCCTGGGCTGGTTTTGAACCACAACCCTCCTGATCTCTGCCTCCCGAGTAGCTAGGATTACAGGTGTGAGCCACCAGTGCCCAGGTCATCTGTTTTGTTTTGTTTGAGACAAGGTCTTCCTATGTTGCCCAGGCTGGTCTGGAACTCCTGGCCTCAAGTGATCCTCCTGTTTCAGCCTCCTAGATGGCTGGGATGACTGGTGTATGCTACTGTGCCCAGCTTAGCATCGATTGTTAGGCTGAGACTTGCCATCTATGACATCATTTTGCCTTCATCAGGAGTAGCAGCTAGGAAGGGTTTGGAAGAAGAGAGGGATAGCAGTTCCAGATTGGTACATGCACTCCTCACGGCCCTCCCCAAGCCAGGCTGCCTACCTCGGTGGCGAAGAAACCTTTAGGTCGGTGCTTGCCTAGAGACGCGAGTCCACCAGGCCCTGGACTCTCGCTTGCACTGATGGTCTGTTGAGCTGCAGCCAAAATTTCATCGAGTTTGTCTAGTGAGGATGGGGGGTGGGGAGGGTGAAGAAGGGCGGGGAGACAAGAAATGGAGCTTGCTCTGATCTGCCACAGGGACAGGGACAGAGACGGCGCCCTAGAGCTTTGTATGGATTGTGGATAGGCAGTCCTGCTGGGTGACATCTCCCAAATCAACAGACAGGGCCTAGAGACAGGAAGGGGTGAGGGCTCCTCCAAGGAGCAAGGTGGAGGGCAGGCAGGAGGAAGGAGGAGGTGAGATTGTGACATGGATGGAGTACTAAGGTCCTGAGCGCAGAGGTGGCTGAAGGATGCGCAGGCACAAACAGGGCGGTGGTGGCTAGGCAGGACACTTTGGCGTGTGGGACCCTTGGGCAACGTGGGGAGCGGGGCTGGACCATCTTACTGAGAGCCATCTGATACACGGTTCGCTTTTTCTCCATGCTGGGCACCGGCGCAGGCTGCTGCTCGTATTCTGTGGGCAAAGGGTACCCATGAAGCCCAGGTGCGCGCCCCAGGGGAGCGGGGCGGAGCGAGCTTAGCCAGCGGGCGTGGCCAGCAGGTGCAGGCCAGTGGGCGTGGCCAGCGGGCGTGCGCAAGCGCGAGTGGGGCAGTGAGGGGGCCGGGGTCAAGGGAGGGGCGAGGAGGAGTCGCCGGCGGGATCGGGAGACCGCGGCCCTCCCGCCAGTCCTGTGCCCACTCACCACTCTTCTTCTTCCAGGGGGAGACTAGCCCGGGGGAGAGGCAGCAGAGGAGCCAAGAGTTAGGAGGTCAGGGGGAGGTGAGGGACCCCCTGTCTGGAATGCCCTCCTCCCTTAAGGCCCTGGGGTGGGGGACGGTCAGCTGCCAGGCTTGCCCACTGTTAGGGGAAACAGGACCCCCTGGGTCCACTCTGGCCCTGACTGGAGGTTGGGGCTTACTTTTCTCTTTTATTCCTCCAGTGGAAGGAGGGAGAGAGAGGGAAAGAGAGGGACAGAGAGGGTGAGAGAGGGAGGGAGGGAAGGAGGGAGAGACAGAGATGAGAGAGAGAGATAGAGAGAGAAGAGAGTGGGGTGAGCTGGGAGGGATGCAGAAAGAAGGAAAGAGCGCGTTCCACAAAAAGGGACACATAGAGACCCCAACAGAGAAACAAAGTTACAGAGGACAGAGGAAAGTCACCTCTCAGACACCCCTTCCCAGCCACACACAGGCAAGGCCACAGTCTGACCCAAGGACTTGGGGGACAAGGTGAGGACAGAGGACCCCTGGTCACTAACAAACACTAACAAACTGGAGGAATGGTCCAGCCCCCCTCTCCTTGCCTTCCCTGGCCAGCAGCCCAGCACACTCACCCATTTCTTCCAACTCTGAGGTCATAGATTTCGAACGCAGAGAGATGGTTGGGGGCGGGAGTCGCTTGGCCTGCTGGGGTGCTGAAAAGTCCATGTTGGGGTGAGAGGCATCAGCACCATTTGGAGAGGTCCCCCAAAATTCCCCTACCTCCACAGTGTCCCCAGAGCTCCAAGAACAGCACACCTCAGCATCTGAGCCCTCCCTCCATGCTTGTTTCTCCCCCAAAGGGTTGGGAACAAGAAGCCTTGGGGAAGGGAAGGAGGTGAGTAATGGGGACCAGCCATCTGTGGTCCTGAGGCTCTTGCTCTGGTGGCAATGGGGCGCCAGGTGGCTGGAGAAGCAAGCACCTTTCTTATGGACGGCTTCATCCATGTCCGGGTGCCTGGTAACCATCACCACCTTGACCATCAACGTGTTGCCTCCTTGGCGAATCATGCTTACAACCTGGCGATGGCCGACCTTCACCACATTCTGCCCGTTCACCTGTGGCACAGGTGGAGAGGAGGGGAGAGGTCCTTTGGGCTTGGAGTCCCCCCACAAAAAGCGACCTCTCATCCTGCCCTGTCTGTGACCCTGTCCACCACTCTCTCCCTCCCTTCCACCCTCCACACCACCCTTCCCCTAACCAGGCCTCCTTCCCCCTCCCTGTAGCTATCCTGGCCCCAGGTTAGAGGAGGGGTTCTGGACACCCTGTTCACTTCTGCCTCCCTTGTTGTCACAACTCCAGATATGTCTGTATTGGGGGAAGCTCTGTGAGACTCTTGACAATGACCTTTAGATGGAACTGTTGCTGAAGTGGAGGTTGCCTGGGAGGGAGGTGGACCACAGGGCTGGGGAGCCCCCCAAAACGAATCTAAAGTTGGGCAGCCAGATGCTGGTGTGACTGTCACCAAGGTCCCATGGAGCAGTGCAGACAGGACTCACCTCGATGAGGAAGTCACCCATTCGCAGTCCAGCCCGCCATGCCACACCACCCTCATCCACCGACTCCAGGTACTGCAGCGCCGGGAAGGCCGGGGTGGGGGTGAACTCCTCGATGGGGGTCTGCGCTGCAGATGGGGAGGAGCCGGCGGGCAGGGTCGGAGGGGAGAGGGTGGAGAGGCCGAGCAGGGGATGGGGCTCAGACCCAAGTCACAGAGGCCTCACCATAACTGAGGGACCAGCACCCCAGGGTGGGGTGGTGGGTGGGCTGGGGGACCCTTCTCCTTTCCACCTATCCCACCCCCCCACCCAGCCCTGCTTCCTGGGTCAGAGAACCCCTCTCCCATCCCCCTCCCAGGCCGGCACTCACCCTTGGCCCCCCGGAGCACGAACCCAAAGCCCTCACTGTCTTTCTTCTGAAGTAGAACTGTCTTCTCCTTAATGATGTAATCGCTGGCGAGGAGCAGGAGGGATGGGGGTGGGGGTGGGGATGGAGGAGGGATCATGAGACTCAGAGCTGGTGTGCCACCCAGCAACCCAGAGCCCCAGTTCCTGCCCTGGGTTCCTCCCCCACTCAGTCTGCATGTGCTCACAGGCCTCCCCCTCAGAGCCAGTGCTGTGCCTCTCACCCACTCTTTCCTCATTCATTCATCCATCCATGCCTCCGTCCACCCATCCATTCAGCAAGGACTTCCTGAGCCCACTGTGCACCAAGGCACCCAGAGGCTCCAGGTTACCACAGCCTGGGCTGGGTCCTTGCTAGCCACTTCCTGTCTGTGACCTTGAGCTCATGACTTTAACCTCTGGTGCCTCAGTTTCCTCATAGATAATGGGGCAGTTACAGAACCATGTCTGGTGGGATGGTTGGAGAGGTCAGAGTATAGTATCTGGCACGCAAGATTTGTTCACTGTCCTTAGATCAGGGTATTAAGTGAACAGGACACATGTTCCCCCCCACACACACCTTTTTTTTTTTTTAAACAATACTGGGGTTTGAACCCCAGGCCTTGAATATGCTAGGCAGGTGCTCTACCACTTGAGCCACACTCTTTTTGGATGTATTTTGCTTTTGAGGCAGAGTCTCATTATCTTTGCCCCAACTGGCCTCAAACCAGTAATCCTCCTGCCTCTGCCTCTTGAGTAGCTGGGATTATAGACATGCACCACTATGCCCGGCTTGATGCATGTTCTTTGAGCCTCCAGACTCCTTTATTATATATACATCACAATAACATCTCCCAACGTCCCAAAGCTGCTGGAACACTGCTTATTCTGCACTGTCCAATATGGTAACCACTGGCTGCATGTGACTATTTTTATAAGAGTTAGTCAAAACTAAATGTACACATTCAGCTCCTCAGTCACAGCAGCTACATGTGGCTGGTAGCTACCATGCAGGGCAATGCTGACATAGAACATTTCTGTCACCTGCAGAAAGCTCCAGTGGACAGCACTAACTTCTGTGTCTCTTTGAAAAACTCAAGTCTACCTCCTGCATGCTCTCAGTACAGTCTGGTAAAATGCAAACCCCCCTATGGATATGTTGACAGTCCCCAGTAAAGCCACCAAATCCCAGAAGCACATTTGGGTAAGGCTCACACAGCCAGTAAACATCAGGAGAGCTCAAGTCATGGCATTTGTCATCATGCCTGCTCAGGTTTGCTCAAACAACATCCCCAGGTTCCCTGCTACCACCACTGTATCCATCTGAAATGCACAGTCAAGAGGATCCAGAACCCCAGTATTCATCAAGAACACCCAAACGCTCCAGCTTCAGCTGGTACCCCTTCAGAGTACCTTAGAACACCCTGGAGCCACCAGGATGCCCGCCCTGCCATGCCTCCACTCCAAGCACCCTTCAAAAATGTATAATGATGCCCAGAACCAGTGAATGCTTACAGTAACCCTGCTTTGTGTTCCAACAATGCCCAGACCCCCTAACACGGCCCAGTAATACCCATGTGGCTCTAATACACCTCAATAATAGCCAAGCAGGCTCCCCAATTACCTACCCCCACAGATTCAGTAAAACAGCCCTCCACAAATACTCCAGTATATTTCAGTAACACCCCCATACTTCCCAGTATGCGCCAATAATAACTCCCCCTCACTCTGATCTCAGTCTATTCCCAAACACGCCTCCTGAACACATGCCAGCACAAGCAAATAATACCTAATGTGCTCTGACTGTATTTCAGCACCGCCCCCCACAAGCACCTCTGTATGCACCCATGACCCACATGACTTCCATTGTGGAGTCCGTGCCTTTGTGCCGTAGGACAGTATTCTGCATGTGCCTCCCTCCCTATCACATGTACAAGAGACACAATCCAGCCACTTTGCCCCCACTGGCCTTTCTCCAAGTTCATTCTAGCCAGGCACAGGTAGCTCACACCTGTAATCCCAGCCGCTTGGGAGGCTGAGATAGGGAGGATCGAGGTTTGGGGCCAGCCCTGGAAAAGTGCAGGAGACCCCCATCTCCAAAATAACCAAAGCAAAATAGACTGAAGGTGTGGCTCAAGCAGTAGAGTGCTTACTTTGCAAGCATGAAGTCTTGAGTTCAAACCCCAGTCACTCACACACACACACACACACCCCACAAAGTTTGTTCTGGTCCAGTAGATAAATCCATACTGTATCTTCCATGACTTCCTCCTCCTGACCACCCCCAGGGTAGGCCACTTTTGTGGATGGATGGAGCAGGGGAGAGGACAGAGGCTGAATGAGGGGAGGGGAAGAAGATGGGAAGGGAGGACAGGGAGATGGAGGAGGTGAGTGCATAGGAAGTTGGTTCACAGGTCAGAACTGCTTGCTCCTAATCTTGTGTTCTGTGACAGCCCCTCCCTATCTCTGTCCCCACCACAAACCCTGACAAGTCCCTCCAAGAGCTTGCTGTGCTCCCATTCCCTCTCCAGGTCTCCAAGTCCCCCCAGTAGCCAACAGTGCCCTTCAGCTCCCATTTATACATCCCTATTCTCTCTCTCTCTCTCTCTCTTTGGCTACTGGAGTTTGAACCCAAGGCCTTGTGCTTGTTAGGGCAGGCACTCTACCACTTGAGCCACACACCTCCAGCCCTGGAATCTTTCTTTTACCCCTACATCATCTTCACACGCCACACATCAGCCTTCCTTAAATACTCCACCCCCAAGATAACTGGAACTCCCATGTTCAAGATATACCAAAGAAAGAATGCTGTGCTGGGCACCGGTGCTCACGCCTGTAATCCTAGCTACTTGGGAGACAGAGATCAGGAGGATTGTGGTTGGAAGTCAGACACAGGCAAATAGTTTGTGAGACCCTATCTTGAAAAAACCCATCACACACAAAAAAGGGCTGGCAGAGTGGCTGAAGTGTAGAGCACCTACCTAACAAGTATGAGGCCCTGAATTCAAACCCAATACCGCAAATATAATAAAATAATAATAATAATAATAATAATAATAATAATAAATGTTATGAGCTAGGCAGTATTTAAAGATCTTCACAAGTAAGTCATTCAATTGTCCCCTCACAACCAGCCTCTGAGGAAGACAGAAGTACTATTTCCACTTTACAGGTAAGGAATGTTAAGTAACTTGCCTGAGGTCACACAGTCACATTCTTCAACAATACCCCAGAAAATACCTGGGTGTCTGCAGTAATAATGCCTGTACTCCACAGCACTCAGACATCTTGAACACATATCCATCTGCCCCCGGCTCACCCAGAGCTACTCTTCTGGTGTCTACACCTGAAGTCTGTCCACACAACAAACACATCTAGAACTATTGCTCTTCCCAGCATTTGGCATTTAGTCTTCCCAACAGCTCTGAGAGGGGTTGACTTGTTTCCTTACAGATAAGGAAACTGAAGCACAGAGCGAGAATGTGCCCAAGGTTACACCAGTTAGAAAAAGGGTCAAAGCCAAGATTTGAATTTCCCTCAAGCACTGTACCCATCCCAGGCCAGCACAGCACCACCCCCGACCAGCTCATCTCCGGCATCATGCTCAGCTTCTCTTCCTTCCCACTCCCATGACATCTTGCCCAGCTACACATGGCCCCTCTCCAACCCACCCAACCTCCTGCCCCCCCCACTTCCAGCCGCTGTCTTCATCACCTGCCCCCCCAGTGCCTTCTTCCATCTCTGCACCTCACCCTATGCCATTTGTTCTTCCATGCTGCCCTGCCCCACCCTCACCGCACCCCAGGGCACCATCCCTCACCTCCCAACCTACCCAGGCGCACCCCATGGCCCTTCCCCAAAGTGTCTGCCTCCAGCCTCTGTGTGACCCCCTCGCCCCACCATGCCAGCTCTCCCCCAGTCCTGGACCTCAGCTCTCCCACATTGTCTGTCTCCTCCCTTAGTGAACACTGGGGTTACATACAGAGATGATGACCACATGGTGTCCCTCGGAGCCCCCAGGGTTCTTTTCGTACTGTTTGGTCCTCCCCTCCTCATCTGTGGAACACTCCTTCCTACTTCTGCATCCCAGGCTCACTTGCTTCCGCGTTCTCTGCTCCCCAATCCCCACTCCCAAATCCTCTCCTCAATCCCTCCTTACCCCATTTCTTTTCTACACAACTCTGTACCCCCTCCATGCTCCAGCACCCCCCCACACTCCAGTATCCCCCACTTTCCTGTATCCCATTGTCATCCCTCCCCTTCCTATCCCAGAGCCTTCCAACCCTGCCCCTCCCCCGCACTGACTCCCCACGCAGCACCCCATTCATGCTTGGGATGCAGACTTCACCTGCCCATCAGGAGCTGGCACAATGCTCTCCCCCAGGCCATCCCTGGGCGTCCCTGAGAGGCCTCTGGAGCTGGGCAGCCAGCTCCTACTCACTGGATCCCACACGCAGAGACTGCAGCGCGTCCACTCCCCACCCCCACCCTGAGGTCCTTCTCACATACTCCGGATCCCACAGCCTAGAGCCTGCTGGTGTGCATGGCGCCCTCTCTGATCCTCAGCCCCTCCCTGTGTACCCATCTCCACGGGCCTCTCCGTGTTCTGCCCAGAGGCCCCCACACAGGGCAGCCAGCCCCTGTCCTCATGTTGAGAGGTGACACACACACGGAAATGCGGTAACCCATGCAGAGGCTTCACCGTGGCTTAGCACACGTGCTCCATACGAGCAGAGGGCACAGCCCCCCGACACACACAGACCCCCTGGGGGCAGGACAGGGCACATAGGTACAAAAACATACACGGACCTGCGAAGAGGGGCTAGTGGGGGAAGTTGGGAAACACATCCGCAGTCTCTGGGTCAGATCCACTCCAACACACACACACACACACACACACACACACACACACTCTCTCTCTCTCTCTCTCTCTCTCTCTCTCTCTCTCTCTCTCTCTCTCTCCCCAGACAGCCTCGCTGTCGCTCCAAGTCACACAGAGACAGACACCATCACGCAGGGACACACAGATGGACACAGCTTGTGGGGGGAGTGGGCTAGGAGCCCACCATCTCTCTATCTCTCTTCCTCTCTCTCACACACACACATCCACATAAGGCTGCAGCAGTCACACGCACATTGACAAAGCCACACTGACACATGCACAGTGACACGCAGCGGAAAAAGAGGAGGGGAGGGGAAGGGAGGCCGGGGGCGGCGGGATGCGTGTGTGATGGTGGGGGGGGACGACTGTGAATGGGAGAGAGGGGTATGAATGGGGGTACTTGCCAACTCCAAGAAGAGGGGCGGGGATGGGGGGTTGGAGGGACTGGGCCTGGGGTGTCAGCGCAGCAGCGCCTGAGGGGAAGTCACTGTGGTTTCCCGGGGGGGGGAAGGGGGCGGCGGGGAGGGCTCCACGGAGTGGGGGCGCTAAGGGCGGCAGAAAGGACAAGTGGGTTCTGAATCCTTTTGGGGAGACCTGATTTTGGGGGGAGGTCTTGGAAGAAGACGGTGGGGGCTAGAAAGGCCTGTGAGGGGGCGGAGGAAAGAGTCCCAGGGCTAAGGAGTGTGTATGGCGGGGGCTGGGACAGAGGGGCCCACGGAGGAAGAGGGAGAGGAGACGGGATGTGAAGGGGGGTCTGAAAGGGCTTAGGGCCAGGATCAGGTTAAGGGAGAGGGAACAGGGAAGGGGGAGAAGCCCTGAGGTGTCGCATTAGAAGAGGGAGGGTCGTCTTGGGGTGTGGGGGGCTCACAGAAAGGAGGCGGCGCGCTGGGTTACCTGTAGATGTACCAGACGCTGCGCCGCCGGGGCCCCAGGGCCGGCCAGCTGGAGGAGAGCGCGGGGGGCGGCTGCGGCAAGGAGCCCCCAGCGGGGCCGCCCCCGAGACCCCCGCCGCCACCAACCGCAGACAAAGCCATCGCCGCCGCGGCCCCGGCCCCGGCCCGGGTCCCGGTACCGATCGCCCCCGCCACCACCACCACCGCCGCCGCCGCCGCCACCACCGCGTCCCCGTCCCCGCTCGGCCGAACCCCCGTGTCCGGGCCCCCAGGCCCCGCCTCATGCTGACCCGCGCCGGGAGGGGGGAGGGGGAGGGGGCGCGCACCCCCCCCGCGGGAGGGAGGGCAGGGCCGGGGGGCTCACATGCCGGGGGGCGCGGGGACGCGGGGGCGCGGGGTCGGACCGCGGCGGGAGCGCAAGGACCGCGGACGGCACCGGCTTCAGCACCGCGGACAGCTCCGGAGGCGGGCGGCGGGCGCCAGGCTTAACCCCTTGGCGTCCTGCGCCGGGTAGCGGAGGGGGCCGGGCAGTTGGGGGGGGGGAAGGGGCCCGGGAGGGGAACGTGGGGCCCCCCCTTGGCGGGAGAAGGGGGAGGGGCAAGGCGCGGAGAGGGGGGAAGGGAGGCACTTCCGGTCTTGTTCCCCCCCCCCCTTAACCCCTCCTCCCCCTCGCCAAAGCCCTCCCGCGCAGGTGCAGAGCGAGAGAGAGCGAGCGCGGGGAGAGGGACGCACAACATCTACACAAGATGCCTCGCAACCGCGTGCAGGGACGCGCGGACAGAGCCCCACTTCCAGGCCACGGGTGAGAGAGGTCCCAGGAGGGGGGCACACAGCCCACCACCATCAGCACCATCACCACCACCATCACGGATTCGATCGACACACAGCGCACCCCAACACAGTCTAGAAGGGCCGGGAAAAGAAGGCCAGGACATTCAGTCTCACTGCCCCAGGGCAGTGAAATAGCCCTTCCTCTGCCCTCCGTCACCCCTCCCCAACCACCAAAGAAGCCGTAGTGGAGGGACATCCACACACCATAGCTCACAAGAGGGCCATGGACCCTAAGCCAGTGCGAGGAGAAAGCGCGACACAAGGAGGAAGTACATAGGGAAGGACGCTGGCGACCAGCAATGGGTCCCAGGGTTCACACACAGGCCGGGCCACTGCAGACAGCTTAGGTAGAGCATGGAGAAGGGAGGAAGAGGTTAAGGAGGATGGATTGCTCAGACGCACCGAGCCCCACATGGAGCCCCAGGAGGAGTGAAGGAGAAGAGACACACTGGCAAGACTGCAAAGACAGGCTAGCAGGATTGGAGGGGGAAGCTGAGGTCAGGAGAAACATCCTCACTCAGCCGGTGGAGAAAGTGAACCCTCAAGACCAAGCCAAGGGAAGACGGAGAGATCGCCACAGACAAGGAGACTGGGGGTAGGGGGTGGGGGAACCTCCATACTCACCCAGTGCCCAGAGTTGGAGATGTGCCAGGTGAACTCGCACAATGGGCACCCCAATCCCACCCTCTCTTTCCATGTCGTCATTTCTCTCTCCCCTCCCCCAACCCAGACCCATCCCCACTGGCCAGAACACAGACACAAAGGTTTGGACACATTTAATGGAAGAATGCTACGAACAAGGGGATCCTTCCCTGGATTGGGGGGGCGGCGGAGGAGGGTGTCATCTTTCAGACACCAAATTATAACTTTCCCTCCCTCTCCCACCCCCCTCACAGTCTTGCCCTCTTGAAGCCCAAAGCTCTGGAGTCCCTCCTCCAAGCCCTCCCCTCCCCCAACATCCCAGGTCCTGAGTTTCAGATCAGTCAGACAGATGCAAAGGCATGCACACGCTCTCATGACCCAATGCCTACACGCCGACATGCACAGGTGTGAGCGGACACATGGACATCGGTGACACTTGCTCACAGACTCAAGAAGCACCAATGTGCAGAGCCAGCCACACAATTCTCACAGACAAAAATGCACGGCTTTATACCAAGTGGTCTGGGGAATATTTACAGGGATATTCATCTAAGGGCCTTCCAGCCACGCATGCATCCGGACGCATGTCATGCTCACCTACCGAGACGCACATTCACGCACCGAGAAACCTAAGCTCTGGGCGTGTGCACACACACACATTCATACACCCCACAGGCACCCCATCCTTCCCATCCTGACTCCCATGCCCTCCCAGCCCCTCTCCTCTCACCTCCCTGGGCCAATCCCATCCATCAAGCTTCAGAAGCAAGTCAGCCAGCAGCCAGGGAGGGGAAAGGTGTCAGTGCGCCCCTCTTCCTGTCCCCTGCCCCACCACCAAGCTCTCTACCTGTCCCCTTCCCCCACGCTGGTGTGAGGCATGGTTTGCACACACTTCACTGAACGTGACTACACAGAGACCGGGCACATGAAGGAGACCAGGGCTGCTAACCAGCCACACACATGAGCATCCCGGGCCCCCAAGGGACCCCCTCCATGTCCAACCCAGGCTACCCCTCCCCACCCCTGGGGCTGGACAGTTTTTAGTGGCTGCCAGGGATGGTTGGGGTTGGGCCAGTTGTCTGAAACTAACTCTGTGTTCTCTCACCCTTCAAACTGTAGATGAGACACAGAGCTTACTTAAAGGATAGAGTGTGATGGGAGGTTGGGGTGTTGGGGCGCTTGAGGGTGTAAGGACATTTACCTTGGGGCATCAAAGCTGTCGTAGGAGCCCACGGTATAATGCCGGAAGAGTCTCTTTGCTTTGTCACTGCGGCTTTCTGCAGGGGGGACAAGGACAAACTTGGGCCCCCACTTTGGAAGCCACGAGCCCACCCTTCAACTCCTGGCTCAGGCTTCCCTCTGTCACCAGGCACCCCACCCTTATCTGGAAGGTGTGTGATACTTGTAGGGCACATTGGGAGATAGCTGGGGACTCCTCTTTACCTTGCTTTCCCTCCTGTGAGCGGTTTGCCACCTCTTCCAGGCAGTCAGAAGGGAACCAGCCGACTCGACCTTTGACCTGGCCTTCCCAGAAGCCGCCCTCTCCGATGCTGAGTACTGGACAGGGAACAGGGGCAGGGACACATTCAAGGCTTCTGCTCTACAGTCCCCAAACACACTGCATAGCCCACCCACAACCCCCAGTGTCTGGCCCAAGGGCATCCTTAAGAAAGGCACAGGTGGCTCACACCTGTAATCCAGGCTACTCAGGAGGCAGAAATCAGGAGGATCATGGTTCGAAGCCAACCCGGACAAATAGTTCATGAGACCCTATCTCAAAAAAACCCTTCACAAAAATAGGGCTGGTGGAGTGGCTCAAGGTGAAGGCCCTGAGTTCAAGCCCCAGTACTGCAAAAAAAAAAAAAAAAACACCAAAAAACTGTAACTGGAGGCTGCTTCCTATGGCATTTAGCACTTCCCACCCTCTACTTGTGTTGTATGCCAGGTGCTGAAGGACAGCTAGTGTTTACCTAGCCAGATTCTTCTGAGCCAAAACTCTAAAAGGGGGCACTTTTTTTTTTCTTGTATTAGGGTTTAACCTGGGCCTCCCACCTGTTGGGCAAGTTCTCTACAACTTGAGCCACACCCCCAGCCCTTTGCAGTTTGATTTTGACACAGAATCTTACTAACTTTGCTTATTTGGGCTGGCCTTGAACTCATGATCCTCCTGCCTCTGCCTCCAAGTAGCTGGAATTACAGGTATGTACCATCACACCCAGGAAGGGGGTATTTTTTTTAATCCCTGATTTACTGATGAGGGAAATTAAGACTCAGAGAGCTAACATCATTTGCTTCTGATTACAGAGCTTCTGGTCCTTGGCAGAGCTGGATTTGAACACAAGTCCATGAGTTTTCAGAGCTAGTACTCTGAGTCACTGGTATGTTTTTAACTGTCTTTCCTAGGGCCTCAGCTGCTACTGTTGCTTCTGCTGGCAACAGTGACAGACACACAGCCATCCCCACTCATAAATGAAGAAACTGAAGGAAACACAGAAAAGTCTCTGCCCAGAGATCATCAGGCTACACTAGGAGTTGAGTTGGGGTGATTGGACATTTCTCCTACACAAACTATCCCTAGAGAGGATATGGGGAGACCAAATGAAGGGGAGCCCAAGATTGTGGGGTACAGCAGGAGGTGGTTTCCTGCCTGGCTCTGCCATGCTTGGTGGGGTGGTGGTAGAATCAATTATTCCCTCATTGAACAATTTTTTTGTGTGTGGCAGGACTGGGGATTGAACTCAGGCACTCTACCACTTGAGCCATGTCCCCAAGCCCCTTTGCTTGTAGTTTGTTTTTTGGGTAGGGTCTTCTGTTTTTGACCAGGCTGGCCTTGGACTGAGATCATTCTACCTCTATATCCTGAGTAGCTGAGATTATAGATATGCACCACCAAGCTCAGCAATAAATATTTATTTAGTGTCCACCGTGAGTCAGACATTCAGATAGACACTGTTGAATACAAGCAGTGTGGTTCCTGCTCACCCTCATGGAACTTGCACACCAATGATCCTTGGAGGAGTGACTCTACTACGAGTGACTGAGGGCTGGAAGTGGAGGTCAGCACTCAAGGGAACAGCTGTTTGCACAGAGATGGGAATACGTAAACAAGACAGCAAAGGTGTCTGGGTGTCCTGGAGGATAGACATATCTAAAGGGTCCTAGCAGCTGAGGGGGCAAAGAGAATGAAGGACACTTTTCCACGTAGAAAGAATAACAGAAGCCTGGTGTAGTGGTGCACACCTGTAATCCCAGCACTCAGAAGGCTGAAGCAGGAGTACTGAGCGTTCAAGACCAGCCTAGACTACATAGTGAGATCCTGTCTCAAAAATAAATAAACAGAAAAAACAAAACAAAAAAACAACCCAGTAACAACAACAAAAGAAAGAAGGCCAGCCACTGGTTGTTCATTCTTATAATCCTAGCTACCTGGGAGGCTGAGATCAGGAGGATTGTGATTTGAGGCCAGCCGGGAGGAAAAAGTTTGTGAGACCCATCCCCCATCTCAACCAATAGCTTACGCCTATCACCCCAAGTTACTTGGGAGGCTGAGATCAGGAGGATCACTGTTTCAAGGCCAGTCTGGGCGTAAAACTTTGCAATATCCGATCTCGAAGGTGCAGGGTATGCACCTGTCATCCTGTAACAGTGGGAAGCAGCCTGGGCAAAAAGTGAGACCCCCCTCCAAAATAACCAGAGCAAAAAGGGCAGGGGGTGTGGCTCAAGCAGTACAGCACCTGATGCATAAGCACAAAGCCCTGAGTTCAAACCCCAGTACTGCCAAGCCAGAAAAAAAAAAAAAAAAACACCATCAACACCGAAAAAGGAGCAGCATTTTGGAAGAACTGAGCAGAAAGGGTTAAGGAGCATTTCAGGAATGAACTTTAGGGGTACAGGGGAGAGGCTGGGGCTGGGCTTTGGTTCCGAGAGAGAGAGAGAGAGAGAGAGAGAGAGAGAGAGAGAGAGAGAGAGAGCGAGCCTGCGGCCTTCCGGGTTTGTGCTGAAACTCAAAGACATCGTGGGTGTGGATAGGCCTAGAAGTAATTAAGTCCTTTTTAATAAAAGAGGGGGACTCTCCTTGCTTGTCTTGGCAGTCTGTCTGTCTGTCTCTCTCTCTTTCGTGGTGGTGATACTGGGATTTGAACTCAGGGCCTTGCACTTGCTAGGCAGGCATTCTACCACTTGAGCCACGCCTCCAGCCCTTCTTGCTTTTACTTTTTGGATAGTGTCTGTGTTTTCCACCAGGCTGGCATGTACCGCGATCCTCCTAGTTACACCTCCCGAGTAGCTGGAATGACAGGTGTCATTGGTTGAGATGGGTTTTTTCTAAATTTTTGCACGGACTGGTCTCCAATCCAGACCCTCCCAATCTTTGCCTCTAGAGCAGCGTGGGTCTTTCTCATCTAAAAATACCTGTTACGGGCCCACTTATGACGATGATGGTGGCCCTTAGAGGACACTCATTATGTGCAAAGCCTGGCCTAAGTGCTTTATACAACTCTCCGTCCTCACAAGGGTCTTCTTTTACAGATAAGGAAACAGAGCTCAGAGAAGTCACTTGCCTAAAGTCACCCCGTTAGGCAGCATTGGAGCCAGGATTTGAACCTACACACCCTGGCTGTCAGATGCTGCACCACTCGGCTCCCAGGCAGCCTAGAGCCCAGCAGAGAACTGCTCCTCTGCCAGTATTTACAGATTTGCAGCGTAAGTCCCTGTCTCCAAAGTGCTGTTTCATCCAGGAACTCAGATAACGGCCCTGCGAAGTCTACAACTTGGGGCTCTTGTGTCCAGATGAGAAAAACAGAAAGGGATGACCCCAGTAACAGCAGCCACCATGGCTAAGGGAGCCCTGTCCTCAAGGGGGCCAGGCTGCACACCCTCCTACCTCATCAGAGCCCTTGAAGGACTCAGATGGGAACACCTGGTCACAGCCAGAGGCAAAGTCAAGGTTCTTTTGGCTCTTTCTCCATTACAAAGGAGCAGGAAAGACAGGGCTGGGACTGGGGACCTGGGGCAGGTGGCTTCACTGTGTCCCTTTTCCTTGGGCAGTGGAGCTCATGCCTCCCTCCCTTTAGGAGATGCAGATGGGACACTGCAAGCTAGTTTAGCAAGTGTCACAGGTCCCTCGGATGCTCATATCCTTTCTTTCACCTCTACTCTGCTCCTGACCCTGTCATCTTGGCTACCTCTCTGCCTGACCAAGGCAGAGTGGCCTCTCAGAGCTCCCCTGGTGTCTGAAAATTAATGGTCCATGGCTCCAATCCCCCCCCCCACCGCTCCAATCCCGCAGGCCCGCACAATCCTGCCCATTACCTTTGATCTTCTCCCCCTTGCTCAGGGAGATCTCCCCCTCGCCTTGGGCCTGGTACGACTTCACAGCCATGAAGGAACGTCCAGGTACCGCTGAGTACAGCTTCCTCCGTCTCCCTCGGCTGCCCAAGGAGCCCCCAGGGCCCCCCGAGCCCCCTGTGCCCCCGGCCGGCCCTTCCCGGGGTGTCCCACTGGAGCTGCATACACAGAGGGTGTGAGAGGGGGAGAGTGGAGGGAGGGGGCGCCTCTGGGAGGACAGGGGTCCTTGGGTGGGAGGAAGATGGAGCATCAGGGTGGGGAAGGGGGTTGAGTGCATTTCCCAGCTCTGGTGTCCTGGGGTGGGGAAGGGCATCTGGGGAGCTCCCTCTTGCCTGTCTACTATTGCCCTGTTATCCCCCTTTCCTGCCTCCCGGCTTCCAGCTCTGCCCCTCCCACAGTACTGCATGCACTGACTGACTCAGTTTCCTGAAGCTGAGCAAAACAATGTCATCTTTCCCTCACCAGCCTCCAGTGACTCCTAGTTTCCTCCTCCTGGGTCACATCCAAGTCCTCTCCTGGCCATTTCCAGCTTCTCCTGCTTCCTCAGGACATACCTGCTCAGCTTTGCCTCCTCCAGCCACGCTGGCCTCCTTACCCCACAATGGCTGCTGCCCAACCTACCTACTGCCTCTCTGCCCTCAGTGGCCTCACTGCTCCTTGCTTCCTCCCCACAGGCTAATCCCCAAAGATCTTGTCCACCCCGCCCCCCTCTTCCTGCCCGATGTCCTCTCACTTCACCTTGTCATTCTGTGTCTGTCCTTAGCAGCTGCAACCAACGTTTCTTTTGGGGACCCTGCCCCCACCCTGGGGCCCTGTCATGGAGCAGGTGCTCAGGTAAAATTAGGTGCATTTGGAGATGGGGTCAGGAGAGTAGCTCCCTTCATCCACATGTTGGATGGCTAGAGGACCCGCCACTTTCTGGACATGGGCTAGCCTTGGGGGATGTTTCACCTCTGACGAGGGCATTTGGCTGTGTTGGAGGACTATGGGGCTAGAGTCCTCCCCTACCTGGGCCGTCCTCGGGGCTGTCTTTTGGCCTCCTCGGGGTGCCTCCCTCGAGATGGGGAGCGAGCCCGGGCACCACGGGGGCTGCTGGCACTGCGGAGGGTCCCGCTGCTGAGCTTTGTGCTGGGGGCTGGGGGCTGTGACTGGTTTTGGGGCCCTGAGGTTGGGCCAGGGGCCCCGGATGATGAGGTGCCCGGCGCTGAGAACACCATCCAGTCGGGCAGTGCCATGCTGGTGTCACTGTTGGCTCGTAGCAATGCCGGGGGCACCGTCAGCCCTGCTCCAGGGGGGCCCCGTTTCCGGGCTGCATACTTGGGAGACTCTTGGAAGGGCACTGAGGGGCGTGTGGAGGAGGGGAGAAGGACAAGTGTGGAGGGAGGAAACAAGAGAGAGAAAGACAGCCTTGAAGATGAGTGTGCGGGCGGGGGGGCTGGACACACTTTTCCTACTCATTTTTGGATCTGTGGGTTGTTTTTTTGGGCAGTATTGGGGTTTGAACTCAGGGCTACACCTTGAGCCATCCCACCAGCCCTTTTTGTGGTGGATTTTTTGGGAAAAGTTCTTGAGAACTGTTTGCCCAGGCTGGCTTTGAACTACAGTCCGCCTGAGCTCTGCTTCCTGAGTAGCTGGGATTACAGGCGTGAGCCACTGGCCCCCGGCGGATCTCTGGGGCTTTAACGCCCATCCTGGCCCTCCCAGGCAAGCCTACCATAAACCCCTAACTGTCTCAACTCTCCCCTCACTCCAGCTGGGGCTCACTCACCCACATCCTGTTCCCGATGGTTACGGATCAATTCCCCCAGCTCAAAGTTCCCAGCATCACAGCCACCTGGAGGGAGGGAGGGGTGCAGCCAGGGGGGCCCTTCCACTCCACCATCTGTGCTCTCTCTCCTCCCCCAGACCACGACCTTCCTCCCAGCATCCCTCCCTTCCATTGGTCCTCCTTTTTTTGTGGTACTGAGATTTGAACTCAGGCCCTACACCTGGAGCCACTCTACCAGCCCCTTTTGTGTGTATGTGTGTGTTGAGTTTTTTCATGATAGGGTCTTGCAAACTATTTGCCCGGGGCTGGCTTTGAACCAAGATCCTCCTGATCTCTGCCTCCTGAGTAGCTAGGGTCACAGGCGTGAGTTACCACCAGAGCCAAACCCACTGGTCCACTTTCTCCTCCCTCCCAGCATCCTTCTCTTCCCCCCCACATCCTCTTGGACCTCTTTCTCCTCCCTCCCGCCCTGCAACCTTACACCACCCTAGCCCCAGACCTGGAAGGGCGTCTGTCCGTTATTATTCTTCACATCCTTGTTGGCCCCCCGATAGAGAAGGATCCTGGCGCACGTCTCCTGAGGCCGGCAGCCAGCGGTTCAGAATGAAAGAACAATAAATAAATAAAGTCACTACAAGAGGGCACAGACACCAAAGGTCGGCAACTTCAGACATAATGCAACCTCACCCTGCCAGGAGGACAGCTGCACTTGCCACAAGTGTGGCCCACAAATACTTTTATTGGTCTTGCTTTGTTTTTTGAGACAGGGTCTTGCTATACAGCCCAGGCGGACCTTGAACTCAATCTTCCTGCCATAGTCTCTCAAATGCTGGGATTACAGTCATAAACCACTATGCCCGGCTCACAAACACTTTAAACATGGCTGGCTCAAAGGATGATGGGCTGTATATATAAAATACAGGTGAGAGATTTCAAGGACTTAGTATGCAAAAAAATTATGCTTAGTAATTTTATATTGATTCCACAAACAAGTGATAATATTGTAGATACAAGGGGTTAAATAAAATATGCTATGGAAACACTTGTCACCCGATTCCTTTTACTTAAACATGGCCACCAGGGGACCACTTAGGAGACGTGGCTTGAGTTACGTTCTCCTGGACAGAGCTGGCCTGAAACCGGGTTTCTCAATTCCAGCACTGCTGACATTTGGGGCTGGGGGCACACCTTACACTGTTGGGCTGCATTTTTTGTTTCTACCACTAGATGGCAGTAGCAGTCTTCTCCCAGGTCTCCAGACATTGTCAAATGTCCCCTGATGGAGAACCACCGTGCTAAACCCTACTGTGTGGCATGCCAGGTGCTCAGCCTGTTAGAAGCAAGTTCGCCCAATGATTCCATGGGATGGCAATGCCTGTCCTTGTCTCACAGGTAAGGAAACTAGAGTCCCACAGGAGCTCAAGGCCACGTGGCTGGTGGCTTCCAACCCTGCTCTGTCTTAATCCCACTTCCTGCCAGACACAGAAGGAAGGGCACACACATGGGGGGCGGGGGGGACGGGGCTGCGGGCACAGGTATGCCATCTACATCTGTGATGAATTCCTTTTGGGTGTCTATAACCTGTCACTCATCACTCTTTGCCATGTCCTTGCCATGACCTGGGAGTGCTCTTTCTTTTTTCTTTTTCTTTCGGTGGTACTGAGGCTTGAACTCAGGGCCTCACACTTACTAGGCAGGTGTTCTACCCCTGAGCCACTCCACCAGCAACCTAGGAGTTCTCAGCAAAGCTACCTGCTTCTGTCTCCTTCTCTCTCCATTCCCCTCCTCCCACCAAACTTCAACTTCTATCCCCTCCTCTGGCTTCCCTCGTTCCTGCCCCAGGGCCTTTGCACCTGTCTCTCCCTCTGATTAAATTCTCTACCACTAGATTTCTGTCCATCTTGCTCTCAAGTGTCATCTCTTCAGAGAAGCCTTCTCTGATCACCCTGTCTAAAAAAATCCCCTTATCTTGGTCCTTCCTAGTTATCTATTTTTATATAACTCTTCAGTGTGCACACTTCTTAGTCAGTATTAACTCATTTTCTTCATAACACTGCCTGCCCCAAAATTCCATGTTCGACGTCACTTGCTTCTTTAGCCTCTCTCCCTCCTACCATGGTAAGTTTCAAGGGGCATGATTTTGTTTGTGGCACCCACATCTTGAAATGGTGCCTGGCCCACAGGGACTGTTCAAATAAACAGTCACTCAGTGGGGGAATGTCCTCTGTCCTTTGTCTTGATCTGGTCAAACCCAAACTGGCCCTCAGTTCAACTCCACTTGGGCTCCGTGGGATTGCTACCTCACAAATACCTCCTAATCTCAACCCCTTCTGTGTGGGAATTTGTCCAAAGATTTGTGCATTGTCCATCCTAAAGGACAGGCTCAGAGAGGGCAAAGCCTGAGCTCAAGGCCACACAGGCAGTTAGTGGAGTAATCAGGATTTGAACCTGGCCTTTCTTTTTTTTTCTTTCTGGTGGTGGTAGTGGGGTTTGAACTCAGGGCCTCATGCTTGCTAAGCAGGTTCTCTACCACTTGAGCCACTCCACCAGCCCTGAACCCAGCCTTCTGATCCTAGCACTCATCTATGTCTGATTCTATTTTTTTTTTTTATGGTATTGGGGTTTGAACTCAGGGCTTTCACCTTAAGCCACTGCACCAGCCCTTTTTTGTGATGGTGTTTTTCAAGATAGGATCTCCTGGAACTATTTGCCTGGGCTGGCTTTGAACCTCGATCCTCCTGATCTCTGCCTCCTGAGTAGCTGGCATTACAGGCGTGAGCCACCGACATCCGGCTGTGTCTGACTCTTGATGGTTGATGGTCCAGGGCATCTGCTGGGCAGAAGAGTATGTCCGGCTAGTGTTCTGTGTGTGCTGTGGGTTTAAGTGTGTATTGTTAACCACAGCAACATCCATTTTTGCACGTTTTTGTGCCCACCCAGGCACCAGCTGTGCATCCTACTCTGACCAAGTTTAGAAGACGTCCAAGCCGAGCTCAGAGGCTCACAACTATAGCACTATAGCACTCAGGAGGCAGAGATCAAGGTTCCAGGATCAAGGTTCGAGGCCAGCCCAGGCAAAAAGTTCCTGAGCCCTCAATCAATCAATATCTCAATCAATAAAAATAAGTCTCTGCTGGGTGCCTACAGAAACCTTGTATTTACTTGCAAACTAACACTTCTCTCACGGGATTGCAACTATTTGTTTACAAGTCTGCCTGTGCACCAGACTGTGAACTCCCCCCACCCTACTCGGAGCAGGCATTATTTCTGATTCATTTTACATCTCCAGCACCTGGTGGCAAGCACACAGTAGGTGCTCAAGAATTGTGCACGAAAAAGGATGAGGACAGAGGATATGCAGTTGTGCGTCAAAATTCATTTGCTCAGATCATTCATTTATTCATTCGTTGAATCATTCAATCTATCTAAACCAGCAGCCTGAACTGGTTCAATGTTCTGAGCCAGGCACTGTGCACTGTCTTGGTGGAAATTCAAGATGGCTGACTCATCATTCATTCACTCATTCATTCACACCTGGCCAAGTGCCTCACAACTGTAATCCCAGCTACTCCGGAGGCAGAGATTGGGAGGACCAAGCTTTGAGGCCATTCTGGGCAAAAAGTTAGCGAGGCCCCCATCTCAACCAACACACGGGGTATGTCACCCCAGCTACATGGGAAGCATAAATAGGAGGATCACAGCCCAAGGCCAGCCCCAGGTGAAAAATCAAGACCCAATCCAAAAAACAACTAAAGCAAAAAAAGGGCTGGGGGCATGGCTCAAGTGGTAGAGCGACTGCCTTAGGAAGTGTGAGGCCCTGAATTCAAATTCCAGTACCACAAAAACAACAAAAAGAAGTGGAAGATGACCTCATGTTGTTTGTCATCTGTTTGTTAACACCATGCCAAGAGCAAGCCGGGCATTAGCCACCTTTTGCATGGTGGGCCTGAATTACTGACCCATTTCACAGATGAGAAGGGAGAAGTCAAGAAGAAGACAGGATATGTTGGTCTGGCCCGCACAGAGTAATTGTGTCCGCTCTGTAATTTTTTTTTTGTACTCAATTTTCCCTGCTTAAATGAATGGCAGTCTCCTGACCGGACACTGTGTGACAGTGACAAGGATATTAATTATTATTATTATCGCAGCTGGCTTGTAGGGATGAATACTTAATACATATGGTCACTCACCCCTTTCACTCAGCTGACATTATTTCCATTTTGGGGAAGGGACAGAGCCTTGGGGAGGGGATGGGGGTAATTTGAGGTCCCCCACCCTGAGTCTGTGCGGGGCTGGGGATTCTTTCTCCACTGCACATCTGCCTCCCCGTCAAAATACCCAGATGCGAGGCCCATGTCAGGGAGCAGGAAAGACAGAAGCCAGCAGGGAGGGGACATGCTGCCAGCCTGCTGGTTTGATTTGGCAAGCACTGAGTCCTCCCTTGGCACTGAGCGTAATGCCCGCTGCCACCAGGCAGCCACCTGCCAAGTCCCCAGCACGGCGAGTTCTCACGAGGCAGAAGGGGCTGAGGCTGTTTTGGAAGACTTCATGGAGGAGGGGGCTGACAGACCAGCAGCGTCACTGCCGGCCCTGTCCCTTCAAGAACAGGGGAACATGGATGAATAGGAGGGAGACTGAAGCTCTGAGGGGAGATGACCTGCCCAGAATTGATTAGCACTCAGGTGGCAGAGGTGACCTAACCGCCCCCCTCCAAACCCAGTGATTCGCCAGGTGCTCTGCCACTTGAACCGTGCCCCACAGCTGTTTCCTTTGTAATTTTGTTTTTGAGATTCATTCTTGCTAACTCTAGCCAAGCTGGCCTCGAGCTCAGGATCCTCCTGCATCTGCCTCTCAAGCAGCTGAGATTACAGGTGTGTGGCACCAAGGTGCTCTTGCCAATGGCTCCAGCTGCTTAGGTGAGACCTGATTTTTACTGAGAACTCCTAGAGTGGACACAGTCCACCAAGCCCTTGTGCTCTCCTTCCATTCAGGGCTGCACTTTGGCTGTTTCTGTCCTGCTGTGCCCCACACACATTGCTGGCTGACTGGAGATACACAGGAAGTACGAATCTGTGGAAACCCTTTCACTTCCTGCAATGAGGGCCCCACCCTGTCTCCCCCACTCTGGTCTTTTTCACTGGCCTTGCCCCCACCCTCTTCTGCCCAGCCAACTCCTGCTGTCCTAGGATTTATGGTAAACCCGAAGAAGCCACCTCCACCCAAACCCAAGCCTAGATGAGACTCCTTCAGGGACCCAGATTCCCTGTGTCTTCACTCTGAGCACTCTAGATCTTAACAACAGGGATGTCCCCTGATAGGTCACCTGCTCAATACTTGGTCCCCAGCAGCCAGCTCTGGTTCTAACACAGGAAAGGAGCTTGGAAAATATTTGTTGGATGGATGGATGGATGGATGGGTGGGAGGATGGATGGGTCGATGTGTGGACAGATGGATGAATGCATGGATGGATAGGTAGAAGGACGGATGGATGGATGGATGGGTGGGTGGGTGGATGGATGGGTGGTGGATAGATGGGTAGATGTGTGGACAGATGGATGGATAGAGGGATGGATGGATGGATGGATGGAAGGATGAATGGATGGGTGGATGGATGGATGGGTGGGTGGGTGGATGGATAGATGGATGGGTCAGAGGGTGAACTGATGGATGAATGAATGGATGATAGATGATAGATAGATGGATGGATGGGCGATGGATAGGTGGGTAGATGGATGATGGATGGATGGAGGATGAATAGATGGATGGGTGGATGGGTGGGTGGATGTGTAGATGCGTGGACAAATGGATGAATGCATGGATGGGTTGAAGAATGGATGGATGGAGGATGAATGAATGGATGGGTGGATGGGTAGATGCGTGAATGGATGGATGGATGGATGGATAGGTGAATGAAGGGTGGAAATAATGGAGGAACAGAGGGTGCAGAGCTGGAAGGCTGGGTGAAGAGGGCCTGAGCTTGGAAAGGTGGCTGTGGTGGGTGGGTACAAGGGGCCAGCGGGAGCTGGTGGTACAGACCTTGTTGTAGAGTGCACAGATGTGCAGGGCCGTGTTCCCCGAGGCATTCTGGGCTCCAGGCTCAGCCCCGTAGAAAAGCAGATGTTCCAGGTGCTGGGAGTGGCCCCGTTGGCAGGCCTGGGGGGACAGAGCAGCTGGGTCAGACCTAGCCTGAATCCTTCCAGGCCCCTCTTCCGTGGGGCCAAGAATCCTCATATCTACCTCTTCTCCTTTCTGTCCCCATTTCTGCTGTCAGCTTCACAAGTCCAAATGTTCAGTCATTTCCAGGCCTGAGTGTCCAGTCTGGCCCCTCACAAGAGCCAAGAAGCAAGTCCAGACCATCTCTGGGACCAAGTTGTCCAGTCCCCCACCCCGTGCTCCCTTGTAGTCCTGGCACTCATCCACGTGCACACCTTTTTCTCTGTGGGAAACCATGCTATCCTCACTCCCACCCTCTGTAAAGACCCCAGCATCTGCATCTCAGCCCCTTGGATGCCCCAAAGTCCAGACGTCCCCCTCCCGGGCCCTCAGGTGCTGAGCACCTGGTGGATTTCTTGCCAGCCATTCTCATCGGCTATGCCCAGCTGGGCTCTGTTGTACAGAAGCAGCTCACAGCAACGCGGGTCACCTCCCACCATAGCCGTGTGGAACAGAGGGGTCAGCCCACGGCGGTCCTTGTAGTTGGGGGACCCCCCAAGGTCCAGGAGTGCCTAGGGAGGAAGACAAGAGCCCGGGAAGAAAAGACATATGACAATTATATGAGGACCAACCAGCTTGCTCCGACAGACTGGTGGGGAGGGACATCGTGAGTAACACACACTGGCTAGTGCCAGTCTCAGGCCTGCCATGGCGTCCTTGTAAGACCTTGAGGCAGGTCCTTTCCCTATCTGGAGCTGTGCCAATCCCTTATGACCAATGAGGGGACAAGGCATGACATCCAGCCCCACCTTTCTCCTGTGGGTGACCTTGAGTGAGCCACTGGAGGGTGTCTGTGGCCAAGGTGTCCCCCACTGCACAGAATGCTTGACGGGGACCAATGAGGGAATGGAGTCTGGATGCAGGAGGGCCCCTGGCCAAATCAGAGGTGTTATTAGGATCAGAATCCTAAAGATGGGGTCCAGAAGGATGCCTGGAAACGGACAAGCCTAGAATAAGGAAATTCTGAGCCAGCCTCATTAGAGATGAAAGCTCAGGGAGCAGGAAGTGGTCCCAGCTAAGGGACAGCTCTGGGTATGGAAGAGGTGGTAGCCCTGTGCCGGAACAGCCTGCAGTAAGTTTGTCCAACAGAACACTGGCAATGGCGGAGATGGTCTCCAATGGCCATCCAATATGGCAGCCACATGGGGGCGATGAGCGCCTCAAGATGACTAGTAAGATTGAGGAACTGACAATTTAATTTTACTTTTTAATTAATTTAAATTTAAACAGCCCCGTGTGGCCAGTGGCTAATGGATTAAACAGGGAAAGTCTGGAGGGAGGGAGGGAGAGACAGAGGAAAAGTGAGAGAGGGAGGTAGAGAGAGAGAGAAAAAACACACAGAATGTGGGCTTGGAGCTGAGAATGGGGAGGAGGGCAAATAAAGACGGTCTGTTGATTCCAGCGGTAGAAGACTGGTATTTGGTCTCATTAAAGGTTGTTGTGGGGTTTTTTTTGTTGTTGTTGTTGTTGTTTTTGCAGTACTGGGGTTTGAACTCAGGACCTACACCTCGAGTCTCTCGAACTATTTGTCTGGGACTGGCTTGGAACCTCAATCCTCCTGATCTCTGCCTCCTGAGTAGCTAGGATTACAGGCGTGAGCATCATTAAAGATTCTTAAGGAAAGAATGTGGAGAAAAGGAGGTTTGGGGTGTTCAAGGATGGCTATCTTTGGGGGCTGCCTATCCTGACCTGTCCGTGAAAGGGATCAGGTGCCCTGGTCGGGGCAGGAGAAGAGGAAGAGCATTTTAAAATATGCAAATTGTGTGCTCTGTATTTATATGGGGTTTGTCTATTTGGGAAGCTGCATTTCAGGCTTGGTATGTGAGCGAGGGGCTGTAGATGCTACCTTTGTCTTTTTTTTTTTTTGGTGGAACTGGGATTTGAACTCAGGGCCTCAGGCTTGCTGGGCAGGAGCTCCACCACTTGAACCACTCTGCCATTGGGGCTGAGTGTTCTGGGGGATGAGGGTGGGGCTAGGAAGGAGGGATAGTTTCAGGGTGTGTGTGGAGATTTTCTCTCTGGGGTACAGCAGGGAGCTTGCTCTGTGTTTTAAGGAAGGTGGGAAGGGTTTGCACCTTGGGGAGACAGAGCAGGGCCAAGGAAAGTAAACCATTCTGGGTGTCTGGGGAGGAGACTGTGCTAGAAAGAGTAATAGTCTGCCTGGGCTGAGGTGGGGACACCTGGGGGTCTGAGGAGTGACATTAGGGATGTGTATCTGTCAGTCTATGTTAAGGGATTTTGTTCCAGGGACACAAAGAGAAACTATTTTTAGACATTTGAGACAGAACAAAAGGAAAGGAGACAGGGTCCAGGGTGGGGGTGGATGAACAAAGTGACCTCACCGTGAGAGCCAGGCAGTGCCGGGCACACGCAGCCTTGTGCAGTGCTGTCATGCCATCCCGTGCCCGGAAGTCGATATGGGCTCCACCCAGGCACAGGGTTCGAATCACCTCCACGGAGCCTTCAGTCTGGGCCGCCAGGGTCAAGGGGGTCTCTGAGGGGTGAGAAAGGCCCATCACGTGCAGCCTCTGCTCCCAGCCCTTTTGTTTTTGAGATAGGTTCTTGGAAACTTTGCCTGGGTTGGCTTCAAACTTTATCTGCCTCCCAGGTAGCTGGGATTACAGGCATGCACCACCACAACCAGCCAGATGGTGTTCCTATCCTTGCTGCCCAGTCCTGGCCCCTGTTGTCTTCCATGGCATGAGCCTCTCCCTACCTCCTGAATCCGAGTCATGGTAATTGGGGTCCAGCCCCTTGTCCAGCAGCCGCGCCACCTTGTCAGATGTCCCAAGCTGCACATACTCCAGAAACTTCTTCAAGCCCGTCTGAGCCATGGATGAAAAGAAAGAAGACAGGCTGGTCAGCAATCCATCAAGACAAACAAAGCAGAGATCTCCAACAGCGCCCCCCAGAGGAAATACATAGCCAGCCACAAATGGCATCAAAAATTTTCTAGCAGCCACCCATAAAGAATTAAAAAAAAAAAAAAAGCCAGGCATGGTGGTTCATGCCTGCCATCCCAGCACTCAGGAAAATCTTGTGTTGGAGACCAGCCTGAGCCACACAGCAAGACACTGTCTCAAAAGGTGGAAGAAGAAAAGAACCCCCAATTGAAATTCATTTTTATGATATCACGTTTTGAGTTAATAGAGTCACAAAACTATGTTTCACTGCGTAATCCACTTGAAAATTGTCAAGACATTGTGTTCTTTTTCTTTTGTAATAGGTTTTCTGAATCCTCTTGTGTGTCCACACTCACAGGATGACTCAGTGCAGACCTGCACGTCACTGGTGCCCCACAACCACATGTGGCTCCCAAAGTGGACAGAGTGGGGCAGCCTGGCCGGGGACACAGCACTGAGGGACCGATAGTGTGGTGGTGGTGGTGGTGGTGGCGGTGGTGGTGGATTATCAAGAATTCTCCCCCTCTGGCCGCAGCATCTCGCTAACTTCCTCCCAGCTCTTAGGTGACCCGGGGAGGCACAAGATAAGGCACAAGGACTAGAGAGAAAAGGTCGCAGAGAATAGGGAAATGTGGCTGAGTTTGGGGGCAGTTTTAGGCTGAAGGATGGGGGAACGTGGGGTGTCTATGAAAGAGTACTTGGGCAGGACACTGGAGTCAGGCCAAAGAGGGGTAGGGAGGGGACCCTAAGTGGACCAGGAGGTCCTTGGGTATCAAAGGAGTCAGGAGGATGTGAATCAAAAAAAGTAGGGGTACAATGGAGGTAACGGGAGGGGGATCCCCAAATGCAAGGCAGCACCCAAGTTAAGGGGGGCTGGCAGAGCACTAATATGCAGGGTGGTAGGGGAGAGCAGTGGAGAGAACGCAGCGGGCGGGGGCTCCGGGTGGCGGGGGACAGAGGGTTCCATGCCAGTGGGCGTCTCTCACCTTCGTGTGTAATTTTGCCAGCTGCTTCTCATCCAGGTTGGTCTGTTTGTAAACTCTGGTCTTGTATCGGAACTGAGGCCCCAGGTGGGATGGAGGAAAGACACAGAGACTTGGAATCAGGGTCCTGGGGAGGATGCTTGTCAGGAGGTGGGGGTCTGACCTCCTGATCCCCCAGGCTGAGGTCAAGGTTGGTTTGGGAACAGCCACGGTTGGGTGGGGAGAGGGGTGTACGAGGGCTTTTTTCATGAGTGCCAGGTCATTGAGGTCTACCTGAACTGCAGCCCCTACCTCAAACCTACAGGGAGTGTTCTAGAATGCCCACTATAATTGCGATTCCTTCCCCCAGTTGAAGGAGAAGCTTGGGGTACACAAAGGACTTGCCCAAGCCCCCTCAGGTGGTCAGAAGCAGAACAATGGTGATTTGAACTCAGGCCTCTGCCTCTCTCCTGTTTCTTAGGAGATGTGGAATCGCCCAACTGGGTTCTCCTTATTACGGGTCTCAGCTGAGACAAAAAAAAAAATGGGGTCTGGGCAGATGTGCTTTAGGGCATGCCTTTTTCTTGCTGGGGAAGGGGGCTGTGTTCTCACCTCCAGGTAGGGCACCCCCTTCTCGAAAGACTGGGGGTACTCCCTCAGTAGCCTCTCCTCCTCCAGGAAGTTGGCATCGCGGCCTGAGGTGGCCGGCTGGAACAGGCCATAGTTGAGCACATCCTGCAGACTCTCGCTCAGGGCGCAGAGCACCTGTTGCTTAGCTGTCCATATGGTGGCATCAGGGTTGAATCGCAGGCATTTCTGGTGGGGGAGGGGACGTGGAGAACTGGAGTGGGGACACACTCTGGGGACAGCAGGAGGACACAGGCAAGCAGCAGGAGTGTGGAAATAAGGAAGCCAGAAGGCCTTCTGGGGAGAATGCTGTGCCCCAGAGAGGCCTCCTTACTCCAGCTTGGACTGGCAGGTGTGCGTGTGTCGGGGGGGGGGTCACTCACTGTCTGGTGCAGGTCCGGGATGCCAATCCTGAAGACCATCATGCTGAAGTGGGCGTCGTCGGGGACAGACATGGAGCGGCCCTGGAGGCCTCGAACAGAGGCCAGGCTACCAGGTACCCCACTGCCCCGGCCCCGGGTCCCCTGGGGGCCTCGACCTGGCCCGTCTGGGGAGCTGTCGGACTCTGAGCCCCCCTCGGGACACTCGCTGACACTGTGACGTTCCTCGTCCTCGCTTGTGGCAGGGCTGTGGGTCATCGTGGGGCCACGGGGCGACGGGGGACAGCAGCATCACAGGTGGCTACAGGGCCAAGGGTGACCGTCAGACTAGAACTCCTCAGAGGCCACCAGAAGCACTCGGGCAAATGCTCAGAGGTAGCCTGTCCCCACTGCCCTCCAGACAAGAAGGAGGCTGGACACACCCTCAGACTTGCCGGCCTCCTGCCACCCTCACATGTGCTTGCACACTGCCCCCATCCCTGCCACACTTCTGGTACCTGTCTCCTCCCTGCCCTTGGCCCTGCTTGCAGCCACCCCCCCCACTGCGCCCCACTTTGCTGCTGACCCAGTGTGGCTGTGTCCCAGAAACCACAGAATCACCGCGGGAGCTACTGGCCCACTTTGTCCGGCCACAGAACACGCAGCTAAAATTAGCTAAGGACAGACAGGTGGACCAACCTAACCGGCATCCTGCTCTCCTGGCCCCTGCATGGCCCCTTAGCCTGAGGGAGGCTGACACTGAGCCATAGTAAAGGGAAGATGGAGGTGTGGTGAGCCTGTGGTGGCAGCAGGTGACTTTGTTGAAGTATGACCAACACGTGTGTAGAAGACTGCTGGGGAGCAAGGGGCACTGGGGTGCCACAGGACAGAGCATCCTGCATAGGCTGTCCCTGAGAGAAGTACAAGAGGGTAGTTTCCGAACCTGATAGGGTGTGTGGGTGGGTGGGGAGGCTGGCCCAGAGAGGACTATCCAGGTGACAGTGGTGTGATGGCCTGGGTGGGTGGGGGCAGCTGATGACCAGTGGGCATGTTTAAGAACTGACATGGCAGGATGGGAGGGTTGGCATTGCTTGTTACTGGTGGAGCACTTGTAGGGGAGGGGGACTGGGAAGGAGGCTAAAAAGTGAGAAAAGGATCTGAGGGGGACAGGGGTGGGTGAATCACCTCCAGATCCCCACTGTTCTCCCTTAATGTGGCTTTATGAGGGTGGGTCCCTTCCACATGGGGGTCTGCCTCCTTCATATTCTGCCCTACTCCCACCCCAGCACCGGAAACCAGAATGTCTGGTCTGGTCCCTCCCCCCACACCAGGCCCAGCTCCTGCACCGTTGCCATGGAGATGGGAAGCAGTGGAGGGTACGGCTGACTTTGGGAGGGTGGGGATGGGCTGGGGAGGGGTTGGAAAAGGGAAGACCAAATGTGTGTGAAAAAAAAAAAAAAGGTGGGTTCCAAAAAAACTGTGAGCGAGCAACCATCTAACCACGGGCCGGGGACCCCTTCTCCATGCGTGATCAGGGCTCTGAAGCCCCCTCCTCCAGATACGCGGCCGCACTACCCCACCCACTTGGCCCAGGAGGAGAACCCCCACCCCACCCCACACACACCCTAGCCTCCTTGTAACCCGCACTGACCGTCCTACCCTACACCCCGCCTCCCCGATCTGGGGCCGCAGCCACTCCCCCTCGGGTGACTCAGGCCGACCCTCAGTCCCAGTCCTGCAGGGATGGGGTGACTGGTGGGATCAAAGAAAAACTGGCCCAGGGCCCTCGGCGCGCGCCGCTGCCCCAACCCCCAGGCCAGCTCGGCCCCTCCCCCTCCGGCCTCGAGGGGGGAGCGGGCACACTCCGCCGGGGCGTCATGAATCAAGCGCTCCGCGGCTAAGAATAGCTGGCACGCAGCTGGTACTGAGCCGGGCTGAGGAATCGGTGGGGGGGGGGGTGGAGAAGGGGAGCGAGGGGGTGCCCTGGGAGGCTGCGGGGGGACAGGGGACGGATGGCGTGGCCGACGAGAATGAATGGAGGCGGAGAGAGGTGGGAGAGAGCCAGCCTGGGCTGAAGCTGGGAAGGCTGGCTGGGTGGCTGGGTGGGTGGCTGGGTGGGGGACAACCCATAGGGTTGGGGACAGAGGCGGGGGCACCCGGGAACGGGACTCGGGGGCGGGAGCCGAGGGGGTGCGCCGGCCAGTGGTGAAGGGACTGGAGACGCGTTGGGGATGGGGGAAGCTCTGGCAGGGGTGGGAAGGAACTGCAGGCGCCTGGAAAGCAGAAGCGGGAGCTAGTGCGGGTTCAAGGGGGGCGGAGGAGACTCAGGCCCAGACTGTCGCTGGAGGGGGTGGGAACCAGGGTGACCTGGGGGAGGGGCCCAGGTGTGCCAGGGTGGGCGAGGCGGGGGAGTGGCTGGGCTGGGCTGGGAGGCGGGTACCGCGATCGAGTCTTGGCCCTGGAGAGCCAGGAGGCGGGTTCGGGTTTGGGGGCTCGGCTAACGGGGGATGGGGTGCACCCTCCTATCAAGGATCCGATCTGGGACGGGGCACCGGGGACCGGGGCGTAACCCAATTTGGTGTTACCCAGGGCAATGCTCCCCTTCTCACCCGCACCCCCCCACACCACCACCACCGCACACTCAAGGCCCAGAGCCCCGCACCAGGCCAAGGACATCCGGGGCTCCCCCGCCCCCTCCCGCAGTCCCGACCCCGCAGACCCCCCTCCCCCCCCAAAAAAAATCCTCAGTTTCCTTTTCCCCTTACCTGCCTGGCGGGGCTGCTGAGTCCCGGTCGGCGGCGCCCGCGGCCCCTCCCCCCTCCCCCCACCCCCCACCCCCCCGGAGACGGGGGACCCTCAGGCCATGCCCCACCGCCCCGGAGGGCGAGCGGGCCGGGGAGGGGGCGGGTGGGGGCCGGGGGGGGAGGGCGGGGGGGCCGAGGACCTCACCCCCCCCGCGGGCCGGGCCTGGCCATCCGCAGAGCGCCCCCCCTTCTGCCGCGGCCGCCGCGCCCCTCCTCGCCCGCCCCCCGGCTCGATTCGGCCGGCTCCGGGCGCCGCGTCTCCGCCGCTCTTCCTCCTCCTCTTCCTCGGGCCGCCGCCGCCACCCGCTCCGCGCCTCCTCTGCCACCCTTCTCGCTCCCTAGCTCTCACTGTCTCTCCCTCACCCTGTCTCTCTCTCTCTCTCTCTCTCTCTCTCTCTCTCTCTCCCTCCCTCTCTCTCTCCTTCCCTCCCCTCCCTCCGCCCTCTCCCCTCCCTCCGGGAGCCGGCGGAGGAGACTCGCCCCTCCCCGCGCCCCCAAACCTCGTCCATCCCCCCCGCCGTCGGCTCCACCCCCTCCCCTTACCCTCCCCCACCACTCATCTCCACTGCCGATTTTCCAAACCCGCATCCACCCCTGCTTGCCCCTCGATCCCCGTACCCCAGTGATCAGATCTTGCTCCCCTAAGAGTACCCCTCACACACCCCAGGACCTCCCCTTCCCAGAGTGCTCCCAACCACCTCTCCACACAGTGGGGTGCCAGTAGATATTTGTGGCCAGTCTCTACACCCCCAAATTGGAGTGTGGAGTTTAATACATTCCTGTGCTGGAGCCTTCAACGCACACACACATACGCACACACTTTCCACCTGAGCACAGGGGTAGGGCACATGTGGACACACCTGAGACGATTGAGCACATGTTCCCCCAAGACACAGGTGCAGAGTCACCAGCTGGCACAGTACCTGCAGACAGTCCCATAGTTTCCAGTGCATGCAGTCGATGTACATGACCACAAACACACCCAGCTACTGTGCATGTCAACCCCTCCTGGCCCAGAACACACACACAGCACAGGGCTTGTGTGCCGGAGTGTGCACACAACGCAGAACTGGAGACACATGGTAGAGAGGCGTGTGCGTGCTCAACTCACCGTCCAACACTGTCCAACAGGCTCAACTCACCATCCATCACATCTTCACAGTACTGCGTCATAACCCCCCTCCTGGATAGTTATTGCTGACATTTCTTAAGCATATCCTGTGTGCCAGGTTCAGGAACACCATCCTGGAGGCACAGAGAGGCTGAGTAACTTGCCCAAGGTCACCCAGCTGGAAAGAAGTGTCAAGGATCAGAAACAAGAGGGCTAGCTCCTCTTCACTGGACTGATACTGTGTACTTCTGTACACCCCCCATAGGTGTATATCCTGCTCATCACACACAGTTGTGTCAACCATCTGTTCAGAGGTCACACACACAGGCACACACAGCCAGCGTGTGTAGGTAGCTCTCTCTCATGCTCTCTTACACAGAGCAAATTCAATGGGGGCAGTAGTGAACACGCCCTCAGATCAGAGTTCCACCTTGTCCCAGCTCCAATAGTACCTCCAGGGTCACCAGCCAACACAATCACATACAGATGACAGTTCTGGGCAACTTCTAGAGTGCCCTCCAGCTGCAAGCTCTCCAGGGCAGCAGGTATAAGCTGGAGCAGGTGCCCTCCCAGCCTGGGGAGGGCCCTTGTCTTGATGCACGCCCATCCACCCAGGTGGCGAGCAGCTGGGCCCAGGATGAACAGCTGCCCATGCTGGCACCAGCAGCGAGAAGCTGGGTGCCCTACCACAGTGTATAAGGACTTCCTGGCTCTATGCATGAATCTCTCCAGGTCTCTAGCTCCTGGGGAAGGACTTCTGGGACCCCAAATGGGCAACTGAGAGACCCAGGCCTTGCAACAGTGAGCAGCCTACCCAAGGTCACACTGCCCTCTCCATGTTCCGTGCTTTCTTGGAAAACCAAAGGCTGAGTGCACTGATTTCTAAGGCCCCTCCTGGGGTTCCCAGCAGCCCAGGACAGATGCCCTGCTCTTGCTTGGAGCCAGAAGCCTTGGCTAGCTGCAGCCACACCGGTGACCTCCAGAGGGCTGCACTGTCCCCTCTCAGAACCTTGCTTTCCTCCTTTGAAGATAAGGGGGCCCCTTGATCCCTGGCTAATGATCCCTGGCTCCATCATTGCTGGCACAAACGGCCCTGGTCGAGGCTGGAAAAGCCCTGTGTGACTCACAGGCCTGGCATAGAGAGGGCATTGCATGCCTCTGAGCCTCTTGCCCACTACCCTCGAAACCTCCACCATGCTGTGCAGCCGCCACACTGGAACCCAGGTGCAGCTCAGGGACAAAAGTCAAGAAGTGTCCAGACTTTGACCAAGGCATTATCCCTTCAGGAATGGCTCATCTTCACTAATGGCTAGATTGAGTACCTACTATGTGCTAGCAAGGCAGCGCACAGGTATCTGACTTCATGGCAGGAGACAGATGTAAATAAACAACCACACGATCAAAAGGGGGCGTTGAGGAACAGAAGTGGTTAGAGCTGAGACCCTGATAGTGAGAAAGAGCTGGGGCCAGAGACTTCTAGGAGAAAATGATCAGTGCCAAGGCTCTGGGGAGGGGAGGAGCAGGAGGCCAGAAAGGCTGCAGCCTCACTAGGGGCGGGAGGGGAGAGAAAGGGAATGGGGGTGATGAGGTTGAAGTTCGATGGGTTCTTCTTTCCCAGTCCCCATCTGGCAGACTGTGCAAAGGACTGAGGCTGGTCCTGGCTTCCCTCCTGCTTATGATAGGAAGGTAGGGGAGTGGGGAAATGATGTGATTTATGGTTTGGACGGATTGCTCTGTCTGCGGCAAGCAGCCAGGATTGGAGGGGCTCGGGAGGAAAGAGGGGGAGTGCAGGGAGGAGGCGACTGCAGTGGTCCAGGCTGGGATGAGGTGGTTCACTGAATGCTTAGAGCTCTGGCTTTGCTCGCAGCCTAGTGCCTGTTTAATTCTACATCCTGGAGAAACCCCTGATCACTCGCTGCAACCCTCTTTTCTCTCCATCTCTGCCCAGCCCCCTACCTAGGGGGCTTATCTATTTGTTTAACTGTGGCAGCTGGAGTCCCCAGTATTGCCCCATGCAGGACCTGGCCTACAGGAAGCTTCCAGTAAAAGGGTGGCCACTGAATACGGAAGTCCTACCAGGCTGCACACAGAGCCTAGTGCATGTGTCCCCACAAACGTGCAGCATCATGGGGGGAGGGCTGGAAGGGTGGGGATGGGCCATCTGGGGGAGGGGGCTGGGGGGACAGGAGACGCCCTGGAACCTGGGAATAGTAGAAAGGTTTCAGGGTTTGTGGGCTGTGATGGCCACAGGGTAATAACAACCTTGGCAGGCCCTGAGATCTCCCTCCTCCACAGGAATGGCCAGGAGGGGGAGCAGTAGGCAGGGCCCAAACTCTAGCATCCCGCCATTCCTGCTTGGTTCTCAGCGGGCTTCCTGGGCCAGCTCATGGGGCCTGTTGTCCCCAGGATTCCTTGGAGAGCTGGCTCCATCCTCTTCCTGACTGCCTGAGCTCTTGGCTAGGCAGAAGGAAAGAACAGGGTGAAAGCGAGCTCTGGAAAGTGGAAAGAGTGGGGTGTGGGGAGACCCAAGGCGGGATGCAGGCTTTGGAACGTTGGAGGTTTCCGGCCACAGAGGCAGGACCTCTGGGGAGCCAAGAGGGGCGGGGAGAGACGCACACACAGAATCAGGGAGGAGACCAACCAACAGAGACCAGATCAGGAGGGGAGGCAGAGGACACAGTGGGGGATAGGCAGGAACCAGGGGGGCTAGTGATCTGTACATAGGACAGGGGCACTTGTCAGTCCCAAGGACCCCAGCCCACCCCAGACATCCTGATATTTGTGATCTTGGGTGTGAAGAGCCCAACCTGATGCAAGCAGCCTGGCTCTTCGGGGCCTTGGTGGTCCCCCAGCTCTTGGGCTTTGGCCATGGGGCTCGGGGAGCCCAGAGAGAGTGGGAGGGAGGTTGGGGAGGTGCCCTGGAGGAGGAGCGGGAGCGAGAGGCCCTGATGCTGAAGGTGAGTGGGAGACTGGAACTGTGGGCTTGGGAGGGGGTTAGGGAAGTGGACAAAGGGCTATGCTCACAGGATGGGGTGATGGGTTCAGAGAAAGACTCAGGCATCAGAGGAACTTAGAGGTGGGGAGGAGGAGGGTGGGGTGGGAGGATGGGGCTGACCATCTTTTCTCTGCTCCAGCATTTGCAGGAAGCTCTGGGGCTGCCCGCTGGGAGGGGGGATGACAATCTTGCTGGTATTCCTGAAGATGAAGGAGTCTGGGGGACCGAGGAGGATCAGGGGGAAGAAGAGGAAGCAACACCTACCATCTCCTCTGGCCCCAGCCCCAGCCCCAGCCCCTCTCCTACCCCTGAGGACACCATCACTTATATCTGTGAGTAACCAGAAGCCAGAGTGACCTTATAGTTGCTCACTGACCAGCCCGTAGCCCCCCATCCCCAGGGATCCCCGATCCCTGGCCTCGCCTCCCAAGAGCCCAGGCCTCTACACCATATCTTCCAAAGTTTCGGATCCCCCCCATTCCCCAGCCTCACCTCCCCGCACCAATCAATCCCGTCCACAAGAGTTCTAGGGGCACCCGGTCCTCCGGGCCCTTGGCTGTGTCCCCAGGTTCCCCCTCCAGTGTGCGCTTTGTCCGTCCACAGTGGGCCGCCTGGCCGGCCTGGACGCAGGCTTGCACCAGTTGCACGTCCGTCTGCACACGTTGGACACCCGCGTGGTGGAGCTGACCCAGGGGCTGCGGCAGCTGCGGGAAGCGACAGGCAACACCCGCGACACCGTGCAAGCCCTGCAGGAGGCGCAGAGCCGAGCTGAGCGCGAGCACGGCCGCTTGGAGGGTGAGTCCACCCAGCACGCGGCGGGGAAAATGGGACGATCCCAGCCAGGGAGGAGGGCACAGAAGAGATCAGAAGTAGTGGGGATCCTAAGATGTCAGGGGGCGAGAGGGTCCCCGTAGAATTGGGGCGTGTTGGCAGACTGAGGAGGTCAGAGTAACTGGGATGGGCACTGGGCGAGACACTCCTTCCTGGTAGCCTAGCTGACCCAACTCAGACCGCGCCACGCCCCCTACAATCCCGCCCCCAGAGTCTGGCCACGCCCCCGATGGCCCTGACTCCACCTAATTGGTCCTCGCAGCCCTCCCGCGGAGACTCTAGCCCCGCCCTCCGTTCGCTTCCCCTGAATACTCTGACCACGCCCTCTTCCCCACCCACTCCCCTCCCGCCCCGCCCACAGGCTGCTTGAAAGGTCTGCGCCTTGGCCACAAATGCTTCATGCTCTCGCGAGATTTCGAGACTCAAGCCGCGGCGCAGGCGCGGTGCGTGACTCGGGGCGGGAATTTAGCGCAGCCTGCGGATCGCCAGCAGATGGAAGCGCTCACGCGCTACTTGCGCGCGGCGCTCGCTCCCTACAACTGGCCGGTGTGGCTGGGCGTGCACGACAGGCGCGCCGAAGGTCTCTACCTCTTCGAGAACGGCCAGCGCGTGTCCTTCTTTGCCTGGCACCGCGCGCCCAGCCCGGAACCGGGTGCCCACCCCAGCGCCCGGCCGCACCCGCTCAGCCCCGACCAGCCCAATGGCGGTGCGCTGGAGAACTGCGTGGCGCAGGCCTCGGACGACGGCTCCTGGTGGGACCACGACTGCGAGCGGCGTCTCTACTACGTCTGCGAGTTCCCCTTCTAGCAGGCGGGTCCCCGCCTCTCCATCCCACATCCGGCCCTTTCCTGTCCGGATCACCCTCTCCCTGGATCCGCAAGGGGAGGTGTCCCCAACCCCCGGCTGCCTGGCGGGGCGCCCCTGGGAGGGCTCTTGCGGGGCCAGGATCCCTTCCGTGCCGATGCCTTTCCTTGAAGCTGCGAGCACCAGGCTAGGTCTGGCACCAATAAATCCTTGTTGGAATCCGACTTGAGAGGCAGCGGAAGCCCTTTCAGCCCTTATCTCGCCTCCGGGAAAGCCAGGAAGGGCCAGACCCTGTATTTGGGTCCTGGCCTGCAGGGTTTTTACAGTTAGCCTTTAAGGCTCAGAATGAGAGCGATGGAGAACACGTGTGCATTTGCATGCACGGTCATGCGCGCCTGTGCACTTGCAAATCCCTCCACCCACATCGGCCTGCTGTGGGGCCTTGGGGACCCAAGCCCTGTCAATGATTGTCCCAGGCCTTGACTTTGGTCCTGGTCAGAGAGATCCCAGGAACACAAAGTTGCTAAAGTCTTGGGCATTTAATTTTGTTTAGTGTTAATTAGTGGGTCTCAAACTTTTTTTCCCAGATGGGTGCACGCAAGGCACATGCTACCTTTCATCCTCTCCGTCTTTCATACCTGTAGTCTCTGGGGACAGTGAAGATTCCCCAGGGGTTGGCAACCCTGGGCCTCATCATTTTGACAACATTATTTGGGGGAGGAGCTCTTGGAGTCACCCCAGTGCCACCACCAAAGTTGACATCCTGGACCTGATCCTGATAGAAACACGGAGTCCAGGAATGGAGATGTAACTGTCCTCACATCTATGCTCCTGCCCCTACTTAAGCCACACCACCACCTAAAGTGTCACCCTCCGGTCCACCTTTGAAGGAAGGAGCCGCCTGTCATTTCCAGAAGAGAGCACTTCTCCTTGTCTCCTCTGGAGTCATTTCTCAGCACCACAGCTCCCTAAAAAAGTACAAAATGGGAGGGGTCACCTGGGGACAGAACAGCTGCAAGCAAGGACTATGACACTGTGCAATATTCTTCCCATTCTGAACCTCAGTCTCCCTGGGTGAGGAGGCAGCAAGATGCTTACAGTCAGCCTGACGTGGGTCAGGATATTTCCAGCAGGCTCTCCACCCTCCCAGGCTTTCCACTGCAGAAGGTACGATGGTGAGGATGCATGTGGTTACCTTCCTGGATTCTGGAGCCAGATGGCCCAGAATCTGACTCACCTTAGCCACTTACTTACTGGACAAATGTGAGTAGGACCGAGCCTTGCCATGCCTCGGTGTTCACATCTGTACAATGGGAATAATAATGTTCTCTGCCTCCTAGAATAGTAGAGGGATCTTTGCAGTATCCAGAACTAATCTTCACTTCAAGATCACCTTCACCTTCCAGTGCCCTCCCTCCTGACTCTGCTTTCGCATGTGCACAGGTCCATGTCTCCCTCCATGTCCTCCCTCAGTTCTCTGTGGGGTAAGCACTCCTTCTTTGGACCTCACAAGGCTAATGGCTACCTTTGGTATTTCAAAACGAGTGGCCTCTCCCTTGACCCAGCTTTGATGAGTCAGGATGGGCAACACTCCTGGTGCAGGTGCGGATGGGTGGGCAGGACTGGGTAGGACGAACTGTGTCCCTAGGATTGCCTGGCAATGGGAGTCCATTGACTGAAGATGTCTGTGTGACATCATGTTGAAGACCCAGAGATGAACCAAACAATCTGCTTCTTTTCTTCCCTGGCCTCAGGCTGAGCCAGGTGCCTCTTCTGGGCACCTATAGGGTGCAGGGCTGTCTACATCATTACAGGTGCTGCTGTCTAGTGTTTGTCTCCCTGTTTGGATAAGGGCCACCATACCAGCCCAGGGATAGGCATGAAGAGAAGTTTGAGGTGGGGAGTAGAAGCAGCTTTGAGGCCTGTGTATGCCTGGCATCAGGAGATAATTCCTGACTCTTGTCACCACATGGGAAATGTGACCCCTCCGCTGGGAAGTCCTTCCAGGCCACCTGCAGGCCAAAGTTGCCAGGTTCTCTGCAGGGCATCTGTCCCTTGTGAGGCCAGATTGTCGAACAATCTGGGGAAGCCACAGTAGCTGATTGGGATCTATGCTTAAGGAATCCCGTTACTAGAAGAGAGAGGGAGCAAGACCTGAGCTGGCCAGAGATGGGAGAATCATAAACTGAACAGGTTTACAGAACTACAAATCCCAGGAGACCCTGATACAGACCCTCATTTCCCAGCAGTCATCCAGAGTCTCATGCGGATCCTAAAGACCCACCCCCTTCTTCCACGTGTTGTTAGCCTACATTTCCCAGCAAGCCTCAGGTCCATGCCCTTGGTAATGAGGTCAGAGCTCTGCTGTGTCCAATCAAAACTCAGAATTCTTCCCATGCACCAGGCTTGCCCAGAGGCACTGTGGGAGATGTAGTCCATCCCTTGGGCCCATGAGCAGGAAAACCCAAACCTGATAGTCTAACATTGTGTTACAGTGTAACTCACAAGTCTCTCTTTCCAACTAGAGATTTTCAAAACGCAGGAGAATTTCCATGCGCAGGTCATTACCATTTTTTAAAGTGAAATTAAATTCATCTAAAATACCACTATGCAGAGAAAACTGAAATGTTTATCAAAATTTGGGCATCGGAGGATGCACTGAATTACAATACAGAAAACAACAGAAAGGAACTCTTTTCATTTGGAAATAGTTTCAAATTTATAAATACTGACAGTGCAAGGTTTATTTATCAACAGTTTACAATGTGGCTTGGGTGCACATTCTGTCATTCTGTCATTCTGTCCATCAATCCCTCATCCTTGTCCAATCACTAGGAACAAGGTCAAGTGTGTTGACCCACTGCAACCAGCAAGGCCACGCCCCAGGGGAGAACCTGTAGCGGAGTTACAGGATTCGGAGGGAAAGAGAAATTTGGGTAAAAATGTAAGTGAAATAATGTTTGAATAGGTTCAGAGCAAATGATGGATGTGTGTAAGTCAGTCAACATCAGGCCTGAAGTGTAGAGTGCAGGTAGGGTCTTGGTTCCTTGGAAACCATGATGTCAAAATTGAGTGGCAGGGTGTGTCCACAAAGTCTTGATTTGAAACCCTGCACCGGGTGTGGAAATCGAGGCTCCACCTGTGTCCAAGTAGTTGTGCTCCTCCAGTCAAAAAAGAGTAGACTTTTTGGGGGGAGGGGGGCGATGAGGCCTCAGGGCTTCACACTTGCAAATCAGATGCTACCATTAGCTCACCTCCGGGCCATTTTAGTCTGGTCATTTTGGAGATGGGGTCTCGAGGACTATTTTGCCCAGGCTGGCCTCCAACCAAGAGATCCTTGCGAGGCAAGTGCTCTACCATTTAAGCCATGTACCCAGCCCTTTTTTTTTTTTTTTAATTTTATTTTTGAGATCGGATCTTACACTTTTGCCCCAGGTCAGGCCTCAATCTAAGACACTCCTACCTATGCCTCCTGAGTACCTGGGATTACAGGTGTACTTCAACACACCTGGCGTCAGTGATGTTCTTCACAGCACTTCCCCTCTAATTCAGGATCCAATAGACCAAGGAAGAAGCCAGGTGCGGTAGAACATACCTGTAAGCCCAACACTGGGAAGGGTGAGGCAGGAGCATAAGAGTTCAAGGCTGGGCTGGAGTGGCTCAAATGGTAGAGAGCCTGCCTAGCAAGCCTGAGTTCAATCCCCAGAGCGGGCCAAAAAAAAAAAACCAGTTCGAGGCCAGAGCCAGGAGCTGGAAATCCTAGCTACACGGGAGACTGAAATCTGGGAGATCAGGGTTCAGGGCCATCCAGGACAAATAGTCCCAGAGACCCCATCTCCATAATAACCAGAGCAAAATGGACTGGGAGAGTGGCTCAAGTGGTAGAGCGCCTGCTTTGCAAGTGCAAAAGCCCTGAGTTCAAACCCCAGTCCCACCAAAAAATAAAAACAAAAGTTCAAGGTCAGTCTGGGGTACATTAGCAAGACCCTATCTCAAAAACAAAACAAAACAAAAGAATAGACTAAGGAAGAAAATATACCGATTTCAACTGATGTGGGAAAATATCTTGGTAAGGTTTTATATCTGTTTTTGATTAAAAGGTAAAACACTTAGAAAACTGGAATAAAAAGAAAACTTTCTTAACTTCATAAAGTTTCCAGAAAATATCACAGAAAATTTAAAAAGCCTTTCCTTTTGGATAAAAATGAAAAATTAAAAAACCAATGGGTATGTTCTCATCATGGTTCTTGCTTTACACAGAATTATAAGTCCTGACTAATGCTTTATTAAAAAAGAAAAAGGAGCCGGGCGGCAGTGGCTCACGCCTGTAATCCCAGCTACTCAGGAGGCAGAGATCAGGAGGATCACTGTTCGAACCCAGTCCCAGCAAATAGTTTACAAGACCCTATCTTGAAAAAACCCGTCACAAAAACAGGCTGGTGGAGTGACTCAAGGTGTAGGCCCTGGGTTCAAACCCCAGTACCACAAAGGGAAACAAACAAGCAAACAAAAACGACTTATATTCTGGAAAGGGCTTTTACCTGCTGAAATTTGGGATTCTAAGTCACACCCCGTAAAATAAAAGACATAGCCCATAACACACAAACCCACGATTTATAATTGCTGGAAATTTTTACTTCACAGTCCCTGCTACAGCTCCTAAAGATGAATCTGTTGTAAAACCCAAAGGAAATATGGGTTAAGTATCCTTTATCCGAAATTCCGGAGACCAGAGTGTTTCTGATTTTCTACTGGGTACAGAGGCTCACGCCTGTAATACCAACATGCAGAAGATAGAGGATTGACAATTGCAGGCTGTCCTGGGCAACAGTGAGTCTTTGTCTAAATTTTAATTTTGGATTATTTGCACATACATAGTGAGGTGTCTTGGGAATGAAATTAACACTAAACACAAAATTCATCTATGTTTCTGGTGCACCTTCTACACATAACCTGAAGTAATGTCATCTAGTATTTTATTGATTGCATTCTGACTGCAAAGGCTTGGATTTTGAAACATTTCACATTTTCGCTTTTGTGTTGTTGTTATTGTTGCTTTGTGTGTGTGTGTGTGTGTTTGTGTGGTACTGGGGCTTGAACTCAGGGCCTTAAGCCTCTCCACCGGCCCTTTTCTTTGTGTTGGGTTTTTTTGAGATAGGGTTTCATGAGCTATTTGCCTGGGCTGGCTTCGAACTTCGATCCTCCTGATCTCTGCCTCCTAAGTGGTTAGGATTACAGGTGTGAGCCACTGGCACCTGGCAGAAATCTTAATGAGAGCTAAAGGATGGGTGTGATGATACACGCTTGTAATCCCAGCTACTGGGGAAGCAGAGGTAGGAGGATCGAAGTCTGAGGCAGCCAGGAAAAAGTTAGCTAGGAGACTCTACATGAAAAACAAACTGAAAAAGCCAAAGGGCTGGTAGAGTGGCTCAAGTGGTAGAACGCCTGCCTAGCAAGCGTGAGGTCCTGAGTTCAAACCCCAGTGCCGCCAAATAAAAGCTGCTGGGTTTCCTCCCTGCTGTGTGCCAGGCGCAGGCCCCGAGCTCTGCACACGTGCATCGTTCCATTTGTGTGGTCTGAGGAAGGATGGAGGGCAGAGGAGGTGGAAATCCCTGCTCACCGTCTCTCTGGGACTCTCACCCTCTCAGCACTCACTTCTAGTGACCACTGGACTGATACTGATCTCTGGGGCCACCATGGCTCTTGCTCAAGGTTTTTCCCCCGGGCTGTTATCTGCCCCCAAACTCACAAGCTGCTTCCTGGCTCGTCCCCCTCCTCTCCTCCCCTTGAGCTCCAGGCTGGGCTGCCTGGGGCAGACATCCATCAGAGACAGACAGAGCCCCTGGCCTGACTGTGACTCTCCAACCCAGCCCACGGTGGGTGACCTTGGACTGGGATTTGCTGGGAGGGTGGGGACTTGCGAAAGAGGAGAGTTGAGGTGAGGGCGAGGGGGATGAAAAGCCCAGTGTGGTGGCTCACGCCTATAAGCTCAGCACCCTGGAGGCTCAGGCACGGGGATGGTGAGTTCTATGCCAGCCTGAGCTATATAGAGAGACCTTGTCTCAAAAACCAAGCTGACTAAATAACTAAGTAACTAACTAAAAAGCTAACTAACTAACCCCATCTCCAAAAAATAACCAGAGCAAGATGAACTAGAGGCATAGCTCATATAGTCGAGCTCCTGCTTTGCAAAGCCCTGAGTTCAAATCCCAGTCCCACCAAAAAGGAAAAAAAGGTCCCTTCCCGGGCAACAGCTTTTCTTTACCACTAACATCAGCCACACAGTGTGGCGGTATCTGTCTTGGTCACTGTTGTGTCCCCAGCACTGTGGCCTGTCTGGCATGCCGTGGACTCAATGAGTGTTTTTAGCTAAATGAGGGAATCCATTCTCCAGGTGACAAAGGAGGGACGGTCTCTACCGCGCTCCTCACTGATGTACTGAGTGCCTGCTACATGCTAGGGGGCTGGGAAAGGAGCCACGTCCCGGCCTTGCCTCCAGGGATCAAGTTTACTGGGGAGATTTCAGTCGCTGACTGAATCAATGAACACAGTTGGCAACCATTGCCATAGCAATTCCTTGTCTGGGGGAGGCCGCTGTGGAGCGTCTGCTTTGGTTAAGGGCGGTCAAGGAAGGCTTTGGGGGAGAAGTGACATTCCACTGATATATCAAGAAGGAGTTTGCAAACAAAAGGCAAGTGGGGTGCCGTGGTGCATACCTATAATCTCAGCACTAAGAAGGCTAAGGCAGGGGCATTGTGAGTTCCAGGCCAGCCTGGACTACAAAGTGACATCTTGTCTCCAAACAAAGAAAGCAGACAGAAGGAAGATCATATAGTCATTCTATTTCTATTTCTGTAATTTCTGTATGTATTTTGACAGTGTGGGGTTTGAACTTGGGCCCTTGCACTTGCTAGGCAGGTGCTCTACCACCTGAGCCACGACCCCAGACCTTTGCCTTTAGTTTGTTTTACAAGTCAGGGTTGGTCTTGATCCTTGATCCTCCTATCTCTGCCTCTTGAGTAGCTGGGATTACAGTCATGTACCACCACACCAGGCCTTGTATTTCTAGGTGTTGGGTTTTTTTAGGAACCACCAGACTGTTTTTCGAATGGCTGCACTAATTTATATTCCCACCAACACCAACAACACAAGAGAGTTCCCCTTTCTCCATATCCTCACTCGCATTTCTTGGTTTTTTGGTTTTTTTTTTTTTTTGTCTTTTTTGAGGACAGTCATTCTAACTGGGGATGTGATGTCTCACGGGGGAGCTAATTTGCACCTCCCTGATGATCAGTGATGGATATTACTTTTCATACACTTTTTGGCCACTTTCACATAGTTTTTGAGAAATATCTATGCAGGTCATTTGCCTATTTTAAAAATCAGATTATTGCCAGGCGCTGTGACTCATGCCTGTAATCCCAGTTACTCAGGAGGCAGAGATCTGGAGCATCATGGTTTGAAGCCAGCCTGGGCAAATAGTTCCACGAGACCCTATCTTGAAAATACCGTCACTGAGGTTATCTCCTCACTCTGTTCATTGTTTGCTTTGCTATGAAGAAGCTCTTTTAAATGGCAGTACTGGGGTTTGAACTCAAGACCTTGAGCTTACCAGGCAAGTGCTCTATCACTTGAGCCATGGCCCAGTTTGAAAGCTTCTTAGTTCAGTGTAATCTTATTTGCCCCGTTTTGTTCTTTCCTGTGTTATTGGAGTCATATCCAAAATATCTTTCTTGTCTCCCACATCCCTAATTTTTTTTTCTGGTGGGATTGGGGCTTGAACTCAGGGCCTTCACCTTGAGCCACAAGACCAGCCCTTTTTTGTGATTTTTTTTTCGAGATAGGGTCTCTCGAACTGTTTCCCTGGGCTGGCTTCGAACTGTGATCCTCCTGATCTCTGCCTCCTGAGTAGCTGGGATTACAGGCTTGAGTCACAGCACCCAGCCCTCACTTTTCTTTAATATCTGTTTTTCTCTGTCCTTTATGTTGGATCATTTCTATTGATCTATCTTCAATTACTGACTTAATTTCCAATCTGTGAGGTCCATCCAATGAGATTTCAATAGTTGTGTTTTGGCTGTAGGATTTCCACTTCACTATCTATATGTGCAGTTTCTCTCTCCTACTACAATCCCCAAACTCTTCATTCGTTGCTCATACCTTTTCCTTTACGTCTTTGAACATCTGTGTACTGCAGATCCCTGTCATTCCAGGGCTGGTTTCTGTTGACTGTTTTTTCATCTCTCCTCCCCGTCCCTCCCCCGCCCCCTCCTCTCCCCTCCCCTCTCCCCTCTTCTTCTCTCTTCTTCTTCAGTATGGTGCACACATTTGTGCTACTTCCCACGTCTGGCCGTTTTTCATCAGATAACTGATATTACACAAGATACATTATAGCAAATCTCACTGTGCAATGTTCCTCTGAAGAATGATTATTTTGCTGGTTTTTCACTTAAATCAGCTGGATCAGACTCTAAATTCTGTGTTCCTGGTAATGGAGGAAAAGCTGAAACTGATGCTCAAACTGGTTCCTTCAAATTCCAGATTTTTTTTTTTTAATCAGGCATTCTGTGGTCTCCCCTGAGCCTGTTACCCATCCAAATTTCGGAATTCGCATTTCCTGTGGCTTCCTCCCACGCTCCCCTCCCTCTGGCTGACTTTCTGGCCCGTTTGTTGCAAAGTGGTCACACACATCTCGGTGGGGTACACTCCTCTCCACAGTTTTGTTTTTTATTTTATTTTTGGTGGAACTGATTGAACAGAACTGGGCTTTGTGGAACACACCTGTCATCCCAGCACTTGGGAGGCTGAGACAGGAGGGTCATGAGTTCAAGGCCAGCCTGGGCCACATAGCAAGACTGTGTCTCCAAACCACCAAGGACTTGGGGACGTAGTTCAGTGGTAGATAGAGCACTTGCCTAGTCTGAGTGAGACTCATGGTTCCATTCCCAGCACCATGAAAACAGGTATCGAGCAGAGAAAGGAATGACGGCATCTTAGAAGGGACCATGGCTCCAGTAAAAACAGCCAGTGGAGCTGGGCGCCAGTGACTCACACCTGTAGTCCCAGCTACTCAGGAGGCAGAGATCAGGAGGATTGAGGTTTGAGGCTAGCCTGGGAAAACAGTTTGAGAGACCCTATCTCTAAAAAACCCAACACCAAAAAGGGCTGGTGGAGTGGATCAAGGTGGAGGCCCTGAGTTCAAAACCCCAGTTCTGCAACCCAAAAGCAGCCCATGGCTGTGACATGGAAGACTTGTGTTCCAGAGAGATGGCTTCTGTGGAATGCCAGCCGGAGCAGGTGTGGTTCCTCTGCCAGCTGACCATCGCTGTCCTGTGTGTGTCCTGTGTCATTGGCGTCGGTGGCAGCATGCTGGTGCTTTGGATGGATGACCTTCTTCCGAATGACCCGCACCGTGACCACCACCTGGTTCTTCATCCTGGCCCTGGCAGACCTCACCGTTTCACTGTCACTGCCTATCGCCATGTTCAACGTGGCCTATGGCTCGTGGCCCTTTGGTAACTTAGCCTGTAAGTTGTACATGGCCTTTCTGTCCCTTAACTCCTTCGCCAGTATCTACCTCCTGGTCCTTATCTCTGTGGACCATTGCGTCTCTGTGCTCTACCCTGTCTGGGCCTGGAACCATCGCACGGTGCAAAGAGCCAGCTGCATGGCCGTCGGGTGTGGTTCCTGGCTGCTGTCGCGTGTTCTCCTTACTTGACGTTCCGGGACACTGGAACCTGGAAGGGGTGCACACATTGCTACTTCAAGTTCAAGTCCAGCCTTGGGATCCAATGGATTCCATGAAGCAAATGACACTGACCATCATTTGCTTCTTGCTGGGCTTCCTGGTGCCTGTGGCGGTCACTGGCACCTGTGCCCATCTCATCTGGCGGGAGGGCCGGGTCCATGCCAGCCGGCCCAAGAGGCTGCTGGTGGTGTTGGTCAGCACCTTCTTTGCCTTCTGGTTTCCATTCGATATGGCGTTGATCGTCCAGTCGGGGCTTATGATGACATCTCAGCAGCAATACAACCACGCTAAGATGCTGTCCTTCCTTTGGGCCACCTTCTCCTTCAGCTGCCTCAACAGCTGTCTCAACCCCTTCCTCTGTGTCATCATTGGCCAAGATTTCCAGGAAAGGCTTTTCCAGCCTCTGTCTTCTGCTCTGGCCAGGGCGTTTGGGGAGGAAGGTTTCATTACTCATCCTGTCCCCATGGTGAAGCTCCCAGGGGATGCTGGAAACGCTCAGGTGGAAGCCAGAAGTCTTCCATCCTAGCTTCCTTACCTAAATGGGCTTCCAAGTCCTGCCTCTTCCTCCATGAAGTGTTCCGGGAATTCCTCATCCACAACTCTGTAGTACAGACATCTAGTGATTCCCATTGTCCGTTCTTCCCTTCCTTTATACGAAGACTCCTTTTTGTTTTATACTAGGCATGTGGTTAGCCAGCTAAAAGAAAGACTACATTTCCCAGTATCCTTTGCAAAGTAGACCTAGCCATGTGACTGCTTTCTAGCCAATAGGATGTGAATATAAATAATCAAGGTAACTGCCTGGAATTCCTTTAAATGAAAAGAGCCCCTGTCCACCCTTCTTCCATTTGACTAGAAAGCAAATGTATCAGTTGGCTTTTGCTAGGTAACAAACACCCCTAAAATTTAGAGAGTTAAAAAAAAACTAAACTGTTATGTTTTCTGTGGCTCAGCAATTTGAGCTGGGCTCATCTGAGTAGTTTTCTTGTTTTGGATGCATTCCCCCATGTCTCTGTGACTGGTTCTGGGTGGGGTGGCTGGCTTTCAGCTGGGGTGGTGGCATTTGTTAAGCTGTCTCGTTTCATTGTTCCGCAGGCTGGCTTTTTGTGTATGTGTGGGGTGAAACCCAAGGCCTGGCACATGCTAGACAAGTTCTCAACCACTGAGCCCCAGGTTGGGGAGGCTTTTAAGAGTGAGAAGAAGCCAAGCACCAGTGGCTCATGCCTGTAATCCTGGCCACTCAGGAGGCAGAGATCAGGAGGATCACAGTTCAAAGCCAGCCCGGACAAATAGTTCTTGGGACCCCATCACAAAAAAGAGCTGGTGGAGTGGCTCACTCAAGGTCTAGGATTTGAGTTCAAACCCTTGTACCACAAAAAAAAAAAAAAAAAAAAGAAAGTGAGAAGAAGCCAGGTGTGGTGGCACATGCCTGTAATCCCAGATACTGGGGAGGTGGAGGTAGTAGGATTGCGAGTTTGAGGCCAGCCTGGCAAAAGTTAGCGAGACCCTGTCTCGAAAACAAAATAAACACAAAAGGGCCAGGAGGTGGCTGAGGCCCTCGCTTCCATACTCAGTACCAGAAAATAAAGAAATGAGAGGAGAAGCGTGAGGTAGAGACTTGGAACTCACGCAAGGTGGAGACCACTCCATGGGACTGGTCAAAGAGTCGCAAGGCCAGCCTGGGTTCCAAGCAGGAGGGAACAGATCCCTCCACTCACTGGGAAAATCTCCAAAGTATCATTGCAAAGAGGCATGGATACAAGGCAGCATCAGAACTGGGCCCATTTTTGCAATCTACCACAGGGTGACAAAAGCTACCATGTCCCCTGGGATCCTTACATCCAGACTGTGAAGAGAGTTTACAAATTCCAGCTCCCTGCCACTGTTGTTTTGTATCTGTGAGGCAACAGCTGAACCTCTCTGTGCCTTAATTATTGTGCCACTGGCCTCTTGAATCTGTGTGGAGCCAGATAATAAACTTCCTTATTGCCACAGCCAGTTGGAGTTGGGTTTTCTGTTACTTGAAGCCCAAAGCAGGTCTTATTAACCAAGCAATAAATACTCCTTTCCAATGTGGGCAGGGTGGTGCCTGCCTGTAATCCCAGCACTCAGGGGGCTGAGGTGAGAGAATCCAAGTTCCAGGGCAGCCTGGGCTACATGGTGAGACCCTGTCTCAACAACAGCAAAAGAATACTCTCTTTCTGGGATAGAGACCCTGGTGGTCACGGTGGGTCATCCCTTTGGTCCACAGGAGAGGCAAAAAGAATATTTTGTCTTCATCCAAACCAGAGGCTATCACATTACTTGCTTGTGATCGGTAGAAGCAGCTCTGGTCCAGTCTGGCTTGCCTGGAGAGCTCCCTCTTGTGGTGCCTCAGTTTCCCCAACTCTGTAAAACGGGACCAAATGCTTCCTTGTTTGTGGATGAGGAGAGAGATACAGTGATACAGTGACTAAGGATTAGGAAGAATTGGGGCCACCTCTTTCTCTTCCTCTCTCTCTCTCTCTCTCTCTCTCTCTCTCTCCCTTCCTCTCTTCTCCATCTTTTCTTCTCTCTCCCTCTCTCTGTCTTTTCTCCCTCTCTCCCTCCCTGTCTCTCTCTCCCCTTTCTCTCTCCCTCTCTCCTCCTCTCCCCTCTCTTTCTTCCCCTCTTCTCTCTCTCTCTCCCTCCCTCTCCGTGCACATACCTGTACACACCACAGTACATCCACCATTATGAGCAAACCAATATGGAAACGTTGGGCCTGGGAGCCCTTGGAGGTGCCATGTCAGGGCGCCTCAGACAACTTGGACTTTTGAAAGTGGGTATGAGAGACATCGTGGCGTTCACCCATGAATCCCTTAGCCCGGGTCTCCTCAGGGTCTGGGCATTTCCTTAAGGACTTTCCAATGACATGAGCTGATAGACAGCCCATGCTCATATTTCCTGTCTGTCCCAATCACAACTTTATAGTATTTTTTTTCGAGATGAGATCTCATGAACTATTTCCCCAGGTGGTCTCGAACCAGGATCCTCCTGAGTAGCTGGGATTACAGGCGTGAGCCACTGGTGCCTGACTCTTTGTAGCATTTTTTAAAACCAGGATTCTTCAATAAGATTCTTCCCTTCCCCACCAAAGTTGACTATGTAGCAAGTCATAAACCAACATAGATTGAGTTCCAAAAGTGGAAGCAACACAGGCCACGTTCAAAACGAGAAGTTTACAAAAAATCACACACACACACACACACACACACACACACACACACACAGAATTAGGGCTGGGCACGGTGGCTCACAACTGCAATTCCAGCTACCAGAGAGGCAAAGATGGGAAAGATCTCTAATACCAGCATGTGGAAAAAGTTAGCAAAACCCCATCTCAACAAAAACATCAGGCTTGGTGTTGCACACCTGTCATCCCCACTGCTCCGGAGGTGTAAGTAGGAGGATCCTAATTCAGACAGGCCCTGGACAAAAAAACATGCGATCCCACCCAAAAAAATAACTAAAGCAAAAAGGGCTGGGAGTGTGGCTCAAGTGCTAGAGTGCCGGCCTAGCAAGGGAGGCCCCAAGTTCAAACCCCAGTACTGCCACAAAAAACCCCAAAACACTTGTATTGTCTTGAACAACACAAAGCACCCTTGTGAATAACTCCTGCTTTGTAGACAATGAAAACTGAAGTTCTGCTCTACTTAGAAATAGTGCAAGTTGAAATGTGGGAGTGGAGTCAAAGATGTACTCAGAGGAAAATCTACTGCTCTAAACTTTTTTCCGTAGTACTGGGGTTTGAACTCAGGGCCTTGTACTTGCTAGGCAGGCACTCGCCACTTAAGCCAGGTCCCCAGACGTTTTTGCTTTAGTTATTTTTCAGATGGGGTCTCTTGCTTTTGCCTGGCCTGCCTGACACTGAGATCCCTTTACCTCTGGCTCCTGCATAGCTGCTTACAGGAGTCTGACACCATGCTGCTGACTTATTCTTTGAGATAGGGTCTCACTTTTTGCCCAAGCTGGCCTACAATTTTGATCCTACTATCGTTGTCTCCCAGGTAGCTGGGATTACAGGCATGCACCACCACAGCCCGCCTTTTTTGTGTATCTTCATTTCTCTGTCTCTCACACACAATAATATCCTTGTACATTTACGTTTGCATATTTTTGTGAATACCAAGACTCACAATAGCACAGGGGCCACTCAGAGCTGGGGTACCCCAGGCAAGTTGCTTTCACCCTCCAGGCCTCCTTTTCCACCATCTTAAAAGGATAACAACAGAAGCCAGGCACAGGACGCTCCCATGAACGTGGGTAAGGTGCTGGGCTGTCACCTGTTAGAGTCGCTCCTCCTGGGGCCGCTGCGCAGTCACAGGGCGTGTTCCCTGTCGCTAGACACCTGCTCCATGCAGCTTGCATGGCGGTTTCCCACGGCTCCGCCCACGCACCCGCCAAGTCAGACTCTGATCTCTGGCTCCGGGGAGGTTTTTAATTTGCATTGATTTTCTAATGAATGCGGTTAAGGTCTTGCCGGAGGCTGTGGCTTTTGGAGCGCTGCAGGATTCCCCGTGGGACGCAGTGGGCTTTGGCCCGTGGCTAAGGCGGGGGGTGGGAGCAGAGAGCTTGGGGCGGCCTCAGGGGACCTGGCACTTCCTGGGGCAGCCTCGGTGACACTTTGTTTAGCCTCGGGTTTCTGCTGTGAGAACCAGGGACTAATAAAACTGTTATGAGAATGGAAAGAGGTGACGACTCACTCCAATGACCAAGTAATGACAGCTCGCAGGGGCTGACCGTGTTCTAAGTACCAGGTCCTGGCCAGAGATTTGCAAACGCGTGAACCCCTGAAATCTCAGTCCTCAAACAGGGTCCCAGAGGTAAAGTCACTCAGGAGAGGTCACGCGGCAAGTCAGTCGCAGTCACGACTTGCCAGGTGTGACTCGGGTCATTGTATTCCTAGAGCACCTGTCAGGGGAATGGCAGAAGGCTGAAGGAGGCAGAGCTGAGCTCTGAAAGACTGACATTCCAGGGGCGGAGCTAACGTTCCAGAGGGAGGGGCTGAATTCTAAGGGGAGGGGCTAACGTTCCAGGGGCGGAGCTAACATTCCAGAGGGAGGGGCTGACATTCCAGGGGAGGAGCTGATGTTCCAGTGGGAGGGGCTGACTTTCCAGTGGGAAGGACCAACCTCCCAGGAGGGGCCAACATCCCAGGGGGTGGAGCTGACACCCAAAGGGGTGGGGCTGACATTTCAGGGGGCAGAGCTAATGGTCCAAGGGAGGAGCTGCTGGTGCAGAAGGCGGAGCTTACTAGCATCACAGGGACAGGCGCTAACATTCTAGGGGGAGGGACTACTATTCCAGGAAGGACCAACATTTCAGGGGAGGAACTAACATCTTAGGGGAGGAGCCAGCATTCCAGGGGAAGGGCTAGTCTTCAGGGGAGGAGCTAACACCGTGAGGGCGGGGCTGACAATTCATTGGGCAGAGCCGACATTCCAGGGGGAGGGGCAACATTTAGGGGTGGAGCTAACATCTTGGGGCGGGGCTAACAGTCCTAAGAGAGAGACTGACATCCTCCATCTTTGGGAGTCTAGCGCCTCCACCTCCTGGCCACACCCTGTCCTGTCGCCGCAGGTGTTGGGGGGTTGGGCACACAGGAGGCACAAACCCCTCCCTTCTTGGGGATTCAGAGTAAAGATGGGGCCCTGACGAAGGATCCCACAGAAACGACATTCACTTCCCAAGCAGAAGAGAGGTAATTATGTGCTCTTAATCACTACCTCTGTTTCTCTCCAGCAGAGAGGGAGGGGAGGCGGCGCCCCCAATCTGGCCTGGTTAGAGATGTTCCCAGCCGTAGGAGACAGCGTGTTATCAAATGTCATGTCGGAAAATAGCTGTCATAGACTGCTCACCTCCTGACACCTCCCCAGCCCCGCCCCACACGTTTGTAGGTTCCTAGTGACTGAGCTCCTCATGTAGCTGCTTCTTGGGACAGGGACTTTGTGCTAGGTTGCATCTAGGCCAAGAAGGGCTGCCAGGACTGGATTCGAACTCAGAACCCAGGGTGTCTGCGGCCAAGTGCTGCTCTCAACACCAGCGTGTGCGTTTCTTGGTTCCCACTCCTGACCGTGTGGAATAAAATGGAAAGAGAAATATGACAGCCTCAGGTTCATATCCATCCATGACGGGGGGATTTCTCTCCCTTTCCTTTGTGGCTGTGTCCTCCCTGCAGAGTGACGCTCTGTCCCAGCATCCAGGTGGGAGGTGCTGGCCACCCCAGTGGCATCAGGCTCTGACTTTATATTCAGGAGTGTTTTGATGATGGCTGAGATGGACACAAAGAGCCACAAAGGTGGCCAGGCCGTGGCAGAAGCGGTACCCACGACAGGGCATAGGACAGAGCTCCCGGGAGGCCATGTGAGGTGGGACTGGAGGCCTCAGTGGAAGGCCAGGCTGTCGTGGGTGCTGGGGAGCCACGGTAGGCCTGTGAGCAGAGGAGGTCACAGTGTAGAAAGTGCTTCCATGGCCTGGTGGAGGATGGACAAGGGGCCATGAGGAGGCTGGGGGTCTGGGGTCCAGGGGGAGGGGAGGTGGCCAGAGCAGGAAGAATCCAGCCTTGGAGACAGACAGAAGAGGGTGGGGCAAGGGCAGTGCTGGGGGCTTCTGGGCAGGGAGAGGGCTAGGCTGGTAGCGGGGGGCCAATGCCATCCCCTTCTGTTGTCCTCTGCCCCCCTCCACTTCAAGGCTTAGGTGCTTTGAAGCCCACAGGGGACACAAGATAAGGTCTGGCCAAGCCTGCCACCCACTTCCCCTCTGCATCTGCCTTCCTCTTTCCGGGCGCCACCCCTGCACTTCCACCACCTCAGCCTGGCCACTCCGTCCACCCACCCCCACCTTTAGCCCCTCCCAACCCCATGCCTGTTTCTAACTCTCTGCCCCTTTCTCATTCCAGAGGCAGATTCAGCAATTGACTGACTATGTGACCTTCGGAGAGTCTCTATTTGCTGGTCTATAAAATGGGTCCATTTGCTTCCCGTTGTAGCTCTAATAAATTACCAAAAATTTAGGATCTTTATCTTACAGTTCTAAGACGTCTTATGGGAGAAGAATCTATTCTTTTGCTTTTCCCAGTCTGCATTTTAGGACTCAGCGTCCTTCCTCCTCTACACCCCACTCTTCTGCCTCCCTTTTTCTCACAAGGACTGTGGGGACCATGCCTATGGGACAAGGGGGTCCCCTGCTCACTCATTGACCTGTGGAATCAGCAATATCCACGGAGCACCAACTGGACACTAGAAAATGTCTTAGGTACGAAAAGGACAAACACTCCTTATGGAGTGTCCACAGCAAAGCGTTTTGAAGGTAGTGTGATGACGCAGAAGTAAAAGACAACACAAGGAGGGGGCAAGAAGGCAGGCTGAGGGACAGTAAGTGACAGCCAAGGTAATCTGGGAAGGCTTCTTGGTAGAGGTGACCTTTGAACAGAGACCTAGATGGCCTGCGCATCCAGGATACATGAGGCTCACTCAGTGTAGCCTGAACCCACTCTCAAAACCCTGAATATACAAGGAAGGTAATGCTGAGTCGACCCGACGGGGTGAATGGTAGACAGAGAAGGGCTTCCAGAGAAGGTGAGGTTTTAAAGGATGAGTAGGAGTTTGCTCTCTGCATTGATGGAATAAAGCAAGGTGCACCAGAGAGAGGAAACAGCTTGGTGTGTGCACATGTGTGGGGAAGTGTGTGGCTTATTCTAGGAACTGCAGAGCAGACAAAGGGAAGTGGTGGCTGGGAGTCTGGTGAGGTGGGCAGAGACATGGCAGGCAGGGCTGAAGGGCCAGGTTGAAGGGGCTCCTCCCTTACCCTGGGGGTGTCCTGGAGAGCAAGTCATTCAGAGGGGGAAACTGAGGCCCCAGCTCAGACCCCACGTGACAGCCTCTCTGATTTCCAGCTAGGCCCTGGTCTCCATCTTCTGTTCCATCAGCTGGTGAGTTGCCCACAAGTTCCCTACCTCGGATCCCCAGGGGATGACTAGCCCACCTGCTCCTGCTTAGACATCCCAGAAGACACCTGACCCATCAGCAGGTGAGCTCAGGACATGAGGGAACAAGGGATAAACTGAGGTCCACAGACAGCAGGACCTGGGGACGTAGGGGGTGCGGATCCCCTGGGCTAACATCTTGGCCTCTGAAGTCTCACAGATGTGACTCAATCCCGGGTCCCTGTCTTTCTGGCTGTGGGATTTTGATTTCCCCTCTCTGGGCCTCAGTTTCCCTATTTGAAAGCAGGGCCATTAGGAGACGCATACAAGCTTTGAACTTGAAGATACAGGGCCCCGAGAATGGAGGAGGAGGACGGCAGGGCTGAAGGGCAAAGGCTGGTTCCTGGAGGGGAGGCTGGAAGAGGAGGCAGCCGAGAAAGGGAGGGGGCCACCCGGGGTTTCCTTTTGGACTTTGTTCAAGGGCACTGGGGAGCTATGGAAGGGGTGGGAGCAGGGAAGAGGCGGATGGGAGCAGATTGGAGGGGGAGAATGGAGGCAGGGGGGATGGAAGATGGGGGTTAGCCTGGGCTGAGCTGGGCCATGGGGACGGGCAGAGTCACGGGGCTTGGGACATGGAGGAACAAAGAGGGAGAGTCGGGGTGGTTGGCAGGATTGTCCCTGAGGTGCAGGACTGTGAGAAGCTTGAGCCTTGGGCTGTGCTAGTATGGTGGCCTCTGGGTCCCAACAGCCTCATCCAGCCCATGGAGGACCCTTCTGAGACTTGGTGGTCAGCACCCTCCAGGTCCCCATGCCTGCCCTGGGCCACCCTCTTCTTTCTCTACTCCCTGGTGTCCCTCATCTCCTACTTCCTGGAGGTGGCCAGCCACGGCCTGCTGACCTGGGCTGCGGGGCCCCTCCTGCCCTTCCCGTGTCTGCTGCCTGGTTTGGTCACCACCAGGTCATCACCGATCTCACTTTCACTGTGCTCCTGCCACTAAGCCTCACCTGGACGCTCTCCTGCTGGCCCCTGGGTGGTGACTTTTGCCACATGGACCCAAGCCTGGCCTTCCTGACCTTCTGGGTCAGTGGCCGCCTGCTGACCCGAGTGGCCGCCAACTGCTACACTGCACTGGGACAGCCTGCCTGGGAGTTGGGCCACCGCAGGGCTCGGCGGGTGGTTTTCTGGAGTGCCGGGTTCTGGCTCCTGCTGGTGAGCCTGGGCAGACTGACCCTGCGAGCCGTGAGGACCCAGGCCAGCCTGGCTGTCCCTTATAACAGGACTCCTGCCACTGGGTCCCCTGGCCTTGATCAGGACTCCAGGCCCTCGGGTCCCTTGTTGGACCAGATGGTGTTTGGGTTTGGGGTGCCACTGGGGGTGCTAAGCACCTTTCACCGTGTTCTGAGGGCCCAGCTGCAGCTGGCCAGGCTCAGCGGGTGGCCCCCCACTGCTGAACCTGTCCTGGGCCACCGTGGCCGTGCACTTTCTGTGCTGGTTCCCTTTCCACCTGCTGATGTTGCCCGAAGCTGGGCCGGACTTGGAGGACGTCTGGGTGCTGCTCAGACCCCTGGTGGTCACCCTCGTGGGGACCAGCGGCTGGCTCAACCCCCTGCTCTGTGTGTGACCAGGACTTTCAGAGATGGCCCTGTCACGGGGAGTGGACGGGGAGGGCCCGGTACTGGACGTGGATGCTCAGCCATCCTGAGGGGACCTGAAAGGAATGGTGGCCTTCGCATCTCCTGACCTCCTGACAATGTGGGGCTCGGCTGAGATTCGAGCAGACAGAATGACAGGATTGGGGGATGGAGGCAGGGGGCAGAGAGGGGACAGAGACCCAGAGAAAGGGGGACAGAGACCTAAAGAGAGAGGGGATAGAGACCCAGAGAAAGGGGGCATGGACCCAGAGGGGAAAAATGGAGACCCAGGGAGAGAGAGCAGTGGAGTGGGTGACATGGGGGGAGGAGAAGTCATGTGGGCCCCTTGGGGAGAGTCACACAGTCTGGTGGCAGACAGAAGTCGAGGCAGGGAATGGGGTTGACAGACGGGCCAGGCTGCTGGTGTAGACAGAAACGCAGAAGCTCTCTGGTGAGGGATGTCCTAGAGGAAGGTGAGGAGAGACAGGACAAGGTGACAGAGACTCGGGTACAGACATCTCAAAGACTGTGAGAGGCCTGGTCCTGGACAGAAAACCAGCACAGGACAGGACAGGACAGGACAGGTGTTACTAGGGTTACTGCCCCTCCTGCTGCTCTCAGGACTGGGCAATTCCTGAGGCATGTGGCTTTCAGAGCTTTCGGGGACTGTCCCCATCCCATGTGAACAGGGACACTGGCCCCACTGCCCCACTGGGTGGAACAGAGCAATACTGGACAGCTGACAGGGCTGGGCCAGTTTTCTCTCTCTCTCTCTCTCTCTCTCTCTCTCTCTCTCTCTCTCTCTCTCCTGGCAGCTCTACCACTTGAGACACACCCCTGCCCATTGGTTTGTGTTTTGTCTTTTCTTGCTAACTTTGCCCAGGCTGGCTTTGAACTCGAGATGGTCTTGTGTCAGCCTTCTGGCTAGGATTAAAGGCGTGTCCCACCACTCTTGTCTTCTCCTGCTGGAGTGGGAAACGCACAAGTCTTTCGTGTCCCTTTTCCATCTGTCCCTGGGAAACTATATTTGCCTTCTTTCATTTTCAAACTTAAAATGTTTCAAACCCAAGGTTAATTTTGCTCCACAGCCCCGTCTTTGACGCGGCCATCCAGGTACCTCTGTGATGCGCTCAGCTCCAGGACAGGAAGATAAATTTTTTCCCCTTTGGTGATGGTGAGGTTTGAACTTGGGACCTTGTGCTTATTAGGCAGGTACTCTACCACTGGAGCCACGCCCCCTCCAGTCCTTTTTGGCTTTAGCTATTTTTCAGCTAGCACATCATATCCCTCCCTCCCCTGGGACCATCTTGGATCTTGATCCTCTTAGCTCTGCCTCCTGTGTAGCTGGGATGACAGGTGTGAACCACTACACCTGGCTTCTTGGTTGAGATGGGTCTTGCTAACTTTTCACCCAGGCTGGCCTGGAACCTCCAGAGTAGCTGGGATTGTAGACATGAGCCACCCAGCCCCACCATCTCCTTCGTCCTCTGGCAAGTCCTCCCAGGCAGCCTCCAACCCTGGCTGCGTCTCCAGGGAGAGCGTTTAACCTAAAATCGGTGAAGCTGAAGCCCGGGCCGCATCCCAGGCACTGTGGTTTAAGTGGTCAGGGTGGAGCTGGGCTCTGGGAATTTCAAAAGGTACCCAGGGACTTCCACAGTGCTGGGCTGGGACCCATCCATCTCCATGTGCCTGCAGTTGGGGAAATGCAACCTTGACAGCTCCTGGAGTTTTCCCGGAGGAAACCTGCACTAAGTGCCCAGACCCCTGGAGTTGGGGAGGGGGACAGGAAAACCGCAAACGCTGGCTCTGTTATTCTTCTTCTTACTATTTTGGTACTGGGGAATTGAATCCAGGGCCTCACACGTGCTAGGCATGGGCTCCACCACTTGAGCCACCCCACCAGCCCTTTTGTGTTTTGTGTTTGAGACAGGGTCTTGCTAACTTTGCCAGGCCTGGCCTCGAACTCTTGATCCTCCAGCCTCCACCTCCTTCAGAGAAGCTGGGATTACAGGTGTGCACCACCATGCCTGGTTTATGATCTGTTTAAAAAAACTAACAGCCAAACCCACACTGGGAAGAGGGGAGTTGCAGGGCCGGGGGGCGGGGTACTGTGCTTGGGGTGGGGGTTTCACAAAGCCTTTGGGGGAAGGTGACAGAAAATAAAGGTGGGAAAAGGCACTCCATGCAGGGAGGGACACAGCAAGTCCAAAGCCACGAATGAGGCATTTTGAGTTCTATGTGGCTAACGATATAACAGAGGCCATGGGAGACCAGGGTGTCAGGCTGGGATTCTGATTTGGGGCGGGGGCTGTAAGCAGGGAGGGGCAGGGTGGGCTCAGGGTAGATAGAGAACGGTCCCTCTGAGGCCTGGAAGGGAGGTGGAGGGCAGGTGGAGGGACCCCAGGCAGGGAGGAGGGGGACGCAGCCAGGACACCCCAGGTCTTAGAATTGTGATTTTGTGCAAACCTGACAAATGCATGGACCATTGGAGCTGGGAAAATGGTCCGACACTGCCGCCGTGTGGTCAGTCGTGGTTTTGCAACCAAAGGCTCATCAAGTCTGGACGCTTTGGGGAATCAAGGGGCCGGGTGTGTGTAGTCCAATAAAATTGCTAATCTGGGCGAAAATCAAGCCAAGAAATAATGAATCTGCTCAAAATTAGAAATTTCTAGTCCTTTCCTTGGAAACCCAGCACATACTGCATCAGAAAGAAGTCCCCAAATTCTTCTTAGCAGGAAAGGAGGTGAAACTCAAAAAAGGCTGGGGTGTCCCAGCAGAGAATGGGGGCGGGGAGGTAATCAGTATGGGTTATGGACACTCCAAAAGGAAGGGGCATCAACAGAGGGTGTAAAAGGTGGAGTGTAAAGGTTGAATAGGAGTTTGCTAAGAAAAGGAAAGAGCAGCCAGGTACAGTGCTCACGCCTGTAATCCCAGCTACTCAGGAGGCAGAGATCAGGAGGATCGAGATTTGAAGCCAATCCAGGAAAATAGTTCCTGAGACCCTAGCTCGAAAAAACCCATCACAGAAAAGGGCTGGTGGAGTGGCTCAAGGTGAAGGTCCCAAGTTCAAGCCCCAGTACCACAAAAAAGGAAGAAAAAGGAGGAGGAGGAGGAGGAAGAAGAAGAACAAGAAGAACAAGAACAAGAAGAAGGAGGAGGAGGAGGAAAAAAGCAAGCAGGCTGTGTTGACACAAAACGATGGCAAAAGTCATCAATGTCTTTCATCTTGGCCATTCTAGCCACGGCCTTCGGGAGCCCAAGGGACAGATTTTCACCTCTGTCTGACAGATTTGTTCAGAGATAAGCAGCGAGTCTGAAGTGCAAAGCAGGGTGCGCTGGTACCAGATGGCGAACTGGCCTCCTTCTTTCTCCCATCTGACTCTTAAACGCAGAGGTGGAATGTACTTTCCCCTCTGAGTGTTCCCGAAAGTTTCTACTCCTCCCTCAAAACCCAGCTCTGTTCCTACAGCCCTAGCATCAAAGCTGAGAGCCTGTGTCCTCATTACGCTCCCCACCCAGACCCAGGGTCCTCACCCAGCCCTCCTCCCTCAGACCTAGGGGTCCAGCCTTCAGTCCTTGGTCCCTCTAAGCTGGTCTCTGCCCTTGACACCACCCTGGACTCCTGCCATAACAAATTCTCCCAAACAGGATGGCTAAAGCAACAGAGGTTTATTCTCTCAAGTTCAAGGTCAAGGTCAAGGTGTCAGCATGGTTGCTGGCTCAGGGATCTGCCCCATGGCTCTCTCCTGGCATCTGGTGTTACCAGGAATGCTTGGCCAGTCTCAGCTTCAAGCTGTGTGACTCCAGTCATTACACGCACCTGTCTCAGTCTCTTCCCCTCCTTTTAAGGACATCAGTTCTCAGCGGGGCGTGATGGCTACGCCTGTAATCCTAGCTGCTTGGGAGGCTGAGATTGGAAGGATCACAATTCAAAGCCAGTCAGTCCAGGCAAATTGTTCACGAGACCCCTGACCCATTGTAGTGGAACATGCCTGTAATCCCAACTCTGGGGGAGTTGTAGGTAGAAGGATTTTAGTTTGAGGTTCTGCAAGAACTCAAGACCCTATCTAAAAATGACTAAAGTTTAAAAAGGGCCAAGAGTGTGGCTCAAGTAGCAGAGCCCTGCCAAGCAAGAGCAAGGTCCTGAGTTCAAATCCCAGTACCATAAAAAAATTAACTTCTGCTCTAATGATTTCTCTTAGACTTAGTTCCTGACTCTGGTTTAATTTCAGTTGCGTGTTTTCTGATTTACTTGTCACCTAATCCCTAACTATCCTGCCCAGGCCTGGAATGCTCTGTTCTGGTCGCCATGGTCACAATTGTGGTCTCCCTGACAACCACTTCTGGGTTCCTTGGCTTCTCCCCTCTATGGCTCAGAGGCTGGAAAGGGAGAGCGAAGTGCGAGTGTGCGCAGGTGGCTGAGGACCCATGGTCATGAGTTTCCAGGAAGTGAGAGCGTGGGGAGGGGGGGGTCGGAGGAGGGGCAGGGAAGGGGATGTCCTCACCTCTGGCCTCCTCCCCCAGAATGTGACCCTAGCCATGGCAGTGTTCACCATCATCTCCTCCATCTACTTCTTCAACAAGGTGAGGGCTTGAAGACAGGGTGTGCCCTGGGCCTGGCCTGGCTCGGTGCCCTGTGTGACCTCCGTCTCTCTTTCTCTCCCATGTCTCTAAGTATATCTGTCTCTGCCTCTTCTCCTTCGTCAGGCTCAGCAGTGAGAAGACACAGGCTCCCCAAGTCCTGGAGCACCCCCACCACCTGCCCGCACCAGCACCCGGGCCTTCCACAGTAAATAAATGTGACTGCAACAGCATACCTGTCCCCAGCCAGCTGCAGGGCCAGGCCGGGCCTGAGGGAGGAGGCTGGGCCTGGACCCCTGGGTCTGAGGGAGGAGGCTGGGCCTGGACCCCTGGGTCTGAGGGAGGAGAGCTGGGCCTGGACCCCTGGGTGCTGAGGGAGGAGGCTGGGTCTGGACCCCCGGGTCTGAGGGAGGAGAGCTGGGCCTGGACCCCTGGGTCTGAGGGAGGAGGCTGGGCCTGGACCCCTGGGTCTGAGGAAGGAGGCTGGGCCTGGACCTCTGGGTCTGAGGGAGGAGGCTGGGTCTGGACCCCTGGGTCTGAGGGAGGAGGGCTGGGCCTGGACCCCTGGGTGCTGAGGGAGGAGGCTGGGTCTGGACCCCCGGGTCTGAGGGAGGAGAGCTGGGCCTGGACCCCCGGGTCTGAGGGAGGAGGCTGGGCCTGGACCCCTGGGTCTGAGGGAGGAGGGCTGCAGGGATAGAGAGTTCAAAGCCAGCCTGAGCTACATCGAAAGACTCCATCTCAAAAAATCTCAACAAAATAAAAACATGGACTGCACATTGGTGTTAGGGCAGAAAGTGCCACACGACTCAAAAGGATTTAACGTGGGACGATGGGGCAGGCTAGGGTTTATACAGTGCTCCCATCCTGCTGTGGGTGGTGTTGTGTCCTGTCCCCCAAAAAGAGATGTTGAATTCCCCTTGTGCCTGTCATGTGGCCTCCCACATAGCTAGGAATGATGGGAGCCACCCTACCTGTTGGTTGAAATGGCTTGAAGCCAAGCATTGCTGGTAACACCAGATGCCAGGAGAGAGCCATGGGGCAGATCCCTGAGCCTCTGAAGGAGCCAGCAACCATGCTGACACCTTGACCTTGAACTTGAGAGAATAAACTTCTGTTGCTTTAGCCATCCTGTTTGCGAGAATTTGTTATGGCAACCATGGGGCATAATATACCCCCTCTGTGTACCAAGGGACAGAGAAAGGAACAATGTCATCTAGCCCCTGATCAAAGGGGTCCCTTAGGAGCTAGGCCACCCTCTGACCCCCCCGTTCCTTTCTCTGACTGACCCTAACCAAAGGGCAGGAGTCCTGGGTGGTGTCAAAGACAGAGGCCAGCTTAGAGGGAGAGAGGGAGCCGGGAGAGGATCTCGGAGGTGGACAGACACAGGAGGACAGTTCTCTATGTTGGCCATGGTGGGTTGTGGTCTCCTAAGATGCTCATGCTGTAATTCCCAGAGCCTGTGGATATGTGGCCTTATATCAGGAGAGGGACTCTGCAGATGTGACTGAGTTAACGATCTCAAAACATCACAATGGTCCTGGTCAGAGATAGGGAAGCAGAGGGAGGGCCGGGCATGGTGGTACCTGCCTGTAATCCCAAAGTTACTTGGGAAGAGGAGGCAGGAGGATCAAGGTCTGAACCAGCCCAGGCAAAGTTAGCATGCGACCCCAACTGAAAAACAAACAGAAGCAGAGGAATGGGGTGTGGGGGCGTGTTTCCAGAGGTTGAGCGCCTGCCTTGAACGGGAGAGGTCCTGGGTTCAATCCCCGGCACTGAAAAAAAACAAAACAGAAAAAGCAGGAGGCACAGAGGTATTGACCACCGAAGCAAAAGATGCCACACTGCAGGTGCTGAAGGTGGAAAAAGGGGCCACAAGCCGCAAAGCCTCATGCTTGAAGCAATAGGATTCTTGGTAATGGAGACAGAACTCAGGGCCTCATGCTTGCCAGGCCATCGCTCCACCACCTAAGTGACCCGCCCGTCTTTTATGCTGTGGTCTGTTTGTCAGCTAAGGTCTTGTGCTGCTGCCTGGGGCCAGCCTCGGACCATGAGCCTCCTACCTCCGCTTCCCAAGTAGCTGGGATTACAAGCATGCACCACCATGTCCAACTTGTGTTACAGAATTTTTGAAACTCTCTGTCCATTGGAAATAGGGTAGAAGCTTCTGGAATAGAGAAATAGAAAGGTGTTTCAAATTTCAGACAGAGGAGGGAACAGGAGATTTGATGGCACAGGGAGTCAGGGGAGCCAGTGGCCGACTGGACAGTGTTGTTTATTGCTGGTTGTATCATTCCAGTATGGTGAGGCCAACACGTCAGGGGCTGATCAATTGATCCATTGATCTCATTGGAAAGGTGGCTCTCATGCTCACTGTTCCTGGAAGGAGGGCCACACCACCCAGACCTACACATAGAGGTACTGCTGTGCTGTGAGTTCAAGTTCAAGCTTCCTTCTGCAGTAAAAGGAGACTGTTCCACAGCACTGTCCTGGCTTCTGGTGTGGCCAGTGATGCATGGCCATTCTTGGCTTCTAGATGCGCCACTTCAGTCTGTCTCCACCATCGATCACATGCTTCGGTCTCTTTTAAGACCAGTGGAGCTGGCACCGGTGGCTCACATCTGTAATCCCAGCTACTCAGGAGGCAGAGATCAGGAGGATCATGGTTTGGAGCCAGCCCAGGCAAATAGTTCTCAAGACCCTATCTTGAGAAACCTATCACAAAAAAGAGGGCTGGTGGAGTGGTTCAAACAGTACAGCACCTGCCCAGCAAGCGAGAGGCCCTGAGCTCAAATCCTGAGTTCAAACCCTAGTACTACCAAAAAAAAAAAAGAAAAGAAAAAATCAAGTCCTGAGTGGTGGTACACATCTATAATCCCAACTACTGAGAAGGCAGACAGAAGAGGACCACAAGCCCAAGGCCAGAGTTGGGTACAGTTATTGTGAGACCCCGATCTGAAAAACAGATGAAAGCAAAAGCACTGGGGGCGTGGCTCCAGAGGTAGAGGCCTGCCTAGCAAGCCCACAGCTCTCAGTTGGAGCCAGCCTCCGACACAGCTGGTGGCTCCAGCCTTCTGGTGTTTGTGACCTCATTCCCACAGGATGGGGCAGACTGGGAAGTCACAGAACCCAGCAGAAACAGCGAGGGTGACTGTTGCAGGGGATGTCATTTTGGATCACCCCCTCCGAGGGTCTCTGTACTCCTGCAGATGTTGGAACAGCTCCAGGCAGGTCCGTGCAGTGAGGGACTGGGAACAGAGTCCATAACCTGGTCAGGACACTAGGAAGGAATCCATCCAGCTCAGGCCAAGTTTCCAAATGACTGCAACCTTAATCACTCAGCTAAGTCACTCCCACATTCCTGACTTACAAAACCTATGAGATATAATCAGTGTTGTTACTGTTTTAAGGGGCTAAGCTTTAGCATCACAGGTGGCCATAAATAACACGACTTCTTGGCAATTAGTTACTTCTTCACCAAACCCTGTCCTCAAAGTGCTGAGTACACTTGAACTCAGCTGATCTGTATTGTGAGATGAAGGCACAGAGGTTGTGCCTGGACCCTGCTCATTCTTACCAGCTGTGGGTGGCATCAGAAGGCAGTAAAATCTTTAAGAAGTATCAAAGAGCTCCCAACATTGTAAGAAGAAGATTTGGAAAAGGGGAGGAAGAAGAGAGAAATCAGAGTGGCCCACAATGTGACACGCTTTCGTGCTTGCTCGCTCGCTCTCTCTCTGTGTGTGTTTGTGTCCAGGTTAAAAACACCTGGCCTCAAACCCCAGCTTTGCCACTCATGAGGTGCTTCCTCAGGCTGTGCCTCAGTTTCCCCTCATTACCTGTGTCAGCACCTCCTGGGGCTCCGTGGAGATGAAACGGGTTAATCCCAGGCTGGGGAGGGCCCTGGGTGCTGTTGGGGGGCGTGCTGGGGCCTGCGCTTGCTTGCGGGGGGCCGAGACCCAGGGTAATGAGCAGGTGAGGCTGCAGTGTACACTGTGGCTGAGCTCAGCGTCTGGGCTGGGTGGAGATGGCCGGGCCAGGGTTTCGGGGCCACACCGCTGGACGGTTGCTGCTGCTCCTCCTGCTGCTGCTGCTGCCACCACAGGCTCTGCCCGAGGGACCCCTGGTCTTTGTGGCTCTGGTGAGCTGCCCCTGCCCCGCCTACCCTGCCCTCCCAGCCCCCTGCCTCCCCTCGGCTAGCCCTGACCACATCCGTCCCCAGGTGTTCCGCCATGGCGACCGCGCCCCACTGGCCTCCTACCCCACAGACCCACACAAGGAAGCTGTCTCCAGCCTGTGGCCTCGAGGCTTGGGCCAGCTGACCCGGGTGAGGAGCAGGGCTGAGATTCGGGGCTGGGGCAGGGACAGAGTGAGGAGAGTCACTGAGGTCTGCTCTGTCCCCAGGAGGGGATCCGACAGCAGCTGGAGTTGGGACGCTTCTTGAGGAGGCGCTACAAGGCCTTTCTGAGTCCCGAGTATCGGCGGGAGGAGGTACTGCTATGTTGACCTCTACCTGGCCTCCTGACCTCCCACCTGTGACCCCCTAGGCTCCCTTTGGGCTTTGAGCTCTGGCCTTTGACCTCCATCAACTTGACTTGTATCCCATGGGCCTCTGAGTTATCCCTGGATCCACACTGGCCTCCGACCTCATCTCAACCTGAGCTATATAGTCTGACCCCAGACCTCCATCAACTCTGACTTTATTTTCTGGTCTCCATTTTTGTCTTGACCCCTACTAACTCCAGTCAGACCTCCTGACCTCTCACCTTGAACTTGATTGATTCTTTGACGCTTGTTGATCAATTTGCCCTCTTCAAGATCTATTTTTTTTTTCAGTGCTGGGATCAAACCCAGGCCTTGTTTATGCCACATGAGCTCTCTACCAGAGCCCCCAGCAGTGATCTCTGACCTTCATTGACTTTGACCTTTTGTGTCACTTCCTCTGCCTCTTATTGGTTCAGCTCTGACCTTTGAGGACCTTGTCCTAAACTTTGGCCATTTCCTTCAGCCCACCCCCTGATCTTAAATCTCTATCTTCCTCTAACCCCCATCAACTCAACTGACTCCTAGCCATCATGTCTGCCCCCCTTCTGACCTCTGACCCAGATGTTCCTGGCACTGACCTCTGACCCTTGGTCCCAACTTCTGACATTGAAGGACAGACACTTGAATTTTGACTCCCAATTCCTTCTATTTTCATGCCCCTTAACCTACCCCAAACTCAATCTGACGCTTTTGATTTGCTACCACAGCTGACCTCTGACCCTCTCCCGCCCTGCCCACCCCAGGTGTACATCCGTAGCACTGACTTTGACCGCACCCTGGAGAGTGCTCAGGCCAACCTGGCTGGGCTGTTCCCAGAGGCCGCCCCGGGGAACCCTGAGGCTGACTGGAAACCCATCCCAGTGCACACGGTGCCTGTTAGTGAGGACAAGGTCAGAGGTTGTCTGGGGCGGAAGAGGAAGGAAAAGGGATGGAGAGAGACAGAGATGGGGGTTGGGTGCAGGACAGAATGAATGGCAGGGATACTGAGATGGAGAAGGATGGAGGCAGCCCTAGGCCTGGTGGGTCACCTCCCGGAAACCTGAGAAGGCTCAGAGTGGCGACCCTGTCCCTGGCCGAGCTGTCCAGAGGTTGGGAGCCACCAGGTCCCCAGATGCTCAGGGGAGTTGGGAAGAGAAGGTCCAAGAACCCTGTGCACTCACTCAGCCCGCCATGAGTGCCCAGCCATGCTGCTGCCTGCTCTGAGCCTCAGTTTCCCCCAGCTGCTGAGGTTCCCCATGCGTAGTTGTCCCCGATACCACGAGCTGCTACGTGAGTCCACGGAGGCTGCCGAGTACCAGGAGGCTCTGGAGGGCTGGACGGTGAGCGGGGTGCTGGACTGGCAGGGCGGGCACTGACTGGGCCAGGGTCGCTTGGGGCTCACCCAACCCTCTGCACCCAGGACTTCTTAAGTCGCCTGAGCAACTTTACGGGGTTGTCGCTGGTTGGGGAGCCCCTTCGCAGGGCGTGGAAGGTTCTGGATACACTGATCTGCCAGGTGGGTCTCCGTCTCTCCTAGCCAAGGGGGTCAAAGCAGAGTTTTGTCATTGGATAACTGTGTTTCCTTAAAGTGACTTAATCCTCTGGGCCTCAGTTTTCCCCATTTGTACAGAAAGGATGGCTACATGGTAGCTGCATCTCTGCGGGTTAATTCACGCACCAGCTGGCCACATGGAGTTTGAGGCTGTAGACTGTGGCAAATCTCCCCGTTAGCCTGTAATCAGAAAAGCTCAGGAAACCAAAACTCAGTAGCAGTTGACCTGAAATGAGGCTGCACTTTATCTGGTACTCTGCCCAGAACCGTGGGCAAGTTCCCAATTGCACACATAAGTTAAAGCCACTTCCCCACACTCTGCTGGTTCCTTCCTAATATTCCAACCCTCTGACACCAAAACACCTCTGGTCCCAAAAGGGTTCGGTTACAGGCTCTGACCTGAGTACCAGGATAGCCACCTTACTAGTTAATACTATTGCCTATGCGTGGTTTCCCCATGACTGACGGGACAGGGGGCGGGAAGGCGACTCAGGATGTCCCGTGTCCTGGTCCTCTCTCCGTCTCTCCTCAGCGTGCCCATGGTCTCACCCTCCCATCCTGGGCCTCCCCGGATGTCCTGCGGACACTTGCACAGATCTCGGCTTTGGATATCGGGGCGCACGTGGGTCCACCCAGGGCAGCAGAGAAGGCCCAGCTGACAGGAGGTGAGGTGCAGGGCCTTCCTCCAGGGTGTGTGTGGGGTGTGGGTTCTAACCTCTCTGCTCTTGCCCTCCAGGGATCCTCCTGGATGCCATCCTGAGCAACTTCTCCCGGGCCCAGCGCCTGGGGCTGCCCCTGAAGATGGTCATGTACTCAGCTGTGAGTCCCTGGGAAAAGGGAGGTAGTGTCACATGGGCAGCACAGGGGCAGGGCGATGGAAATTTAGGTGAGGAGCAGCCAGTGATCCCAGTGAAAGCTTAGCCCATTATTGCCTTGGGTAAGGGGTATCTCCAACCCTCCTCTGATCACATCACTAGAAGGCATAGACTGGACAGAGGAAAGTGATGGTGTCAGGAGAATTTAGCTCTACTGAAAGGACAGGCTATTTAATCGAGCTGTCCAGTCATAGTTTGCATGGGTTGAGTTATCTTTATTCAATGGTAGCCTGTAACCTGTGGGGCGTCCAGGGAGAGGGACGCTAGAGATGGGGGACTTCTGGATGCCTAAGTTCAAGAGAGCCCTGTCTCAGCCCTCTGATCCCTGTCCCCTCTACAGCATGACAGCACTCTGCTGGCCCTCCTAGGGGCCCTGGGCCTCTATGATGGCAGGACCCCAACCCCACCCTATGCTGCCTGCCTAGCCTTTGAGTTCCGAAGGCGCCTCAAGGAGCAGGAAGATGACAAAGATGGAGGGTGAGGATGGGATGGTGCTGGGCAGAGCAGAATTCTCTGGAAGGGTGATGTGCAGGTAGAGGGGCGTGACCTAACTCCAAGCTGGATGGAAGATTTAAGGATGGACAGACAGGTGGGAGTCAGGAGCCCATCTTCACCTGGCTGCTCCCTGACTCACGCTGCACTGGGCTGTTTCTGCACTGAGATTGGAGGCAGAGCATGTGTCACTGTCTTCTCTCTCCCTCCAGGAATGTCACCATCTCCCTCTTCTACCGCAACGACACCACCCGCCCACCCCTGCCCCTCAGCCTCCCTGGCTGTCCTGCCCCTTGCCCACTCAGGCGCTTCCATCAGCTGACAGCTCCTGCCCGGCCTCCTGCTCATGGGGCTCGCTGCCAAGGTTCCTATGACCCTGCCACCTCCCCAGGTGACAGTCCTTTGCGCTTGGGCGGGAGTGGGGGATCCCCTAGGGCTGACCTTCCCACAGCCACAGCTGTGCCCCTGCTCGCTGGAGCTGTGGCCGTGCTGGCGGTTCTCAGCCTGGGGCTGGGCCTGCTGGCCTGGAGACCCAGCTGCCTGCGGGCCTTGCGGGAGGCCGTGTGAGCAGGGGCAGCCCTTCCCCCCAGTCGCCACTGGATCCCAACACGTGTGCTCACCTGCTGCTCTGGCTGGTCACTTACTGCGCGTGGGGAACAAGGGCTGGGCGGCTCTCTGGCTAAGTGTGTGTTGCTGTGTGCACATGCCTGGACGTTTGCGTGGATACGCACTCAATGTGCTTGTATGGGTTGGGACATGGGTGTTCACACACGGTGCGCATGCACCCAGGTGGGAAGCACGCCTCAGGAGCCACATGGGACTTCACCCTTCACACGCAGCCCACACCCCACCCCACCAACAGCTGTGTAGCCAAGGGTGACTGCAAGTGAGTGGTGCTGGTCAGTAAGGTAACTGCTGACCAAGTGCTACTATTTAAATGTAGAGCCAAGTGGGTGGTGGCTGCCCAGTGAACAGGATAAAGGTTTCAGTATGGCAGGGGGTCCTGCTGGACCTCTTGCTGGAAATAGGGACACCCCCTACAGGACCTAGTAAGGACCCAGCCACTCTCCAGAGGGTCCAGGTGACCACAGGGTCTCCAATGTGGAATGCTGTTGGCGTTTTCTGGCCCTAGGAGGCGGCTGGGCTTCTTGCTTGTGGCTCCCCCAAGCCTGCCCCTGGGTGGGTGATCCTGTGCGCACCTCTCCTACCCCAACCCAGCTCAACGCCCCAAGACGTCACCGCCAGGACCAAGTCAGACAGCGCAGCTCCTGAAGGGCCATGCAACTGCTGTTTAATGGGCACCTGAGAAGGCAGAGCCACCAGGGGTGGCTGTCCAGATCCCCGCCAAACCCAGAGCTGGCACTGGCCCAGGGCCATGTGTGCCACCAGAGAAGCCCCTGGAGTACATAGTGGGGTGGGGGGAGGGGCACTACACACCAGTAATAGGCTCACAGGGCCTCCTGCAGGAGGCCATGGAGGAAGCCGCCTGTCCCTCTCCTAAACCTAAAGTGTCCCTCAGGCTTAAAATAAAATACTCCATAAAGACGTTGCATTAAAAAAAACCTTTTTTAAAAAAGTAAACTTCAGGATGGTTTTGGCCATGGGCTGTAGCACCTCAGCCATGGCAAGAGGTCACCTCTGCTGCCCATGGGGGTGGTGGGGGGAGGGGAAGTCCCTCCCTTCGGGGGTCCCTGACCACTGTGTGCTTGAGAGGTCCATGGGGAAGGCACTTGAGGCCAAGCTCTTTTGGAACCCAGCCTCCCACCCCCATGGCTGGGGCAACCAGTGTCCTCCAGGTGCCAGGTGAAGGGCAGGTGTGGTGGACAGGCGCCTCCTCACCACAGGCCTGGTTGGGGCAGGGCGGCAGGGGCTGCTCCTCCTCACCAGGTCGGTAGCCCGGGGGGCTGAGGCTGCGCTTGGCCTCTTTGATGTACAGCTCTAGCAGGACCTTGGTGGGCTGCTTGGCCACCTGCTCCCTGGGCACACCGTGTCTGAGCAGCCAGCGCACCAGGTCCTTGTGTGTTGGGTTGGGCCCCAGCATGGGCTTGGGTTGGCCCTGCTGGCTCTGGCGCCAGAGCAGGCCCACATTGGCAATGGTCTGGATCTCCAGCACGGCGTCCAGCACCGTCATGCCCTCAACCAGTGTCATGCCCTTGACCAGTGAGAGGCGCAGCTCCAAGGGAGCGGCTGTGAACAGGCGCTGCTGCAGGCCCTGGGTGAAGGGCACGTCTTCTGGTGCGCTGAACTCAGGCTCAGGGAGTGATGGGGGCTCGCGGTAGATCCAGTCGAGCATGCCCAGCTCCCGCACCAGCTGGACGCCCTCTTCCATGGTGGTCCAGGGCTGGAAGGACAGCTCGGTGGCCTCAAAGTGCAGGAAGGACTCCCAGCGTTGACGCCAGGCCTTGAGCAGCCAGGCCAGCAGTGCCTTGCAGCTGCCCTGCAGGGTTTTGCAGTGGTAATTGAAGATGGGGTCGTGGGTCAGGTCGCCTAGCAGCGCCAGCTCCCCAGAGGTCAGGGACAGGGCCAGACCACCATGGTCATATACCCGCAGGATCCAGGAGAGCATGAGCTCATTGGAGTTCTGCTTGAAGTGCTGCGAGATGGCCAGCAGCTCGGTGTATGTGTAGCTCCGGTCCCCACAGCCCACTGGGGCAGGCGCTGCAGCTTTCTCAGTCATGGCCCCCACTGAAGCAGCTGTGGGAAGGACAGCCAACACTAGGAGGTGTAAAGGGCCCCACCCCCACCCCTCCAGAGTAGAGTCCCTCAGACTCCTGGGTGTCAAAGGCCCTGGGGGTGGGGTGGGGGACAAGGGATGGACCATGTTCTCAGAGGTGGTCAGAGCCCAGTGCTGGACATCATGGGGGTCTCCCAAGTGTAACCCTGACACTGGATGTCTCAAAACAAATCCAGCCCCTCCTCCTGCGCTACCCCCACAGCACAGGGCACTTGTGCTTGAACAGTGCATGGTGTGGATTCAGCTCTGAGCCTCGTCTATACCAGCTAGCATAGGGTCTTACAGCTGTCCAGGCTGGCCTGAAACTCATGATCCTCTGGCCTCTGCCTCCCAAGGGCTGGGATTATAGTCAGTCCCACCGACAGGCTATCCCTTCTGCTCTTACCTGGGAGGAAGGTGGGGCTACAGGGCCTGGCCAGGAGGAAACACCTGTAGGCAAGATGGAACAGGGTGGGAAGAGGTGGGTGAAATGTAGGGAAACATGGCACAACCATCTACTCCTTCCTCAGAGCCAGGGCCCCTCAGACCTCTGGGTGTCAAAGTCCCAGGGGGCACCATGTCCTCAAGCCAAAGTCAGAGCCCAGTGCTGGACATCATGGGGGCCCTGGTGCTCAACCACCTCAGATTTCAGGGTCACTTTGCAATCCTGTGGGGTACAGGATAGTTGAGTGTTCAGAGACCCAGGCAAGAAAATGGTGGACATTTTCTTGATACCCTGGGTGCCACAAGAGACCAGGCCCCCAAGGCCATCTCAAGCCTGCTTCTTGCTTTTTCTATGATCTGCAGCCAACAGACACAAACTACCTGAAGGCTGCTTCCCCTCTGGAAGGTGGGGCTGATAAGCCTGGCAGACAGGCTCAGGAGAGATTTCATGGAGGGGGTAGGGTTCTGGTGGCTGTTGCCCAGCCCCAGGTCTGTTGTCGTTTTTCCCACCCAGCTTGTTAACCAGTCTGGGCTTGGAATCTGGTGTCACTGTTCCATTCTAACCTAGGGAAGTGGTTTCAAGAGCTACATGCTGGGAATGGACTCAGGGTACAGGTGCTATAGGTCTCCCTGTCCTGCCAACTTCCTTTCTTATCACCTCACACATATCCACTCAGCTGGCACCCTTGTGTCTCCACCTTTCCTACCCCAGGAGTTCCCCATGCCCACAACTGTCCAGTGCTCTGCAGAACCACAGCAGCACAGGCCCAGCCAGTAGCAGGTCTGTCACTGCACCCACTGTCCTACCAAGGACACTCAAGGAAAGTGGGAACTCCTCAAGCTGAGAACACTTGTTCCTTGTCCTGTAACTTGCACTTGCCTGTCTTACGACTTAGCTCTTTTGAAACACTTGTAGAGTGTTTTCCAGAGAAATCCTGCTATCTTAACAATGACTTCTAAATTGGGCTTCTTTTCATATTAACTTATGCCTGAGGGATTCACTGGAGGCTGATGAGCTTTGCTCAAAGGTGCGCTGCATTCCACCCACAACCCAGTGTGACAGGAGGTAATGCTGAGCCACTGTTTCACATCTCCTGACCAGTGTCTGTCCTCTCATCTGTGCTCCTTGGAGACAGCACCAAGGCCAAGGAGACAGCTCGACAAACATCTCCTTCTTTAGGTCTTGCACAGCACAGCTGGGACCTAGACCTAGATGACTGGGCTCCAACACCTATGAGATGGTTTTTAAATGTAAATTGTTGGCTTCTAAATCAGGTCCCAGAAACAGATGATATGAAGTCACCTGAGGTGAGAGCGAGGTATGTTATGGATGAGGGACTGCAAGCAAGGGTTCTTACCAAGTCGGAGTGACAGTGAGTGCCTCCTCAGCTTGAAGACACACCTGCAACACAGGAAGGACGCAGTGAGGCTGTGTGTAAAACAGTCCACGAGTACAAGAGATCAAAACCAGGGCCCCTCAGACCCCCAGGTGTCAAAGGTCCTGGGGGGCACTGTGTCCTCAAGGATGATCAGAGCCCAGTGCTAGCCATCATGGGAGCCCTGGCCCCTCTACCATCAAGTCCCAAGGTCACTTGCTTTTGGGGACAGAGGCCAAACTTAACAGAATGAAGGGACTGGGAAACACAATCCCCCCGCCCCATTCCCTGTGTCACAGACCCGTAGGGAATCCTTATGGGGTGAACTTCCAAACCCACTACCTGCTAGTAGCACCGAACAAACGCTGTTAGGCCTCAAACCCTCCAAAGACCCTTGAGGTTGGCACAAGAACACAGGAGCTGTTGCAGGAGAAAAAAACCCAAAGCTAAGATGTAAGCAAGATAAGCAAAGATGGCGGAGACAGAGCCAGAATTGAACAAGTATGCTGCAAGGCACATTCTGGAGATGACTCAGAAGCAACCAGCAGGAAGAGAGAACAGTGCACAGCAGTAGGAAGTAATCAGTGTCACAGAGGGGGGATGAAGGCATTGTCAGTTAAGTAGAAAACTGGCATTTTACGGTCATAAGCGAAATATGAAATCTTATTTCCCCGAAGACTTTAACAGAAACTCCTACAAGCAGAAGGGAATCTACTGGATTTCTTTCTATGTTACTGAATAAGGAAATTCAATGCAAAGAGATTCTTGCAGGGTGGTGATGGAGGAGTGACATCGCCTAGCAAAGGGAAAACCAGCGTTCCACAGACCACAAGCCCAGAAGCTGCAGGTGAAGAAAGGTCTCGTTTCCCTTCTCTTAGGCGTACTCCTACCTGGTTCTCCAAAGCAACCCAGTACTTCACCGGGAGCCTCATCTCTTCCTTGGCACTCGGGATCTTGCCTCTCCCCTGCACCCCCACCTATTCGATCTCTTTGCTTTTGTTCTAGATGAGCAAAAATGCCCGCCTCCCAGAAACTCAAGACAAAGACACCAAGGGCAGGGCTGGGCGCGGGGAAGGGGTTCAAGGCCACTTCTGGCAAAAAGTTAGCAAGACCCCCGTCTCAACAAACAAGCCGGGCATGGTGGGGCACCCCTGGGGTCCCAGCTACATGGGAAGTCATAGGGAAGTGGATCACAGTCCATCCAGGTGGGCCGCGGCATAAAAAGGAGGAAAAAAAAATCCAGGCGCCGGTGACTCACGCCTATAATCCCAGCTGCTTAGAAGGCAGAGATCAAGAGGATCGCGGTTCGAAGGCAGCTCCGGGCAGAGTTCGCGAGAACTCTCGAAAAAATACCCACACCCGCAAACAAACAAACAAAAACCGGTTTAAAAAAAAAAAAAAAAAAGAGACCCAGGAGGGGCTGCCTGAGGAAGAACCTGCCGCTTGCACAGACATGGAAATCCTCCTGAGGTAAAAATTAAAAATCTTACTCCTCAAATAGGCAAGATGGCGGAGACCTGCGACGTGGGCAGAAGAAATGGCGCAGCCCGCCCCGGCAAACCCCTTGCTGAGCACCTGGTGGGAGGAATCGCCCCATTCTCGCTTAAGGGGACCCCCAGTTCCCACCCCAACTGCGCTCGTTAGGCCCTGGCATAGACCCCGACCCCACCCAAGCGACATGGTCTTTCCCGTCACAGCTCCGGGCATCTTGAGACACGTGCGACCCAGACGCCTAATCCCGCCACACAAAAAAGAAAGTCGCCAAAGGCGAAGCGCTCACCCGACCCCTCCTCTCCACAGACGAGCGCCGACTGCAGCGAGCCTGCTTTTATAGAACGCGCCTGTCGCAAGGTCCCATTTTGGTTCCCTCTTAGGTGTCCAATATATTTGCCTGTATCAGGAACCCAGTTTTCGTGCTGGGGAAAAGATTTCTAGTCCATTTCCGGTAGAATATTCTTCACTAAATTGCAAGAAGTTATCTCTGGAGGCAGGAAAGCAGGAGTCAGGAAATATCTGGAACATATGTCTTGGTACCATGAGTCAGGCAATTCTGAAGCCGCACTTAACGAAGGCGGTGAAGAGAAAAGGCCCCGAGAGTGGGCGGGATCAAAAAGGAAGCCTCTGGAATTGTCAGCGCGACAGCGGCGCCGCGCGCCTTGAGGCGGGGCCGACTCTGAAAGGCCCAAACCAAGTACCAGTCACAGGGCGGGAGGCGGGGCCAGAGCGAAGATTGACAGGCGGTATATCCGGTGAAAGCACCAAGTGCCTCAGAATTAGAGGCGGAGCCTGCACGGGGAGGGGCGGGCCAGATCAGTGACGTAGGGCTGGTGGGTGGGGCGTGGACTCGTGGGTCTAGGGAAGGAAGAGGTGAGGCTGGATGCCTGGGTTTGGGAACAGAAGTTAGGGGCCTGGACCCGGGATTGAGGTTGGACCGGGTTGGGGCTCATCCTGGGTTTAGTTGGTTTAAGGTCTGGGTTCTGGATCTTGGTGGGGTTGAAGATTTAAGGAGGGTGACTGATGAGAGAGAGGGAAGGGAGAAGGGGGAGGCGGGAAGGGAAAAGGAGCTGGGCCTTCCAGTGGCTTACATGTGTAATCCCAGCTACTCAGGGTTCGATGCCAGCCCCCGGCAAGTAGCTCTCCAGACCTTATCTTGAAAAAACCCATCACAAAAAAGGGCTGGCAGAGTGGCTCAAGTGGTAGAGTGCCTACCTAGCAAGTGTGAGGCCCTGAGTTCAAACTCCATACTACAAAAGTACAATGGTGGTGCGCCTTGGGGTGAACAGAATATAACTTTGTTTAGCTCATATCTTGATTATTTAGGTTGTTATCTTCCTTCCAGCCAGGGCATTCCCTGCATGAACCCAGTGATCTGAAGGGAAAGGAAAGAAGAGACATCTCCACCCCTGGCTCCTGTCTCACTGTGGCCCGTGTAACTTAGTGATGTTGGTTTTGCTCACTCCCTATCCTGGTCTTGCTCTCTCTGCCTTGGCCTTCTTGGTGTTCCTGGAAATGCTGCATCTATTTCTACCCCAGGACCTTTGCATGTACTGCCCTCTGCTTGGAACTCTTCTCCCAGTCCAAGGACTAGCTTCCTTCATAACGAATTTCCCCTCACACGTCATGTGCTTTTTTTGTTAATGGATGCATTTTTGCTTCTTGCTCTATGTCAATTCCACAAGGACAGGGATTTGTGCTTATAGAGATTATTCCTGTACACCCAGTGTCTGGCACCTAGTTTCAGTTCCATCTGTGTTTTAAAAGGAACAAGTTTGGGGACCTTTTGCCAGAGAGAAGAGAGAGAATTTAAATAAAATCAATGAAAGCACACATACTGTGGGCCAGTCATTTAGGTTAAACTCAGTCGAGATTAAACTAACATCATTATTCCATTTTCCAGCTCAGAGAACTGAGACCCAGATGGGTTCAGCATCTGGTCACATGTAGTAAGTGGCAGAGACTAGATCCCAACCCTTAAACACTGTGAGAGAGGGAGATGGAGGGGCTACCCCAGCCACAGCCCTTTAGGAGGACTTGAGTAATGATAGAATTTTGTAATTGGATTTCCACCATGCCCTGTTCAACAAATGGCTTTTAGTCCCAAACCTTCTTCAAAAAGCTGCTGCACTACTGAGAGTGTTTCATGGTTGTAATCCCAGCTACTCAAGAAGTAGAGATAACAGGATCTTTGTTCGAGGCTAGCCCAGGCAAAAAAGTTAGTGAGAGTGTATCTCAAAAAACCAAGCTGAATGTGTTGGCTGACACCTGTAATCCCAGCTAGTGGGGAAGCAGAGATAGGTGGATTGTCATCTGAGACTGGCCCTAGGCGAAAGCATGAGACCCAACACGAAATAATAGACTGAAGGAAAAAAGGGTTGGAGTTGTGGTTCAAGTGGTAGAGCTCAAGGCCCTGAGTTCAGACCCTAGTACAGCAAGGAAAAATAGAAAAGCTGCACAGAACAGTCTTGTGTTGAGGGACTCTGGGATGCTGTTGGGTGTAGAGTGAGTGGCAGGGAGAATTTTCTCAGAATGGCAAGTTATTGGAGCTTGCAAAGCTGAAGGTTGAAGATGAGAAATAGGGGAGAATGAGTGATTCAACAAACATTGATTGAGCACCATCTGTATGCCAGGGACCTTGGCCCCTGCCACTTTGCTGACCTTGTGCCTTGGTTCTTTACCTCTGAGTCCCTTCCCTTCCCTTCCCTGTCCCTCTACTCCAGAGGACCCAAGGATGCCTGTGGCAATTCTGCATGGTGCTTCTAAGATGCAGAGTTAAATAAAAGGACATTCTGGACAGAAAATACAGATTTAAAGATATAGTTTATTAATGTGGGTTGAGGGGGTAAGGAGGATCTAAAAAAGTAGGAGTCTTCTTGGGGTTGGAGGTGAGACAGTGGGAGTTTCAGGTGCTTCACCAGAGCCAGAGGAGCAGGTCAGTAGTGGGGTGTTCCGATGGCCTAAGTCCAGACAGCCTGGCTTGCCAGGATGGACCAGAAGCTCACATAATTCAGATAGGAAAAGAAACCTGGGAAGAGGGCCAAGAGAGTGGGACACAGTTCACTAGCCTGAGCCTAGCCATGTGCCCTATGTCGTATCTAACTTCATCCCCAAACCAAACTGCATCCCCTAACCTGCCCCCAACCCTGTCCTAGATCCAAATGCAACTCCATCCTCTAAAGCCAAACCCACAGCCGTCCCACATTCAGCCTCCCACTTCAGTCCCAGCCTACCTAGCCCTCTGTTTAGCCTCATCCCCACCCCACATTTTATTGCACCACAGGACTGATCCACAACCCTGAAGCCGTGCCCAGTCCACCCCCATCCTATCACAGACCAGTCAGGAGGAAGGCGAAGACACCGATCCAGGCCAGGTAGAAGCTGACCCCCAGCTTGTATGTCATGCCTTCCTGCAGGAACTTCTTGGCCTGCATCAGGTAGAAGACGACACCTAGTATGATGATGGTCCCTGCGTGAGCACAGATGTTAGGAGGCAGGAATCAGGTGTGTGAGGACCCCACTCACAACTGTGTGACTGTCCAGCTCTTGTTCATTACTTCCCCAGTTCGGAACATCTGGGATTTATACCTCTGCTCACACCAGAAAAATGGGCTCCTGACAGGACAGTACCAGAGGACACTGGAGGTGCAAGCCTGTTCTTTGACCGGACAATGGCAGTGACCAAAACCACAGGTTTTGGGACTCTCAGCCTGCCCATGTCCCTCACCTTAAGGCAGCCACTCCATCTCTCAGCCTCAGTTCCCTCATCTGTACAGTAGCCATGATCACAGGACCCGTCACTCAGGGTCTGCATGACTGGTGAATTTCCTGGCACACAGGAAACCCTCAAAGATTAGGACGAGTTCTTATTGTGTCTTCATTTTGGGTTTCTGAAGCAACGTACAAAGAACTCAGTCATCCTGGTATTTGGAAATGCCATAAATTTAGATAATTTGTGGAAAGGAAAGGTTTTTTTTCAGACTGCAGCATGCTGGTAGTTACTGAAAAATAATCTAGGAAGTATTTTCTGTTTGATTTAAATGAGGGGACTGGAGGTGTGGCTCAAGTGGTAGAGTGCCTGCTTTGTAAGCATGAAGCCTTGAGGTCAAACTGCAATCCCATCCAAAAAAGAAAAAAAGAAAAAAAAAAGGGGATGAACAGAAATGATCTTAGAGAAAATTGTCCCATTTTGATCCAAGGTGTTTTCTACCATTTGGACCTCATATTTAAACATCCAAGGACAGCTACTAGCAAACTGGATATCAACTGCCAGGAAGGACACGGTAAGTTGCGTGTTCTTTAACCTTGGCCATAGTATCAACTCTCCAAGAATGGTTCCCTAATGGGACTGAACGGTGGGGTCAACTCCATAAAGTGCAGGAAGGCAATGCCCCTCATTTGCAAATTAAGATCCTGCCAACTTTTTGCATCCTTGGCACAGAAAAGGAACACTAAACTGTTCTAATCAGTGTATCAGTTTTGAGTTAGTTGGATGGGGGTGGGTGGGTTACTTAAAGAGATAACTTTGTACAAATCGTCCCTCTCCTTCCTCCCTCTCTCCCTTCTTTCCTCCTCCCTCTCTCCCTTCTTTCCTTTCTTTTTGAAAGTAGACTGCCAAATGCAGTACCTCATTTGGATGTGTCTGGAGTCTTGAAAGCTTCACTAACTTATGTTCTCCCACAACTGGAGAACAGAGTGTGAGGTACCCATGTACGCTTGACCAAGGAATGGTTCTCCACTATTGGGGAAGGTTGTCCTCTTCAACCAAATATGCAGCTTTGGGAGGGACTCATATGGCAGGGGAAGCAAAGAAAGGGGCTCTCTTCATCCAGATCAGTTGGGAAATCCTGGTGATCAGTGGGGTGACATGTCATAGCCAGATCCCCCTCATTTCCTAATTCAGTCCTTGCTACATCTCCACATGGTAGGAAACTTTAGTCCCATTCTACAGAATAGAAAACTGTGACTCAGAAAGTGAAGTAGCCTGAACAAAATCACAGAACACTGGTGTGGGTGGTGAGATGTGGGATGGGGTTGCATGTTGGGTACAGGATGGGGCCATGCTGGGGACAGGATTATGGTGGAGGAGTTGATGTTTTGTGCTTGGGAAGATGGGGCATTGGATATGGGGAAGAGGACAGAGTTGGGAA